TCCAGATGCTAACCTTGTGGCAAACTTTTTGTTTGGTACATGGCACTTTCCAGACCTCCCCCGGAGATTCGAAACCAACTAAGTGCAAGGATCGATGTTACTCCGCATGTCTTTTTTGTCAGGGGAAGATACTGAAAATTGGTATGATCTACTTAGAAAGAGTACTGCCCCAATTGGTCAGTTGAAGACCAAGGCTGATGAACCCAGCGTGAGGTCGGCCGCTTGTGGCTGGGTCGTTGACACTTTGTCAAATTCAGGTAATGATTATACCGGGCAATTCAACGAGGAGGTTGGCGAATCCAAGAAGGGGGCCGATACAAACGAAACCCCTTGCGTCACCCAAGGAAGCATACAGGATTCCACTCGCCGACATGCTGACAGGCGGCAGAAACTGGAAAGGCAACAGTCTGGACAACCACGGGTGTGAACCTAGTTGACATAAGTGGGGGTTAAAGGCATTTCTCTTTCAGCAGTGGGGTCAAGCAAGTGCGTGGTACATCTCAAGCTGCATTGCTGTCTTTGCGGAGGGATGAAACAAATCACTAAAATCAGCACAAGCAGGTCAACTGAGCAAAATGAAAGACGCATCGCCCCATATTTTCTGGCAATCTTTGGACCAAATCTGCACATTCCATCCACATCACCAACATCTATGCACCATGGGTAACGTGAGGGTATGTGATCAAGTTGGGGAACCTACAAAAGGTGGTGTTCCTTTGGTGTCCATTTCACCAACCCAAGCAAAACTAACATGAAACTCTACTCTTTTGCCTGCCTCAACAAGGCTCCATCTCATGTACTCCCCTTGCACAACCGCATCGATGGGGATCTCGCCAGGCATCCGTATCCTCAGAAAGATACTGGGTCATGGGAAAGCGGAGACGTCGAGCAAAGTCCATGTGAGAATCGCCAACACCTTCCAGGTTGGGACAAGACCAAGGGCCCGTTGAATGAAAACTGAAAAGGGGGGCCCGGAAAAAGAGGTGGGTAGTTTATGTCATCACACATCTCTTCTTCGAAGAATATGTCGCTTCAAGGGCTTACTGCAAGCCGCAGTCAGCCTGGGCTGCTTGCTTTCAGCGAGGCTGCGCAACACTATCTGTTTCAATGCAAATACCTCGACCCCAACCTGCTGTTTGGGCCTTACGAACCAACAAGACAAGGATGGGTCAGGCTGAAACAAACGCATGCAGTGCTCCCAACGTGACCCCTATTCGGGGTCAGTGACCTTCCGTCTCTTTCCGCGCATCCAGCAGTGACCCCAGTGCCTCCCGCGTCTGGCGTTCGGCACTTTTACCCAAGAGTGAGTCCATCTTGGGACGCCGATCCCCTCAGGGAGTGTTTAGCTGAAACTGCCTGACCAACTGCAAACGACCTCAACATATTTCAGGTGAACCAAAAATCAGCCATGGCAAATAACTCACCCTTCTCCCAGGGTTCACGCCAGTTCACATCTGGGTTAACGAAGAAGGGGCCAACACATCCATAAAGATTCGCTCGCAACACCTTCAATAAACAAGCATGAAAAGGTTCAGGGTCCTTTCCAACACGCCCATAGTGTTCCACCACAACGGCCCCTGCACCAAGCCATCTTTGGTGGGAGCGTACATGCACACATGCTTGTATAACACTTGTATATCCCTTATCCCATGTGTACCAACAAATGGCTACCACGAGGAGCAGTCGTCAAACGGGAGGCAACTAGAACCTTAATCCATATTCCCGGCCCCAAAACAGGCCGTGGAGCACTTTGCCCATCTCGTGGTGCCGTCTTCCTTTGGTGGTTCCCCTAGTGGTCTATGTCAAGGACCTTCAGCGCCACTGGGCCCAGGCGCTTCACCGCGAGCACCCCCACCGGGAAGTGCCGCTCCGAAACCTCCGCCGTCTTCACCTTGTAGGGCGGCTTCAGCTCACTTGGCGCCTCGCGAAAAGCGCAGAGATGTTTTTAGCCATGGGAATTCCTAGACCACGTGGTTTTAGCCGGGAATGTCCGCGTGTCAATGACTTCTAACCCGTGGGTGCGAGGTGTAGCGTCAATTTTGCCATGGGATTTGAAGCCGTCATTGTGAAGCTTAAGGTATGTCTGCCATGTTGAAGCCATTGGTGTAAACTTTGATCAAGCCTTGGGTGGCCATGGCCAACAGGGAACTTACTTTGATAGTTAATTTGGCAAGGGAAGCTTTCGACGTCTGGAGAGCTGGGTAAGTGGTTTAGTGGACTTGAGGGATGTCCACACACGGAGCCGATTGGACGGGTCCCGGCAACATCACTTTACCCCAAGTGGATCTCATTCTCAGTTGCAAAAGGGGAAGAAGGGTGCCACTGAACAACTGGATCCAAATAACTTTTAATATGTCTTGGTTTCTTGATTTATGGGATCGTGGACAGAGTGAAGGTAATAAGCTCAGATGAGAAGATAGAGACAAAGTGCGAGTTAATCATGCAACAATACCAGAGATGACAATCACCGTGTGTGTGTGCACATTATGCACATGACGGCGTCAGAGTCTGAGCATGAGTGACTTTTCTAGGATCTCACTTGTTACATTTGAGAAGCAAACAATCCGTGTTTCTGGCCTGTGGGCATGTTGAATGTCGAAATCAGAGAACCTGAGTCCACCCATGGGAAGCTCCTAATCCCTTCTTCCCATTCATAAACGTTCCCCCAAGAATGAAGACGCCTCCTGCCGACCCCAAAAATGTCAATACTGCTAGAAATCATGAACTCAGCCAAGCTTTAGCCTCCCGCCTAGCAATGATCAATCGGGCGTCCTTGTGTGATCATGTTTTCTAGCACTGGGGTCTCCAGTAGGTTCCCTTCATAAGGTCTTCCTCCAAAAGTGGTATTCTGAGCAAACCGAAGGGTTGCGTTGAGGGAGAGGTGTTCTATTGTTATTGGGGCTCCATAGGTTCCCCGCATAAGGTCTTACTCTTCTGAGCGCTTGTTTTTCTCTCAAACGGAAGGATGTTCATTGTTAAAGCCTCCAATACCAACAACGGTTTGTATTTGTTGGGTCCAACTGGCAAACAACGGCTTGTATTGTCAGGGTCTCCAACTGGCAAACAGCGGTTTCAATTACCTGGTTCCTTTTGAAACCGAAAAGCAAGGGCGCCTTCCCGTTAGAAGTTCTTACTCAAAAGTTGCAAATCAAAGGGGTCCCCCTTCCAATTACCAAACACAAGGGGGACTCTATAAGAATAGAAATTATCCGAGAAGTTGTTGTTTTCTTTTTTCTGTTGTTTGTTTATTTTAATTTTGTAATTCATGTTTGTATCATTGTTTCATTGTTTCATTTTGATTAAAAAAAAAAATCAAATTATGTTTCTTTGGGGGCAGTTATTTGGACTATATTAGTTCACCCGGATCCACATCAGGAACCTGTCTCCCTTCCCCGTCCTTGTTTGCGAGCTCTCCCCGTAGCTCGCGGAAAAGGTCCGCATAGTCCTGCCGCTAGTCGGGAGAAACCCACACGCTTGCACGGGCATAGGTGTCCTTTTAGGGGAAATAGATGGCCCTGGCAGATGATTAATCCACCGGGTAAACCAGGAATTGCCATCTAGTTTTCTAGCAAGACAACCAAAAAGGACACCTATATGGGCACAGGCTGTTTTCTTTGCACTGGCTGAAATGAACCAACTCCACGCAAGGCTTTGAATGCTGGATGCCACTTTGGCAAGTGGCATGCCCTTCAAGTGTGGGAATCCAAACGCAAGAATGGTGAGGTTTTGTTGCCTGGGTCATCCTGGCTCTTACTGGCCTACTTTAGCAAGGACATATTTATGTCTTGGATATAAGTCAAACAAAAGATAAGAGCAAACAGCAATATCTATCCACAAGTGATTGACAACAACTGCATCGCTGTCTCAACACATTTACAATTATGACCTGCAAATATTCACACCCCGTGCGACAAAGGTACACCAAGTCAAGGCAAACCCATAGTCCGTGCTTGAAATGTTGGCGCAGGCATGACAAATCACCTGACCGCCTTCATAAAGACAGGCACAGGGCCTACGGATTGGAAGAAAACACTCTGCAAGACTTTAGAATCTAATTCGAATAGCTGAGCTAAGGGATCTCTAAAAGGACCTTTTCATGAGCTCGTTTTACCCGCGACTCGGCGAGCTCGCCTAAATAAGCAGAAACCATGCACCTCCTTCTAAGCCGAGGTTTTCAATGCCAGCGACTGGCCCCTCGCCTTTGACACAAAGCCAAGCCCATCGCCCTTCGGCATGGCAATCGGACTCGGATGCGCGGAATGCGCGGGCCTGGTGTAGTCACGTGAGGAACCTTCATGGGATTGCAAACCCGGGTGTCACTATAACTTGCCCGACTTACGCTCCTTCCCCAAAGATGACAAAGACGATGGAGATGAACAAGTGGCTGGCAACCAAACAAATCCGTGGAGAACGTGGAAAGTTGCCCTTTCCGCCGAGGAACAAACAGCCGCAACTTGAGGTGTTTGCAATCAAGAGAATCAAGGGCAGTGTTCTTGTCCTGCAAGCGAGGGGAACAAGACGCACACACACACACACACGCCAAACATTTGTCTTATGTTCCTCTTCCAGTCCCGACACGAGCAGTTTGAATGAAGCATGCTCCGTCAGCTTGCGTCGGGCTTTGAGCCGGATCCCCCGCTGCCGGGCGACAGTTGTTTTTCTTCTTTTTTTTCTTATTTTTTTCGGGCGCGCATGATGAGAGCGCCTTCCCCTGCAAACATGGCCTTGAGTCATTGCTGGCCAGGTCGGTCAGCTAGTGAACAAAATCATGGACCTCAACCTGCAATCATAATTTGCTTGCACACTGACGGTGATGTGCGTCCTCCACTCATTTGCAATGGTCCATTCTGCGCATGCATTACATAAATGGCTTAGACATATTTCAGAAAAATCGTAGCTCCGGTTGCTTTTCCTACTAAGACAGGCTTGCTGCTTGTGTCTGGACAAAAGCGCAACATCCACATCTGGCTTCCAACCATAAGCTTGGCTGCGGATCTTTTGGGTGCAAACCGCCGAGTCGAGTCAGAAATCGCCGACATCTCTTGGCTCCATAAACACAGCGGGGCCGTTTGCGGCTCAGAGCAGCTTCAGCGGGGCCTGGTACCCGGTGTAGGGCACCTCCGGCGCCGGGTAGAGCGGCGGGAAGTCGTAGGCCACCGGGGGCAAGGGCCCCGTCCAGCCAGGCAGGTAGTCACCGATGTCCTGAAACATATTTTTGTTGGGCCACGTTTTTCTCGGCGGAAGTTGGGCAGCGCAAACCGGAAAACCGAAATGCGGACCTGGAAATTTGACATGATCCATGGATGTTGGTGCTCATCTCGATTCCTAGGTCCCAAACGCATGGGATCGTTTATCCAATGAGGCTGGCATACAGAGAGTGTCTGGAAGTGAAAGTCTTGGTCCTAGAAACAAAAGCTATGCGAATGAGTGATGCATGCATCTGCGTGTGCTTCTGTGCAGTTTGATCTTTGTGTGTGTGTTATACATTTATATGATGAGTTTGTCTCAAAATAGGGGGAACCCAACATGGGCTTCTCTTTGGTTTCTGTATGAAACAACCCACCAAAAGTAGGGTTCCCAAAAAAAACACCCACCCACCAGACGTCCCTCAGCCTCGGGATTTTTCTCGGCCCTGACTGAGGATCCTGAGGATCCCTGAGGACAGTTCAAAGGCCTGGATCCAAACAGAAACAATTACGTCAACTCAGCACATTTGGAGTATACAAGAAAGAAACAGCCCCATTCAAACGGTGTTTCTATACATAACACGTCGGCATTGTTTGCCACATTCACCGGGTTGGGCCGTTGGCCCAGGAGTGTTTTCCACTCCTTTCAGGTTCGCCAGGGCATGGTTTAGAGCCAAACGCCAAACACCCAAGGAACCAAATTGGGACCAACTAAAAACGGCCAAACACAAGTAAACCAACAGCCAAAAAGCCAGAAAAAAAAAAGGAACCCCACCAACGGCTAGCCACGAACACTCTGCTTGAGCCGGTCCTGGCAGACCTGGGAGCCAAAGCACACCTTCACCTCACCGAAGTCTCCGAAGAGCAGATCCTCTCGGAGCTGTCGGGTTTGGACGACTCGTCCGAAGACTCGTCCGAAGGAGTCTTCGACATCGGACACTTCTTGGTTGACGTTGGAAGGGGAGCATAAATTTTCAAATTTTAGCAGTTCAGTGGGGATTTCAACCACTAAACCGCAAGATGCAAAAATGCAAAATGCTTCCCAACAACAAGCATGACTTGGATTGATTGACATGGACTCATGTGGTAAGCTAAAACTCCGCTCCGAAAGTGGTGACCCACATTGAAACCACTTAAAAGGAATGGGCACCTGCCTTCCAAACAAAAAATAATATGACATGGGCGCGTTGTGGGCTCCATGATGCTGTTCATAATAGCATCGATCAGTATATTCCTGGGAATCAAAATCGGAGAAGACAGACATAACTCTAAGGGTTGATTCCCCATTCTTTTCAACCATCGTTCTTTTCAAAAACCAGCTGTTTCCCCAGGGTTTTGGGGTGGTTTTTGGAAAGAAGGATGCCTGGAAAGAATGGGGAAGGTAGCCCTAGAATAACCCAGTACTCAGGTCAAACTCGAAACAGACCTTCTATCTTGGCATTGAGGCCTTAAGGTCCCTCGTGCCGGACGTGCCAGAAAGGGGGCTGGACCTGTCGTATGACGTCGTATGCCCTCCTTGAGGCAAACCTGGGCAATGCCTTTTCGAGTCTTCGAGATCCATGGAATTTGCTGTCTGTGAAACCCAACTACACCAGGTACTTTGTGTGTCGAAATGAGGGGACCCAACAAATAGTGGGTGTCCTTTCCGTTTCCCTTGAAAAGAGTACCCTCAAAAACGCCAAACGCGAAAAGTACGAAAGCGTCATGCAAATGCAAAGAAACATTGCGAGCCCTAGGCACCCAGGTTTACAGACAAGCTTCTTGCGAGCCGGTGCAGCCGGGATGCATCCGGGGTAAAGGAAATATGGAGCAAAATTAAAATACGCTCGCAGTCCTCTCCCTTGAAGCCCAACTTTTGCCATGCCATACAGGTTATGTGTCTCATCTTGCTGGTCGATGTTAGCCGTCCTTCAGAGTTGCTTATTAATCAAAGCATCGCGCCATTTCACGGCTCCCCAAAAGGAACACAGAAAATTCGGAGCCCTGTCCATGGGGCTCGGCATGGCAGTGTTTTTCTGTGCGAGTCCCCGCATGGAAATCTGGATGGGTGGTTGGCAATTCTTCGATCCCAAGAAACCCCAAACTCTATCAGAAACCACAAACGATGCGCCTGAGTGATGAGACCCACGATGGCCATCATGGCCAATCTGACGCTCGCAATGCGAATTTTGGAGTTGCGCCGTATCTTTGGTAGGAATCCTTAAGCTACTCCCCAATTCTGGGATTGATCATCCTCAATCAAACCCCAAGTGAGTCGCAATCAAAACCTGGTGCTAAAATGGTCTACCCAGAACCATGTACAGGATTAAGAAGGCGGCCGCAGCTATTTATGGTTGGGATCGTCCCTTACTAACCTTCATCTACCCAGGTTTTGATTGTGACTCAAGTGAAAAGGCCTTTTGACCAGACTAAAACTCTGAGGGACATCTCTTGCGTAACCCGTTGATCGGAACCGAATGTCAACATGAAACCAACCAAATCAGGAAGAACATTGTCTTCCAGAGGCCGCCATTCAGGTTCTGCGTGACTTGGTGTAGGGGAAATCGTTTCGTCGGGTCAATCCTCTCAAAGATACCCCTCTGTTGATCCGCGTTCGCGGCATCAAAAGGAACCCAAGGAGGCGGCCTGGGAAAAAAAACCAAGGGGTCCAAAGTGCTTGCTCCTTGAGATCCAAAAGGGGAGTTCCTTGGTTCCGTGGGGCAGTAACCTGAACGACAGGAACCTGCCGGTCAGACAGCCCAATTAAACCACATAGAACTCATAGAACCGCCTAAAACGGCCAGGAACGACTTCTCCAACAAATGCGGTCGTTTGGGCTCGTCGATAATTTGCAGGAGTGTTTAGTTGGCGGAACACACCAAGGGTACTCACCATGATGGCAACTGCTTGTTCCTTGTGCCTACATGTATTGCAACCCCCTACCTCAACACAGGGAGCCACCCCACATTTGGTGGTGTCCTCAAATAAGGGCCCCTCGTCGGAGAACCAAAAGCCAGGATCCTTGTATCCAACTGTCTGCGGCTCCCTCTAAGCAAAAGTTATCTGCACGTGTCCTTCAAACGTGGCTAGACCGGCCTCACTTGTTTTGTTTGCGGCCCCAAGTTCACTTCGTATATCCCACCCAAGCCACTTGCCCGAGCTTCATTGCTTGAATGAACAACCCCAGGATATAAACTGCAATAAAACTGCAGTCCCTCCAGAAGCGGAAGTATAAGGCCCCTCGCCGGAACGGCCAAATGCCTTGAAGGGTTCTCTTTCACGCGGACCCAATGAGTAATAACTAAACGCCGGTGCTTGACAGGCGCACACTGTGACCCATTGACCTGTGCAAAAACAAAAGCACGAACAACCCAAAGGGTGAATTAGTCGAACCCCATCTGGCAAACATATGACACGCCTCAGTTGGTCGACTTTATATTCCCCCTCAACAGGTGGTCCGCCCCAACTGACCGACTGAAACTTTTGGCGCCTGCCGTTGTTCAGCTCCTGCACTTCGGCCTTCCGGAACTGGTTCCAATAGTTGTCCTCCGCAGCTTACGGCTTGGGGGGTCGGAAGGGGGGCTTGTTCCAGTAAACAAATAAAAACAAACCGAAACAATACCGAGTTTCTACCCATGATTGGCCATTGTTCGGGGCAACCCTGCTTAGCCGCTTAGCCTTCTAAACTGGACAAAGTGCATCCATCCCTCTTTCGTTTGGATTATCTTTTGAGGGACCCGACAAATTACGGGTCATTTGAAGGTTTGGCACAGGGGAACAAGCGATCCTGCATCCAACCAAAAGGTCCAAAACAAGTCCGAGATTCAACAGGGTGATGGGACTCAGGCCAGTGAGCTGTCGCGGCACTACAACTCTTACAAAGTAGAAACACAAGTACAAACAACGGGTCAACGACGAATCCGGAGTCAATGGAAGGCATATTTGCAAACCGACCGCACTCTGCAGCTTCAGAGCAGTGCAAAATTCACAAATGAAAACTGGGGGCCGCTTCAGCCAAGTGTCCAAAGTTCCCACGGTGAAATTCCCATGTGACGATCACGCAATGAAAACCATTCACATTGTCTTCTTGCCCTCTCTTTGCTCGCTTTTGGGTGATGCACTGCCAAACACCTGCAGGAGTGAGTGGTCTCAAGCGAATGTCCTCAGGACATCAATTATGATGAACCAAATATTCAATATGTATTGTAAAACAACACGTGGTTGTGAGTGAGCAAACCAAACACACACGCACACACACCACAGCAAAAGTGAAACACACACCAAACGCTAAACCAGCAAGCATGCAGGCCTCCAACCAGTCGGCCGCTTTGGCGCTTGCCAGGCTGCTGATTTGGATGGGGTCAAAACTTACCTTGACCAGGACTTGGCATCAAGCTGCCCGGCTGCCCATGAAGCGTTTGTATCCCCAGGCGCCGCTTTGGACAAATCGTTGGTCTTGGTAAATTATTAGAGCCACCAAACGGAGCCAAACCAGGGTTCCCAACGTTTCCCTTAACACCGCGCCAAAGGTGATAAGTTAAAACCACCAAAGGAAATATAGGGCACCCGGGTCTGAGGACACCAAGGTTGCAGTCCTCATCCTCCAGGAGGATGTCCGACCAGCCCAGGACGTCCCAAGGCTTGCTCTTGGGGGGCGGGCACACGTAGGTCGACACCCACTCCAGGCACATGATGAAGAAGACCGTCTGCCACATGCCTCCGAGCGATCTGCGGCGACGGGCAATGGAAAGCATACTTTTCAGTGCCCGAAAAAACTTGAAGCCAAGTGCAAGAATCTTATCAAATTACAATACAAGCACAATGCAACACTGAGCCCCTACCCCCTCTCCCCCGCTCCCACCTTTGACATAACTTCAGGAAAGCATTTCCAATCAAGCGGGCGAACCAACCAACCCTCGTCTTGTACCTGCTGGGTGATGTAGCTCAACACTTTCGGGCTAACTTTGCGAGCACCGCGGTTTGAGGCGTACTGGGGGTGTTCGGCCAACTTGGTGACTGCTATTGTGACCTACCTAGATAACAACCCACATTCAAGTCCCCCAGAGGTTTGCCCAGTTGCAAGTCGGTATTCGCCTAGGTAAATCCTTCACCACTTCCTATCTCGGCCGTATAACCAAGTATTCTCACTTCAGTGGATGGGCCAACAAGAGTTCAAACCAAGAAAGAAGACCAAAGTCCAGGAACTCGGGCGGCAATGAGTATTTGTCTCTTCAAGGGCTTAGAGCATCAAAGGTGGGCCTCCCATGGGAAGCTGGGTGATGCTGACCAGGGGGTTGTTGTCCAGGTACCTGCAATGCACCAAAGTGCGAGTTTCGGCGAAACTCAACCCAAATGAAAAAGACAGCTTTAAGTTAACAATAAATACTAAACAACGTAGTCACCACACTGTGAACTGGCAAATAATAATGCTGAGCTGAATTATTCCGTCTATATGTCTATCAATTCGGAATGAGGATACTCGCTGTCTTGGGCTGAAGTCTCGAATGTGACTTGCGTAGGGTGAATGATCCGCTGCGCAACTCGTCCCTCATCAATGACTGAGTAAACAAGCAGCACATCCGAACAAACCACCAGACCAGTCGAGAATATGAAACATTCAGCACCTGGACCCTCCCCTGCAGATTTTGGCCACAAAACCTGTGAATGCAGATGTGAACAACAACCGGTCAATGAACATGACAGGAGCCTCAGCCTGTCGATGATTCTGCAAGAAAACTGAAAAGTAGCGGCGGGGTTGGGGGGAGGCTGATGATGCTTGAAGAAGTGTTGATTCAAATAGGGGTGCAATTACTGTGCAAACAGTCTAAAAAAGTAGCGGGTGGGTTGGGGGGGGAAGCCCCCCATGATGTTCGAAGAAGTGATGATTCAAATAGGGAGGAACTGGTGATGCTGATGATGGGGGAAGCCAAATCCAAGAGGATGCGAAAAGCCAAAGCTTCCAAAAGCCGCATACACCAGCGAAAAGCCGCAGAAGCCAAAACGCCACCTGCCGAAGAGGAACTGGGAATGGAGAGGATTCGAAAAGCCAAAGCCAAAAAGCCACCAAAAGCCGCATAAACCAACAAGAAGCCGAAAAGCCAAGAAGCCGAGAAGCCAAAAAGCCAAAAAGCCAAGAAGCCGAAAAGCCAAGAAGCCAAGAAGCCAAAAGCGAGAAAAAAAAGTACCCCGCCCTGGTCAAACCCCAACACATCAACCATGTTCTTTGATAGAAACGTAGCCCCCACCAATATCCCGCCTGCCGGCCTTACAGTGGCAGGGTCACTAGACTTCAGCGGACATAGTGGCCATGGCCAATGAATGCCGGGATCATATTATGTGATGCGAAAGCTAGATGTGGGCCAGGGGGTCACGTCACGTAACGCAATGTTTTGGCGATGCTGGGCATAGAAGTTCTTCCGATGGGCCTGTTATTTCCCAGAAGCAAGGCCTAAAGTGCGCCGTGTCGCAAAATCCGAAGCCACACGGACTGCACGCTCACCCCCCCGCCCAGACCGCCACAGATTGTCAGTCCCACGGACGACCTTTCTTTCACATTTCGTTATAAACAGTCTGGAGTCCAGAGCTACCAGAAACAGCGTCTTGGCCTAACATGTGGAACTCGGCCCCAAAGGAAAATAATTGTCCTTATTGCCACATGTCGGCCTACCAACATGCTGCTTCTGCACACCAGCATGTGGAACTGCTTGCTCCCCAGAAAATGTGGATATAACGTATTCAACTGGCCCGGCGAAGCGCCATAATTTTGTGATGAATCCCAGCTCCTGAGTAACCAATCATGTGTGTGGAGTGGAGTCTTTCGGGGCAATGCAAAACTTTGCATCTGGCATTTGGTGATTTTTGTTGTGAGACCTTTTTCAGGGGAAGCACGACTTTTTGGGTTGTAGACGGAGACTAAAAGGAAGCCACGCATTTGGCTCTGAAACCCGCGAGGGCACGTGCCGGTGGCCAAGTCCCCGATGATGTGGAAGCCCCCGGCCACCTGAGGCAAACAAAAACGGACTTGGCTTTCACCAGTGGGTGTCGGCGTTGTTGTTATTTGTGTTTTGTGTTGTGTTGCTTTGTGTTGCCTTTCTTCTTATTTTTTCCGGGGGGGGGGGGGCAACATTTGGGGAAATTCCTGGTTAGCTTGCTTTAAAACCACCAAATTGGAGGCACTTTTTTGGGCAGACCCAGAAGCCAGTTCGGTCTGTTTTTTTGGGTACCCTTTTCAGCTTGGTTTAAAGGGAAACCACAAGGAGAACCACAAAAAGGTGTCCCCTCAACCCCACATCCACGGCAAGCCACTGCTGCAAACCTGGGCCAACTTCATTTGAGTTTTTGAAGGGTGCGAACCTGTTTCAAAATCCAGCTATATGGGTAAATGAAATCTTGGGCTCCTTGGTTGCCTACTCCCCACGCTTCCAGCTAACACTAGCGAGCAACCAAGGGAAATCATAATGTATCATCTGGAGGATACAACCTGCTTACTTGCTGCCTGGAATCACCGGGTGTTGGACTTTCAGTCGAAAAATGCAACATTCTCAAAGGATCAACAGGATATTGGGTTCCACCAGTGATGAGGGCAGCTTACCGGATCACTCAAGCGTGGCTGCGTCAGCGCACGTTGAAGGCTTGGTCATTGGTTTGAGGTTCGGCCCCGAGAATGGGTGTGACTATTTGGTGGCAATCACTTTGAGGATGTGCGAAAGGGAAGGCAGAGGGAACCCAAGGTAAACCCACAGAAACAGGGGACTCTACGAGGGACATCATTGCCGGGGGGATTCATGTCCACCAGCCACGTTTGAGATGGTTGCTCTGAAGAATCATGCCCACCGCGTTGAACACCTGACTTTGACAACCAAAAATTGGCAAGCCACTCGAGTTGCAGCTACACGCCCCGCTTGAACCTCTTCCAACGCTTTTCAGGATCCAAATTCATAGACCAACCTAAAGTTGTCTAAACGGCGAGTCATGGCACGTGGAACCAGCCCAGCACCGCCAGCATGGCCACGCGCCCGTGCTTCAGCTCAATGGCGCGCAACTCCTTGATCTCCTCCACGTGACTTTGTTTTTTACAGGTAGATGTGGGCACCATGTGGTGAGTGTTTCTTCGCTGAACTGTGTGCTTTCGAGGGTCTGAGCACCAAGGAGTTGTCCGGCACACAATCTTGCGTCGTCTTTTCAGCGCCCACTCTTCATCGCTGACCCCAGAGACCGACTCATGTTCGAGGTCAATGTTCGTTAGCTGCTTCTCTGGCAACCCACCCGAAAGTCCACGACTCCCTTGTGGGTGGGAATCAAAGAAAACCTGCGAAAGCCTCAACACAGATCAAACGCGCACACAACACAAAAAATCATAATAAACGACCCAACCTTGCACAAACCAAAATATGACAAAAACAAAGCAAACCGACACAGTTCTATATTAGAAGTCTTCTCAATCCGGAATCTGCGCGGCAATTGTGGGTCAACACCGTTGGAGCATGGAAATCCATACAACAAATCATCCGCGATCTGGCAAACCGCATCATCTAATTCGTAAGCTGCATGTTCCGCACACCGCAAATTATTGGGATTGGATTAGGTTTTGAACAAGCATTCTCAAACAAGCACCAAAACAAAAACAAACAAAAGCGGCACAACAAGCGCACCAACCACTTCAGGGGATCTCTCGCCGTCCTCCTCGCTCTTCTTGCTGGTGATGCCTGCCGGGTCCCAATAGTTCTCCGGGAAGGGGCCGCCGGTGCCGGCGATGCACTCCTCCAAAACCGTGGGCTGTTGGGTCTCGGTGGGCTGTGTGTAGGGTAAGGCTCCTTGGGGAAAGGACCCCTCGAATTTGGCGTCCATGCGACAATTCGCAGAGTAAGTTGGGAGCAACTTATTGCAAACAACCAGGCCTGGTCCTTCGAGGGAAACGAAGAGGAAGGTGGTTTACGCAGTGGAAGTTGGCCTAGCTCTGGTGTTTGGATTGTGTCTGCACAAACATTCATTGTTGTTTCTTCTCTGCTTGTGCTTGCTGCCCCGCTTTGCTGAGTTTCAGTGCTAACCTTGTGCTTTGCGGAAAAAAAAGGAAAGAAAACCACTGGTGTGGCTAACCTTCTGTTCTTTGCTTGAGCATTCTGAGAGCATGTTTGATTCATGCGATCGCCAAATTTTCCGATGCACTTTCTGGATCCGTTCCCTGGGGCTGTTTGAGACCAGTTCTGGCGAACCCAGCCAGCGAGCCGGGACGAAGCATTCGCACGAGAGACCGTCCCATGAGAAATCGCTTCCGAAGCCCTGCGACCCATGTTGCCACCGCAGGGAAGTTGGTGAGGGCTCAACCCACTGCGAAGGTGTTTTGGAGGTGGTTGCCCTGAGGATGTCACTTTGGACCTAAGTCAATGGCTGTCAGTTTCAAGCCGAGCATGGTTTTCTGCACAGTGGAAAGAAACAACACCTAGTGACCTCCGAACGTTCCGCTTGTCTTCCAGGCATCCTCGAACTGCTGGGTATGCTACGAGACTCCCCTATGTGGCACGGAAGAAGGGGCTTTGCAATTTCAAGGCCATGTACCTTGTGTTGTTTTTGGGGATGGGGGGGGGGTCCACAATTAAGATAGCATGCAAACCCAAGCGCTGCTCATGTACTGAAGCCAGGTGCACATCAAGCTGCGTCATTTGCATAACCCCAGTTCAGGCATTGAGGCAGTACACGCCTTTGGGTAGAACATTGATGCCTGTAGAAGTGTAAGTGCAGGTTTTTAAAGATCCCACAGGGTCCTCTTTGAATGGAGCCCACGGCTGCAAAAAATGCCTCGCTCCCCGGCCGCAAAAAAAACGGACCTTCCACCTGCGAGGTCGGCTCGGCCGTCTCCTGCGCCGGGGTCAACGCGCGCAGCGGGGAGTCCGTGTAGAGGGCCCAGTCCCCCCAGGCAGACCCCGTGAGCCCGTTCTGGAAGAACATGCCGATGATCGCCTCAGAGGAATCCGATCGAAAACCGCTGGGCTTGACTGGGGACCACGGGGGATCGCCTGGGTGCCTGGGAGGTGCTCTTGCGCTCTGGTGTCTGGGTCTGTGTGTGTGCACATGCATGTAGCTGGCTATCCTGAAGCTGCTGGGATCCATGTATAACAAACTTTCCGGCAGGTGCGATGCCAACGTGAATGAACACCAAGCGCTTTGCATGGACAATGTGAACTGAGAGAAAAACACGAAGAATTCCCATACTTCCAAGGCAACCCTCAGAACCTGCGCACCTCATGAAGTCGCCTCATGAAGAAAGCCAACGCTGAGGTTCCGGCCATCATCGCCAGCCTTCCGTTGGCGATTTCCGCGGCAAGCTTCTTCTCCTGGGGAAATGAGGGGCATATGGGTGTATCTGGGTTGGTCTCAATATGGTGGACGCCTCTGGGTCGGTATTCATAGGGAAACCAACAAGAAACCAGCCAGGCCAGGGAACCACTATCTTGAGCAACTGCCATCTCTGTTTGAGGGTACGCTTTTGGGTTATTTTCAACGACCACCGCAAGGAACTTAGTAATTCTAGGGTTTCCCTGTTTAGAGAGGCAACCATACATGAAATTTGCCCGGAGGGCTGTTTTGAAGGAGCATTCGGTATCTAATACCAATGCGCCCAGCTGACTGGAGCATTCTTTCCTATTCTCTTCGAATTGTGGCTCATTTTCTGAAGAGCAAAATCCTTGAGCGTAAAATGGGCTGAGAAGGATATGCAGCATGCAGTTTTTTAGAGAGCCATGTTGACATTTCAGGCATGTAGCCGGGAAGCCACATGTCATTGTGCGCATATGTAAATATATATATATATATGTGAGGGTTGTCCAATATTCCTTGCTCCAAAAATCGCCTTCCGCCTCGCCCTTCCGCGAACTTCCGCGATGCAGGTAAAACCACACGTTCTGATACGTGTCTGAACATAAGTTTCCTACAAGTAAAAGCAAAGCAAGCCAAGAGGAAGCGCTAGTGCAGAAAGCAAGAAGTAGACTAGGATTGGAGCGAGGATGGGACGAAGAGCAGAACGAGCAAAAGGACGGAGGAGGACAAGCAAACGTAGGAAACGGAACAGCAGAACACCGGAGAAAGAAAAGGAGGGAGGAACGCGGCAACAAGCGACAAGCTATGCTACGTAAAGAACCTGGCCAGCCACCCCCCGCGCACGGCGACAGCCACAGTTCCGGGCTTTGTTTTGGTATCGTTTTGGGTATCGTTTGGAGCGCCAGCACGCAGCTACAAATGCGGCGCCCCTGGGCGACAGAACGAGCAGCAGCACCGGACAACAGACACAAGCGATATCTCACGCGTAAACACGAGACCCCTGCAAGGCGACAGCTGCAATTGCAAGGGTTTCGTTTTGGCATCGTTTTGGGTATCGTTTGGAGCTCTGGCACACCCAAAACCAAAAGCATGAGCAAAAGGAACGGAGCTTGGGGACGGGGAACAGAAGCAGCAAACAGCAAGAGCACTAGACGCAGGCAAAATTTCACACTGAAAGGAACGACGGGTGGCCAGTCCCCACGCAAGGCAACCGACGCAACTCTGCGGGGCTTAGTTTGAACACGCAAGGACACGCGCGCTCGTTTTTGGCCTGGCGTGTAGGAGCAAGGAGCAGCATAGACGGACCAGCAGAGGAAGGACTGGCGACAGAGGCATCTTTTCGAGGTCCGAAACGCGCGGGAATTGCGCAGGTATTGTCCGGGGTATCGTTTTCATCTCAGAACAAGTTAATACATGAAGCACACTTTGACTTTCACAGCCAACCTAAAACATCGCAGCTTTTAAGTACTGGCAGAGTACGAGCTGCCTCATCTCAAGCAGCACAACTTTTTAGTACTCGTGTAGTACACGAGTAAAGCTTCATCCCATGATAACACATAACCTTCCGCGAAACTTCCGCTCGCCCTTCCGCGGTCTTCCGCGACCACAGCGCCGCAACACCGAATCTGCTTTCGTATTCAGTCCTTACAAAAAAAAGCCATAGCGGTTTATTGGTCGATTCTCATATATATATATTATGCTACATCAATTGCCCTGCGCATGTGTTGTCCATCCATCCAGCTTTGCGTCGTTGTGTTGGTGCCAGCAGGGCACGGCACGCTGCAAGAACATGATAAATCTTTGCCGTGTCGCATTCATCATGAAAACGTTCTTATCTCCACAGTCTGAACTGAAGTACATTGCAACATATTTCTGACCTGGAAGCGTAGCTGCACATGGACCAAATTGAGAAGCACACATAACGTCGGCTTCTCACTCAACACAGACATAGACCCTTGAGGCAACTCCCTACGAGTGGAGCCTGCAAATAGTCAACTGGTTGGTGAGGGAGAATCAACACCCGGTATGTCAAAGGACCTCCCAGGAGGGTCTCTTAGAACGGACCTCCCAGGAGACTCTAGGTGTGCACATGTGTCAGTGCAGTGCACGTACATGGCTTGATGCTGCCGCCGGCCCTTTTGCCTAAGACCTCAATGAAGGGTTCATGGCAGTTGATGGATTCAGGAGCATGTGTCACGATGTTAGCTAGCTTCAATTTTACAACCACGATACTTCTAAAACCGAATGTGCCTGCCACTCATTTCATTCAATCAGCGTTGTGCGATTTAGCAAAGCTTTGGATGGCTGCCTCATGGCATTGAGGGCAGTCCTTCGAAAAGCACACGTTGACAGCAAGCGAAGTCACACATGTTTGCTCCCGATACCGAGGTAGTGCACGGGAGGGGATCTATGGAGGTGCGCCCGCCCTGCCCCATGCATGGATCGAGAACGGAAACATGAAGCCCAAAAATTAAAAGATAGTTTGAGGAACAAGGGAAATGGCCATCTACAAACATGACCTCGCTGTTGAACCCCGCAGCAAACCTGGCCCAGCTAGCGCGACAGCTTTTTCAGTGATGCCGTCGGTGCCGGATCTGGAGAGAATGGCAATCCTGGAGGAGCACAGGGCAGGGTGTCTTGAAGGTGTTTGGGAGGGTTGGGGCTTGGGAGTTTCCAGGAGCTCTACCATGAGATCCTCTCAGAGGAGGAAGCGGTGCAGGAGCGCTTCAAATTCCTTGCCCGTAAAAGGGCCCTCCCAAAGGAGAAGGTGGAGAAAAGGATGGATGCTGGGCAGGCTAGGTATGTTCTGCAATCACAACTTGTTTGAGTGGGGCCGGCCTTTTTGAGGCTCCGGTCAACTGGACCTTCGTGGACATCCCAGCCGAGGGCATTACTCCCGATGTGGCAGCAGCCCCAAACAACAAAACAACGATAGTTGCCACACCCCGTGCGCCTCAGGTTGAGCAGGAAAACAACTTCAATTTCCTCTTGGCATTTATGACTTCCTTTGCCGCCAAGCCACCCACCTTCCATGAAATCAAGGCGGGCAACTTTGTATCAGTTCATTCCATGTGCACAATTCCTCCCTCCTCCTTGCAGGTATGCCTCTTCAAACTGGCCAAGCTGAAGGGGGTTTCACTGGTCAGGGCCAAGCACCCGCAGGATCTGAAGGCAGTCGGTATGTGCGCATCCATCTACTCTGCGTGCGTAATTTGCCGCCAGGCATGGGCCAGGGAAGAGGCCGAGCTGCAGATCGGACTCATGCGCTACATGATCAAGAGGTGCCGCAAGAACAAACGAGCAAGGAGCGCGGGATGAGTGCATGCATGCAACCACCATTACACGCTTGCATGCATGCACACGCGGGTGCTGACTGTGCCAGGAAGGGGCATGAAAAAATGGAGGAGCTGAAGAATCTGATTCGGGCACTGCGAGGACTGGCGCGCGTGCGCATGGATGCACATGGATGCGTCGGGGCGGCATGTTCGAAAATCTGGCAGTGCTAGCGTGTGCTCGCAGGCCAAGGCGAAGAGCTCAAGCAAGCGGTCGAGGATGGCGCAGTGGACGCTGTGGAGGATGGCGCTGCGGAGATGGAGGACGCGCCGGTGCCGGTACACGCAATCAACGCCGACGACATGGAGTCGGACTACGCGGATACGCTCCAATGGAGCGAGGATGAGTGCGAGGTGGCCGAGAGCGGCGAGGAGGGGGGTGGGCAGTCAGCTAGCACGAAGCCTGTAGCGGAGCAGCCGGCGCAGATCATGGCGCAGCCGGCCAAGCTGCAAGATGCGGACGTGGCGGATGCGGAAACGGTGGATGCCGAACAGCCAGGCGAGGCGAAGCTGCTTGATGCGGTCACGGTGGATGTGGTGGAGCAGCCGGCCCCGGCCATGGTGCTTGATGCGGTCACGGTGGATGTGGTGGAGCAGCCGGCCCCGGCCAGGGTGGATGTGGGTTGTGACGAGCAGCCGGATGCGGCCATGGTGGATGATGTGGAGCAGCCGGCTGCGGCCGAGGATTTGGAGCGGCGAGTGGAGGCGAAGCCGCTTGATGCGGCTGTTGTGGAGGCGAAGCCGCGCGAGCGGGCAGCGGAGATCAAAAGTGCGGAGCTGTTAGATCTGGTGAAGGTGGAGCCGGCGAAGGCGGAGCAGGCGGCGCCGGAGCTCCTGCAAGCCTTGGAGGAGGCGGAAGAGAAGCAGCAGGAAGGCCTAGACTCGGACCCGGAGGAGGTCAAGAAGAGGCAAAGCTTCAAGGCAGGGCCCGGTTCGCTCTTGGTACGAATCTGTGTTGCATGCACGCAGGACCGCAAGCCTTTGTTTCCTTTGCCCGAGCTGCCGAATCTGGTGAAGGCCCACTTGCAGGAGCACTTCCCGCAGCTCATGCAGGATGTTCCGGAAGACGCTGCCATGAACGGGATCAGCCGCTTGGTGATGGAGGCAGGGCTTGCGCGCGTTGATTGATTAACATCACATGCTACAATATTTGCGCGCATGCTTGATCATGCGCTGGCTGAGTTGCAACGGGACGTGCGCCGTGACATCAACCAGCAGATTCGAGACGCCCAGAAAGAGGTGGACCGAAAGCAAGAAGCGAAAACAGGCCGAGGCCGAGGACGCGGGCGCGGGCGGGGAAGAGGAAAGCGGGCAGCTGCGGAGGCTCGGCTGTTGAGAATGCGCTTCATCAGCGGCAGCGGGCTCTTACACATGTGTCAATCATGCGTGCTCTGCATCAGGCGGAGAAGGACGAGGACCAGGAGCACGAAGCGCCTGGTGGAATCAAGGCCATTTCGCGCACTCGTGAGCTTGATTCTATTTTGCGCCGCCTGTGGATAGGTAGACGAGGACGAGAGCCAGTCGCACGAGGACGAGGGCAGCAAGAAGGCCAGTTGCGCCTAAGACTCATGAGCTCGTGCGTGTATGTTGTGTGACCAGGCAGTGGGGCAATTGGAGGTGCCGTCTGCTGCCACCGCAGAGGCTAGACAGCAGCAGGTACGCTGCACGCATGCACTTGGCCTGCAAGGCGGAGAAGGCTGTCAAGAAGAGGAAGCTGAACGTTGGTGCGAAGGCCAAAGAGGCTCGACCGTCTAGCGTCATTTAAGCACCTGTCATGTCATGTAAGCATCCCTATTTATGGTCATGCAGGCGGACGGGAAGGCTGCGAGGAAGGGCAAACAGCAGGATGCGGCTTCAGTGTGCACACATGTGCACGCACGCATTCAATCACATCCCTGGTATTTGCCTGAAACATGTCACGTTCAGGCCCCGAAGACTTTGAAGGAAGAGGGGGCGTCGAAAAGCGATGACAAGGGTGAGGAGAATCCCCCTGTTCAGGCCGGGATAATCTTGAGCCAAATGCGCATGTGCCTTGCCTTCTCTTGCTTGTAGGTGCCTCGAGAGCTGACCCCGGTTCAGAAAGGCCGCCTGACTATCTTGAAGAAGTTTGCCAAATCTGAAGCGCATTTCGAAGTCCCCAGCGACTTGGAAGTTGGGCAATCGTGCCGCCCTTATCAAACATGTGGTTCAATCATTATAGATGTGCCACCCCGAAACCTGATCGGTCGATTTGCATGATTACAAGGTCATGGACTATCCCGCCGCCCGTGGGGAAAGAATCTTGCTCCTCTATCGGGGTGCTCCTCGTTGGCCAGTACTACATTTATCGCGCCCAGAAAGTTGAGGAGATCAATCAGCTATACGGCACGCAGTTCAAGGCCGTGATGTGAGAACTGCATCATCATGCACAGCACTATACTGACTCGATGCCAGGCGAACCGCAAGGGAGGAGTGACTCTGTCATATACCCGGATGGGCTGTGGAGGGGGGTGGGATATGGCCAGACGTCTAGCCGGTTGGTGCCGAGTTGATGAATGAACGCAACACGGCTCTTTTTCAATCAGGGTGTCAACTGGACTCTGGGGTTCCAACTGCAGGGTCCGTGGCACCTAAAAGGGAGACAGCCGAAAAAGGTGTTGCGAAACCCTTCGTTCAACATGTTCACTTTACTGGGTAGGACCCATGGACCCAGGGCCCAGTTTTCTAGATTAGGGTTGGGGTGCCGCTGCGCAACCGCCCTGAGCGGGGAGGGGCCATGACATGAACAGAGCAAACAAACACGACAGAAGCTGCTTTGATTGGTGCCCCTACGCTTGCTCGGCCAGCGGTTGCATGCAGCTGGTTTGCAATCAATATCGGGCACGAGCCCATGATTGATCGGATGCAAAAAAAGCGCTTGATGAATGCTGAATTGCCAAGTTGTGGGATCATGATTGCAACCTTGATTCCTTGATCAGCTGCATGAATTCTTCCCAAAAGCTATTTTGGCTTCTTGTGGATAGGGCCCGAGGGTAGTTTGCCCCACCTCCCCGCAATGCAGGCGTCCTTCTCCAAGCCAGTCGCGAGCGTGGAGCGTCCGGCCTGGGGCCAGAAGCAGATTGCACTGACGGCAAGGGAGCACGAGCTTCTTCGCCAGTGGGGGATGCCACCTACTGTGTTCTGGCCTCACGAGCCTTTTGAACCTTGAGTTTTCCTCCAACTCGCGCAGGCTGCATGCCATCGACTTTGTGGTGCAGCAGACCCCAGCAGGGTCTCCAATGGCAAGAAGGGTTCTGACCTTAAAGCGCGTAACAAGAACTTGTTCAAATTGGCCATGCAATCGCTCACGCTTTCAACCCAGAACCTCAAGCTGCTCGACTTCTTCGCAGGGGAGAAAGCACTCTACAATTACTGGCGTTCCTACCTCAGTAGCCTGATCCCGTTTGATGCATATGTGACTCGGCAGCTTTGCTTTCTGCATGCAGGCAGCCAGAACCAACACGCGTGCGCTCCCAAGGTTAGTTATATTCGATCCTTTGATCTTAGCTGGAGTTTGGTTGACTGGCGCCAAGGGAATATTATGATATCACTCACCGGCCGGAGGAGAACGATCTGACTGGAGTGCGCCGTGGCCGAATGTCATTTCCAAATCAACAAAACCAGTCACGGCTATGCTAAGGACAGGATATCTCAAAGCGATCCAGTATGCATTGCGTGTTCAAGCTGATGAGTTGGTAAGCTTTGGCTTGCCTTGCACTTCGTTTATTTTCATGAACTCCCCAACCCATCAGAGAAGCGAAGAAAGTCCCTATGGGGATGTGTCCAAGCAATACATCGTGCAAAGCAATGTGTGCCCTGGCAAAGTTTTTAGTTGGTTGAGGTGCGTGCTGCATGTGCACGCGTCAAACACACTACATGTGACACTGCAAGTTCAGCTGAGGGTTACATCAAGAACGGTCACATTGCTGATGCTTTTGAGCGCACGGGCAGTGTATTGGCTACTTGAGCAGCCGAGCTCTAGCAAAGTGATCCACTACCCGGAGCTCCGCTACTTGTTGGACATGCTCGATGAGAAGGTGATGGAAACTAGCTTCACCAGATTGCGCGACCCTTAAGGGCCAAACCCAACGCAAATACTGTTGGCATATGAACTGCAACTTGTGTCGGTCTAAGTTGGATGGGCCATTGGGGGGCCAAATCGGCGAAGCCCTCTATGGCCATTGCCACTGCGCCCGGAGCCCAGCCTCGTCCACCAAGTGACGCGGACACATAATCACCAGCGCACCTTTGCGGTTGCTCAGGCCGTGGGTGCACCGTTTGAAGAAGACAATGACGCAGGCCATCAGGGAAAAGCTGAGTTCAAAGGGCGTCACCATCAAGTATGTTTCCGGCACTGGCGAAACAAAGGTGCCAGGCACTGAGCTGATTCTAATTGTAGTTGATTTGTACCGTTTTATTGCTCGATCAAGTTGTATGCTGAGCTCAGGCGAGGTGGCAAGCTGCTCAAGCAGACGCAGCAGTATGCGCCAAAATACGCGAAAGCGGTGTTTCGGTTTCACCGGGAGTACAAGGCGCAGCAAACTGCAAATCCGGGAATTGGTTTTAAAATGACATTGAAAAAACGTACCGATTTCGGAGCCTTCTGATTTCGCAAAACGTACGGTACCAGTTTTGGAGCCGATCGTGACTGCTTGCAAAACGTACCGATTTCGGAGCCTCCAGATTTTGCCACTCCTGGGAAGAATTGAATTTGCAGTCCTTCTGATTTCGCAAGCGTACTTATTTCGGAGCCTCACAGCCCCATCATTGCAATTTCAACCTCAGGGTCTCCATGGTTGCAAGCATCAAAGGAATATAATTCGGACTAGTCTAGGTGGTTGTTGTTCAAGCCGGCACCTTCACAAATTGTGCCTCGCCAACCAATCCAATAATAGAAAAAGAAGTAGGGGGCAATTAAGCACGTACTTATGACTCACCGTGTTTTCGGGAGCCCCGCAAGCAATTTTGAGAATCGGTACCTCTCGCAAAATCAGAAGGCTCCGAAATCGGTACGTTTTGCGAAATCAGGAGAGGCTCCAAAATCGGTATTGCAATAAATCAGGAGGCTCCGAAATCGGTACGTTTTGCAAAGTCAGGAGTGTTCCAAAAGGCGCATGCTCTAGATTTTGCTGGCGACGCTGGGGGTGTTCTTGATGATGAACTATAAACAGCCTGTCTCTCGAGCTCACTTTGAATTTGAAAAGGAAACCCAAATTTGGATGTTTGGGCTCGAGACACAAACATGGCAACTCAATACCCCTTTCGCTTCAGCCCAAGGAGGTTGAGAACATGTTGGGATTTTCTTGAGTGCCTCTCTTAAGAGAACCGCAGTGTTGAACCAAATTGGTTCCCTGGAACTTTAACCCCGTTACCTTTTAAGTCAGTATCCAAATGGGCCAGCCTAGCAATTCCGAGCAAAAGAAAAATCCATTCCTATCTTGCCAGGAGAAAAACAGGATGCTGCACAAGGCGTTCCTCGCTGATGCAAAGAAGGTCTTCCGCAAAGAGGCCGCTTTCTTGAGGTTGGTGGGGGGGGAGCATCAAAAGAACCCCTGTTCTGCAGGCCCCGAAGCCGGCCTTCTGGTGCCATGCCAACCTTCGCCCGGCGCAGAAGTACCTCAAGGAGCAAATTGCAAAGGGCTTGTACAACCCGGTGTTCTGAGCAAGCGAACTCATGTGCCTGGGTTGCTTTTACACATCACATATGGCTAAGATTGAGGCTCCAAAGCTCTTTTGCTGCCCAAACGCACGGGAATTGGGGCAGAGCCCCGGAAATTTGAACAGGGTTGTAGCGCGCACTTTGCGTTGAAGTGTCAATGCAAGGTGCTTTCATTTGGGAATTTTAGGGCGACAGTAAAAACGGGGTGCGTGATTTACGCGTGAATTAGCGTGAGAAGGACCTCCTAGAGCGTGAAAGGACCTCCTGGAGCGTGAAAAGGGCGTGAATCAGCGTGAACGGCGCACCCCCCAAAATCCAGCCAATCCGGAAAATGTGATTTTGTGGGATGAGGCCTCCTCTCCTTCAAAAGCCGGAAACCATCCTTGTTGCAGCCAGTTTGACAGTCGGGTCCAAATTGGGCCATTGCCAGAAACCCAGTTTGCAAGCATGATTGATGCTCACATGACTGATGCCCGTGCGTGGCTCGAAAGAAGACCGGGGCATCAGGCGCACACCTATAGACCTAGGATGTTGTCTGTTAGGGCCCAGGCTGCCCTGGCAAAGGCAAAAGCCCGCGCGGAAAAGGTTGGTGTCACACAGCCGGGAGCTAAGTGTGAAAGTGTGCAACGCCTTTCAAAAATGTGTCTTAAATTATGAGAGTCGCACGCATGCCCGTAATTTTGGGAATTTCAAAAATGCTGGATCGAGGCCAGCTACGCCACTCTCCCGAGATTCCAGCACCACGGCCACATCAGGCTGGCCAACCTACCCTACAAAAGCGCGTCATGTGCAACTTGTCTCCTGGCAGGCCCTTCAACGCAGACCGGGTCTGACACGCAGGAGACCTTGGAGGCCACGCCGCGCCAGCTTGAGAATGCTTTTGCTGAGGCAGCACAGGCTGCCACACAGCAAGCCTCACCAAGCGAAAAGCAACCGCTGGCCAAGAAGGTGCAAACCGCCCTTGCGCACACACAGTTGGAAGAGAGCCAGGATTCTTGGGACAACTGGGGGTGGGGCAACAACACGTGGTGGAGCCAGCCTTGGGGCTGGCACGGACGGGGGGGCGCAACCAACTGGAAAAGTTGGGAGGATTGGGACAACACCGCGAACCAGCCAGATCCAGCCCTCCAAGCGCTCTTGCGGCCCAGCTCCATGGACCAGATTGGCCAGGAGGCAGATCCAGGAACTCCTGCATCCGCCCAACCATCGCCGACGCAACCCGCCCAGCCCACGGGGCAAAAGGCACAACTCGAGGACCAGCTAACCAAGGAGACCAAGGTCACGAACGGGCCAGAGCCGGACACCAAAGCAGAAGATGCACAGCAGGAACAAGCCGCCGCGAAAAGAACGGAAGCTGGGAAGAAAGCGCACGCGAGATACATGCGCTTTTACAGGAGTTTGCGGAGCACCTCAGCTAATTGATGCGCTAATTGATGCAATTCACAAACGTGTGCAATCACGCACATGTTCCAGCCGCCCCAGGTGCTCGGTGTCCTGATGAGATTGCTCGCATGGGAAGAAAGGCCTCTGGAAGCGCACATCTTAGCGCCTGCATTCACGGGCTTTCCTGTTCTCCAACCAGTTTATTGCATTGGAAACCAACCAGATTGCAAATCAAGTGACATGCTGAAAAACAAACATGCATGTGCACACTTCGCCCACTAAGGAAAAGACATGATGTCAATGCTGTACGAGTCTTGGAATGACAGCCAGGAAGATTGGGCGAAGTCCAACCTCTACCTTCAGTGCATTAGCAAGGACTCCAACAAGAAAAAGGGCGTCAGGAGGTGGATGACCTTTAAAGAGCTGGTGGAGCGATTTGGGGAATCCCCAGCCCAGGCCATAACCACCCGAAAGCTTGACGACGCGGACCTGTTAAGGACTGAGACAAGGTGGCATCCGGAGGCACCCAACGTCGAGGAGCTTGCTGCCAAAGTCCACGTACCTGACATGAGGGGTTTTCGGGTCACAGTATAGCGTGCTCAGCGAAGGAGGTTATAAATTGGGTTGGGCTGTGGAATACCCAAAAAAAGCAAACCGAGTTTGAGTGCTAGCTTGGTCAACGTTCTCCAATGAGCCTACTGCCCAGGAGCTGAGGCAATTCTTGACCTTAGACACCGATGTTGAGGTGGACGTGCACGAAGAGTCAGTGAAAAGCTTGTACGAAGCGGCCGAAGCTGATGATTCCCCCTCGAGCAACAGCTCATCAAGCTCTTCTTCAAAGAAGAAGTCGAAGAAGAAGAGCAAAAAAGACAAGAAGGACAAGGACAAGGAGATGCATTTTACCTGTTCAGCAATCCTGCTTGCCTGGTTAATTTCTAGAATTCTTATTCAGTGTCACTGGCATCGAAAGGACAAGAAGGAAAAGGACGCGTCACCAAAGCGTAAGGGCAAGAAGGACAAGAAAGGGAAACGCAAGCCTGGTAAGAAACTGAAAAAGGCTCCATTGTGTCATGTCTTGCAGCCGCAAGGAGTTGTTCAATCCTATGATGAGCTCATTTCTGTGCTGCAGGCTGATCAGAACAAGGGCCTGACAGCTGAAGAGGAACAACTTCGCAAGGATGAGGAAACCGCAAAAAAGGATCTTCTGAAGAAGGCCAAGAAGGTGTGGCATGCTGTTTTGTGAATCGAACAATGTCAAGCCTTTCGCAGGCCATTGAAGTTGCGGGAAAGAAGATTCAGGAGTCCAATTCGGTGTCCGATAAGATCAGCCAGCTGCCAGATTCTTAGTGCCGGCGCATGTAGGCCAACATGCTGATCGTTGAGCATAATCACACGCACATCCACTGATTGAGGGGGGACAAGCTGCGTGTCGCCATCCTGGAGGATGTGAAGGCGCTAGAGGGTCAAAGCAATCTTAAACCCTTTCCCTGCTCCGACATGCCAGGCCTCCGTGCAGGAGATTCAGACCGCCCGGGACAACCTGCAGGCGAAGCTCGATGGGGATCTCAGCAACAAGGCCCGCTACTAGCGCCACTGAGTGACACTTTATTCAACCAGTTGCAGAATGCAGGAGCAACTCAACATCTTGGACGAGGTGGTGGCGAACATGAATAGCAAGATTTCAGCCTACGATGTCGCGGCACAGCCGGCCACAAAGGCTAAGTCAGCTAAGAAGCCAAAGCTTGCTTAGCTAGCGTACAGCGTTGAGGGGAACCAAAGCCAGGCATGCCAATACTCCTGTTGTCATATTTGTTTACGCCCTTTAGGATACTGAAACTACACCATGACCCAAAGCAAAACACATACATGTTGACACGTCCCGTACTTGCACAAACATCAACATTCAGATCGAGAGTGAATGCAGCCGGCTTTGATTTGGTTTTGCATGCAACGCATGCACATGTCAGCAGTCGACCGGAACCTTCCAGAAAGTCGTGTGAAAAGCGCGCCTGTGAGTGGGCAATTGCAAGCCTTCATGGCTTGGCGCAGGTGCGAGCCAACTCATGCCAAGAATCTAGAAGCTCTTGAACCTAACAGTGCTGTTTGACTTGCATGCTGACTTGAGAGGGCAAAGCAAAATGACAAAGGACCCCTGGAGCCGGGAAACCATTTGCACTTTCATTTTTGTCTTCATTCAGTGTCCCCAAGAATGATCAGTTTGAGCCACCGCGCATCGGCCCGCTCGCGCAGATTCAGACTCCGACTCCTCGAATGACAAGGCCGTGATGGACATGATGGCAAAGGTTTCGGAGCAGGCTGTCGATTTGCGGCGCTATTTGCAAGTTCTAGTCGGTCAAAACAATGTAGCAATCACACATTTAGATACTTGATCAAAGGAACTAGAACAGCTAACAGCGCGTGTGGATTAGACCAGCGCGGCTTTGCATAGAGCTGCCTTGGAGGGCCACAGCGTCGCATCTGTCATGAAGTCTGCCGCAGCGAGTTCGAGCAAGGACGCATGTGAGCGTGTGCGCGTGGTCTGTCTGTGAGCTTTTCAACACAGCAAGCATTTTTGATGCCCCAAAATTGTTACAATTTCATTAGCGTTCGCATTGCTGTCTCGCAGGGTGCCAGTGGGATTCGCCAACAAGCGCAGCGCCCTCACAATTGCCAGCGCAAGTTCTGGAATTTCGCCAAGCCACCCTTGGTGCCAATGCTGCACTTCAGCGTTCATCCCACACCCTGTATACCCACTGAAGTTTAATGACTTGACAAGTTCTGGGTAAACGCGTTTACATCATGAGGGCTGTTTCATTTGCTGTTTTTTTGGGCTGGGCGTACACTTTCAGGGCAGGGTTTGCTGTTAAACCAAGGAGCCTGATTTTCTGGAACTCCCTATCCTGGATGTGACTACCGATGACAAGGTGATATCTCTGAAATTTCCAGTCATACCTCCCCATCGACTCTTAGCATATCTTCATGATGAGATTCAACTCAGGACACCCCCAGAACACATCAATTTTTATTGGCAGTGGGCAAAGCAACATCATTGTCCTTGGGCGCGACTTGGTGGCCATGGAGTGGTGCCTTGTGGCCTCTACGGAGATGAGGCGAGGTACAACCAGTCCGGACCAGAAGAAAAGGTATTGGGCCTATTTGTCAACCTGGTATTGTTTCGACCAGCTTCGATTCGGCATTCCCGCTTTCTAGTTTTCTCTATCAGATCCTGCCTGTGCATCGGAATCCACACCTTGTACCCAGTTCTACGCCATCTTACCTGGAGTTTTCATTTGGCCTGGCAGGGCGTTGACGAGTATGGCAACCAACTTTGCTCTGATAATTCGAAATTTTTGGTAACCGAATTGCGCGGTGACCTTGCGTGGCATAAAGCAGCCTGGCAGTTCAAGGACTATGGGTGGCAGTCAACATGCGTGTGCTTCTGGTGCCAAGCAAAAAGCAAGGGCAACCACCTGTACACAGAGCTTGGCCTGAGCGCTAGCTGGATAGATACAATATATGATGACACATGGAAATGGGTTGACGATCTGATGCCCACTGATCAACCTTTATGCGCTATAGAAGCGTTAGTGCGTGTCAGAATTTGCAGCGGTGCGGTGCGTAAAACATGGGACGTTTGGTCCCAAGACTGAGGCCCGCTTCTGGGGCTGCCGGGCTTTCATCAGTCCACTATCCGACTATGCTCTATGCATTGCATCAACTTAGGATTGATGCAAACCGCCACCGGTTCTTCGTTGTCACTTTGCTTCAAAGTCAAATTTAATGTGTCGGTGATGTTGCAACCGCAGTTTACCATTATAGCACAGCGGCCCTCAAAGTAGCAACTTTGTGCGTGAGTCATGAACCTGCCCGTCGCTCAGGATTACGTTGATTCAGTTTGGGTGCTTTGGTAACCCCGCGGACCCGCTCGAGCTGAATCTCAAACGCGCTTTCCGGGACTTCCTGGCCTGGCGCAGGGAAACTGGGGTGGCGTGCGGCCAAAAGCGCTGGACGGTTGGCATGGCGCCTAAGCTGCTTGTAAGTGCTCATGTCTGTTTGTATGCGTGCGTGTTTGCACATCAGTCAGTGTGTGTTTGTGCATGTGTTTGTGCACGCGCGTTGTTTGTTTTTTGTTTGTATGTTAACATGCTTATACTTGTTTGTCTGCATTTGTTTGTTTGCTTGTTTGCTTGCGCTTATAAAAGTTTGTTTGCATGTAGTCTGTTTGCTTGTTTGGGTGCGCACTTGCTGGATTGTTTGCTTGTTTGCTTGCTTTGTGTTGTTTAGTTTGATGGCTGTCTTGTTTGTGTGTGTGTTTGCATGTTTGCCTGTTTGTGTTTGTTTGGTTGGCTGTCATGTTTGTATCTGTGTGTGTGTGCGTTTGTGTGGCGCGCTGTTGCTCGTGCGGTTGCAAGTTAGTTGTTTCCTGTATGAGTGTTTTAGTGGGTTGTGTCTGCCTTGCGTGCTGCGCGCGCGCAATGTGTGTTTGCAGGTTTGCGTTTGGGCGTGTTGTGAGTTGTACTTGTGTTGCTTGTTGTTGCTTGTCTACTTGTTTGTGTGAGGACTTGTTGTTTGTTAATGCTTTTGTACCTTTCCTACTTGCTATCTGCATGTTTGTTTGTTTGTCCGCTCGCTTGCTTGCTTGTTGGCTGGCGCGCTTGTCATGTGTATGTGCTCAGCTCATATATTCAAAAAGTTGTTTGTTGGATAATTGGTTGTATAGTTTCGCTCGCTTGTTTGCCTCCTTGTTAGTTTGCCTGCTTGCGTGTGTATAAAACTGGTTAGTTTGCTTTTGCTATTTGTTGATTGTGTGTGAGTGCTGATATTGACTGCGCATGCGTTCGTGCATGCGTTCATGTATGCAACGTAAATTTGTTGTTTTGCCTTTGGCGGTGTGTTGTTTCTCAGTGATTTTGCTTGTACAAGTGCTTGCGAGTTTTTGCGCAATTGTCGGTTGTTTGTGATTTTGCCTCTAGTCACGCATGTGCATGGTGATCCGTTTTGTGCGTCATTGCGTGTGTGTGTGTGTGTGTCTGCGATGTCCGCGTGGATGTGCATGCATGCATGTGTTGGGGATGTGGTTTTGCGCGTTGCTATGGTGCGTCTGAGGTTGTGAAGCGTAAGAATATGAATATAATGATGTCGCACAAGGCCTACAACGGTCGCATCATTACCGAATGGTTGGCAGGTGTTACGCAACTGGCTTTGAGCCGCAATTTTGCCCTCCCAGACTCGCGCATTTGTGGCGCCTGGCTTTCGCAGCAATTGCAAAATGGGCAGCCCTACCCCGCCGAACAGAAGCTGCCTCTTCAGCATGTGGCCCTGCCTGGGGCTTAAGCAGTGTACTCACCAGTAAAAAGCAAAAATGAGATTCCACGGCTTTACCATATGGGTTCACGTTCTGTGGCAGAATCCCTGCCATTTAGATGCCCAGGTCTTCTCTTTGCCGGTTTTTCGGGCTCTCAGAAAGACATGGGAGGTATCTGCTGCTTGGCTTATATAGACAACTGGACTTGTTTATTTTGGCTTGATCAGTGTACTGTTTATGCTTGCATGTGAGTGCTTGGGACGAAAGGACGCGAGACGCCGCATCTGACATATATGCGGCTGGCCTATCCTTCCTGCGCTCGCACATCGTGTTGTCCTTCTTGAGCATGAGGTGGGGCGGTCACACACGCGTGGCAATGTTGCTAGATACTGCAGAATGTGCTAGCTGTGTTTTGCTTGTGTCCTACGCGCTGGCAGGGAGCAGCAGCAGAATGCACGGGGTGTACGTACGCCTCTCTTATGGGTTTTGAAGCCCAAGGTCCATTACACAATGCACCAGCTTCTTCTTTGCCTCCTTGAGCGGCAAAATTTTAGGCATCACCATTGCTTTTCGGACGAAGACAGCATGCGGTGGCTTAAAAGCATCTGTCGTTGTATTCCTGGGGTGCGTCGCGCTACTTTTGAGTACGCGGTGATGCGTGCTGCGCGGTTGCGCTTGCGTCTCACGGAGCGGAAAGCTTCGCAGTTGCGCCAAACGAGTGCATTTCGGTCTGCTAGATGAGAAAAATGCTTGCAGTTTGGAATTGGGCGGGCTCCAAAAAGGCCCAAAAATGCGGAAAACAGAAAGGACCTTCCTGCTGGGTCTCTTAGCTAACGGCCCTCCCTGGAAGGGCTCTTAGATGGACCGGGAACATCGAAAACATCTGTTCCATAGGTGTTCTTTTAGGAAAATAGACGGCACTGGTAGATCATGAAAGAGCCATGGTTCACCAGAAATCACCATTTTCTACCAGAACAACCAACAAGTCGACAAGAAAATATGAAATCAGCTCTCTAAGTCTGGCTTTGAGACATGGCTATGAATTTGAACTAGGGACCCTTTGGTTAGACATCCAGATTCGTCATTTCGGTGGGGATTTCTGTCCACGAACCACTGAGGGGGTTCCAACCGATCAAATTCAGCAACGGCCTCTCCCAGCGTTTCGCGGTTTCTCCTTGGTGCCCGCGGGGGCCTTGAGGAAGCCGTTGGGCACTCCCAGGAAGCCCGCGTTCTCGAAGTCCCCCGGGGCGCGCTTGGGGTCGTCCACCTCAGCGCAAAAAAAAAGATGACGCTAAACGGGGAACCGAACACATGTGGCTGTGGCTCACAAATGGCTCCAAATTAAACAAAAAAGATGACTCTCATGGGGAATCCTGAACCCCGGAGATTCCTTGCCCCCCGTGAAAACAAAGGAAAGGATTGGATCACAATCCTTACGTAAATGGTGGTTATATTAGCACTCCCATTGCTTCAATGGTGGCAAAGATGTGGCTCCAAATTGAACAGCTGGAATTAAACAGCCGGTTTTTTAGTCTACCTTTCCATTGGCTAGGGCTCCATTTTGGCTTTATTGATGTACCAAAACGGCACCTTGCTGTGTGAAACAAAGACCAGCAATCCGCGTAAACCCAGCTGCTTAATTTCGAACCACACCCATGTGAGTCAAAACTCCGTTGGCCGATGGGCATGGTTCGCATAACAGGAAACATTAGAATGGTTCTTCAGGATCCTTTCCAGGTGGAGGGCCATCGCTCAAGTTGCGTTTGTAGGGCACGCCGGTAACCCTTCCCCCTGGAATCCTACAGGATGAGGTAGGCCGTCAATCTTGGACCCGCCTTTGTTTATTGTTTGAAGTCGAAGAGGGCCTGATGATTGATCGTCCCACTGTCTTTTGCAAACGGAGAAGACGCTTGGGAACGCACAAATGGGCAAGAAGCTAGGTTGCTGAACACCCAACCACCTACTTCTACCTCACCATTCCTCCCAACGAACATAATATTCTACCTAGGGGCCATGTATTTAGTTGAAATACAACGTGCTTTCGATAAAGAAAAAAAAAAGATCCAAGAAATCACGGGACAAAACACCTGGGTTGCCTAAGCCATGTTGTGATTATACTAGCTCATAGCCCCATCCAACTTGTTCCTGAAGTGGCCCCACTTATGAACTGTGGATATCCACTAAGTGAGGCGTTGCGTGGTTCTACCTCCCACCTCCCTTGCGTCCCAAAACCGCAACAGGTCTCCCATGTCCCAGTATGATTTCCCCTAACCCCAAAACGAAGCTCACAACTCGCCTCAAAACGGGGTGAGGAGTACACAACCCCAGCCCCCAAAACGCTCCAAACTCCGGGAGCCCACCCGGACCGTCCCGTGTTTTCTCCCCGCTCACCCCTCCGTTTCCCGCCGACTCGCCCCTTTTCCCGGGGTGGCCCCTCCCGGCGTCGAGGGGCGTATTGGAAGAGCTCCACGGAGCCGGCGAAGGCCACCATCTGCCCCCAGCCGCTCAGCGGCACCTTGGAGAAGGCCGCGAAGCCTCCGCCGGGAAATCGCCGGATTCGCTCAAAACGGCTGCGCGGGGGGTTGCGCTGGGCGAACCGGGAACCGGGAACCGAAATCGGTAGGCTCAAACTGAGGCATGGAAGGAACCCGGGGAATTCCCTGAAAGGAAACCACCAGTGGGATGGTTTAGGAGAAATGGAATCTCCATATGAAGGAAACAACCAGTTGGTTGGTATTTTCTTGCAAGATGTTCCATTTCTCATTCCCTGCCAATCGTGCCAGCAAGTTTTGTCGCTGTTCGATGTTTGAGGCACCGCGGAAGGGTTCAGCGAAGGGAACCCGAGGGTTGCACATGGCACGCAAATAGCACGGCATGGCACGCACAGCACGCAGATGGCACGTACTCAAAATGCGCGCCACACTGACATGTGTAGCAATAGCACTCATAAACATGTCAACTGAAATAGGTGCTTCCATGACTGACATTCTGACATTCTGACATTCTGCGAACAGCACAAACATGGAAGCACCGACATTTTTCTGTTCGAAAACTGATTTCACCATGGGATCCATGGTTGCCCAAATTGGCAGGTACATGGCGCTGCCCGCCTGTGGGCACGTCCGAGAACTTGAGGCCCAAGGATGGGGAGAGATCCCCAGGCCAGCGGAAGTACTCCTGGCGTTGTTTCCAAGACCCGTTCAAAGCAGGCCGGCCACTGAAATGGACCAGGCACCGCATGCCGCATGCAACATGTAGATTTCTTCAAGGATGAGAAGAGGGGTTCTACCCCACCTTCCAGCTTCAAAGTTTCCTTTGCTACCGAATCTCAGCAAGCCAAAGAGCAAATTGCCTAACGACTCCACCCAAAAAGAAGCACACAAGGACCCTGCCCTGGTTCATAGCGGAGCATCCACGCGTGAACCCAAGCTCGTTCTCAGAAAGGTTAAAGGTCTAACCAACCCCCAAATGCACCCGCCCGAATCGCACGGCATGCTCTGCCGAGGCACAGGCACAATGTACCCCATGCAAGCCAGCATGCTCACGCGGCCGTGCCTTGGAGCGAGAACAGGATTCCGAGGCGTGTGAGAGTGTCAAAGTCTCAGTTTCGAACGAGTGCCCAGGAACTCAGCAAGTGAGAACTAGCAGACTTTGGATTGCTTTGGCTTTCCTTGTCGCTTGAAACCAACACCGAACTCACCGACCCAGCAAGCATCGCGTATCATCCTGCGAGTGTTCAATGTGAACCCTTAGCTCGAAAGCCAGGTTTGCAAAGTCGACTGTTGGGGACTGGAAAATAAACCATCTGCATCGGTCTTGCTTTTCAAGCTGATTATTAGGCAAACGTATATTTGAATTAGAGTGGGAAACCAGGTTTGACTGCAGTTCTCAAGTTGCGGCTTGTACGTCAGCTTGTTGCTACCCGATCGTCAATGTTGTTTGGGACCACACAGCTTTCATCGGCTGAGTCAAGACGCTTGACAATCGCAGTCTGGACCACACCAAACCTTCCGTCAAAAACCACAGCGCAAGGCTTCGCCCATATGTTGGATTTGTGCCCAGGGTATAGGCTCACGTGACTTCGCCGCAGCTCTGCGTGCGCATATCTCAAACAAGGGGCGCGTGTATCTGGTTGTTTGCTGACTGCCTTCATTCTAACATCATCAAGACGCCGGGGTCTCATTTGGGCGGTGTGTCAAACCAAGGGTCGTCTCCTGGATGTGCTGTAAAAGTGTCCGCAAAACCGGCCCCATCATTTTACCATTTTCAATTCACTCATCCTAAGTGGCAGGGTTTTAGGGAGATACCCAAGTTTCTGACTTTGATGAACCCCCAGAGACTGTGGGCCTAGAAACAGTGCAGGGCTGGTCAGAATGTTGATACTTGGGTGTTCGGCCGAATTCACGCAGGTGCTTGAGGAGCCTGGGCATCCTTGCAAGCCAGCCTCACACAGTTGACTTGTGGGTCGTCTCGTGTGGGCTGCCTCCAATAGCTTAAGTTTCCTGGAAAACATAGCGATAGTGATAGATTTCCTTTAAAACCAACCGGAAAAACAAAGAGAAAAAGACAAAAACAAATACTCTGATAAGCAAATGGAAGTCTAACAACTTACTGGATGGTCGAAAGGCCAAGCTTTGACACTCAACGTCCCAGGTGCTTCAGCTCAACGTAGCGCCGGCGCCGGAAGGAGGCGGCATCCCCGCCGGCGGTGAAACCCAGCGGGTCCCAAAAACCCACAGGGGCTTGCACGCCCAGCTCCTTCTCCTCAGGCAGAAACGAGGAAACAAATGTGCTGTGTTCGCTTTGCAGCACATTTCAAAGGGTTTGGTTACGGGAAAATCTACAGGAAATGGCGCCAAAGCACCGCAAATAAGCTGGTATCCTGTAGAAATTCCCGTAACCCAACCCTTTGAACATTAAGTTGTTGTTTAATTGCATTAGCTGGCGGCGAAGCAGTCATAACATTTGGCAAACATGATACCAGGTAAAGAGTCAAATGTCTCACTGCCTCCCTCTCCACCAAACGTCTGACCTGCAGAATAGTACGATCCTCTTGCATTTACACAGCAGCACCGCGCCATTATGTTGACCCTCCTCATGCCCCCAAGAGGGTGAAGGTTGCAGATTCCAAACAAGACCATCAAATAGCAGCAAAGCGGGAATCACCACAAGTACTTTGTGGGGCTTCTAGCTGCAGCCGCATTCGAGAGGTCCCTCCACTTGGATTGCAGGGGGGGGGGGAGCTGGAGAAGGGAGCAGCGTCTAGCTGAGTACGATGTCTGATTGTAGGTCTACTAAAGTGCCATCTTCAAATTTACCTTGCAAAACATGGTTTTGAACGGCACAGGCCCCAAAAGCGATGTTCAGAAAACCCTCCACACCCATTTGGGGTTGTCTCAAAATGGGAGAACCTCCAAAATGGATGGTTTCCCTTTTGGCTGCCTGTAAAAAAAGAAGCCCCAAACGAGCACCTTCAAAAAAAGCACACCCACTTAGGTCAACTTCCGCAGCCTAAAGGCAACGACGCTGAGGGCTCCAGTTGCAGCGAGGCGCAAAGGCACGCAGCGGGGAGTCGGTGTAATTGGCCCAGTCGCCCCAGGCGGAGCCAGTGAGCCCGTCCTGGAAGAACATGCCTCGGCGAGTGGCCAACAAACAACCGGGCTTTGAGACCCCCAAACACCTCCGGGGTATTTCTTTTGTACTAAAATGCCTTGTTTCTCATCGATGTCCATTTCACACAACCTCGTTGTGACCTTGAAGAGGAAAACATGGCCCAAGCGAAAAATTGGCCGCGGGCATGGCCAACAAAGAAGCTGAGGCTGGGAAAGCCAGGGGCCGATCAATCCCTGTTTGGGTGCTAAGCCACGCTCCTCCAGAAGTCTTCCTGGCTGCTCCTAAACCATGCCTTTTCCAGTCCCTGCTTTTGCGTAGCATAGGAGGGGTTCATTGTATAGCATATTATAGCTGCAGCCTGGGGATCCGATACTACTACCAAGCTGGGCGTTCCACGGAAAACTCAATTTGGTCACAGCTGTGTTGAAATCCTGAGGTTTGATGTGCCCGTTAACATATTGTGTACACGAACAGATGAACAGTCCATTGAACGTTCCATGAAGCTGAGCTTGGTGAAGCACGGGGCGCACAGCAAAAGCATGTAACACATGGGTGTGTCTCAACTTTCAACATGGCGCACCATTCCATCACAAATTATGATCTCCCTACGATCCTTGGAAACTCCGGAGGGTTTCTTGACAGCCTTTGAACGCCTCTGGCAGGAGAATTATTTTGGGCCCAAACGCCTCACTCGGCCCCTTGCCCTTGTAGCAAGCAATCATTCGGGATATTTCTTGTTGTGCAACATGTGTCCGTGATGTGTATATACAATGCGTGAAATTGACAATGTGTGTGTGTGCGCTGCAATTCAATGGGGACCCCTACGAATAGCTGGTTGAACTACTACCAGCGATTCCCTTTCGGGAAATGCGTTTCGAGATTAGGCGGTAAGCATAGAAGCCGGACATAGTGAAGAGAAGGGAGTTGAGTTCATTGTCTCAAGAGGAATCTGTGATCTACGGGTCCAAGCACGCTGCAATGGTGTGTGTGTGTGTGCCCCCGCGAATGCGCGAAAAAAAAAAATGAGCAGCTGGCTACATTGCGCAAGCCGGGTCAGATAATATGCAAATCTCGGTCGACAGAGAATGCAGCTTCAACACAACAACCAAAAGGAGATACAAACACACGCGCGCGGGCCACAAGACAGGCTTGCTACTTTGTCCTCAAATACCATCCGTTCAACTGTCACCGGGAGGAGAGATAAGAAGAACTGGAGGAACTGTCCAATGGCCATGCCGGACAGCGCTGCGTGAGTTTTGGACAGGTTCCAGACTCGCTTCGGCTGGAATTCTGCCTGAAAAAAAATCTGCAGGCTTCGAAGTGCCAAGGTGCCGATGATGGCCATCATCGCCAAACGTCCGTTGGCAAGCTCCGCGTTCCTGGGCCAGAGCTTGCCCCAATGAACGCGGGACCGGGGCGCGAAGGAAGCCGAACTATGAATTCCTATATGTCGTCTCAAACTTCGCTTGCAGTCTTCGATTTCCACTCGCAATACAGCACGACTTTCTGCGTTGGAAAGTAACTCTCCAAGAAAATCAACATGGCATTCCATGCTCAGCCCATCCAAATTCCAGCTCAAATCTTGAAGTGGTGACAGGAGATGTCGCTGGCAAACGATGTCTTCCCCAGTAGTCGTTGGTATTGGCTTAGTATTCGTTTAGTATTAGTTTAGCATTGATCAGTGCTGTTTAGTCCTGGTTTAGCATTGGATTAGCATGGGGAACCTGGATGTCGTCTTTAAGAGAAAATATATGACATCACATATGGTGGTCCTGAAACCAGGTGCCACATTCAGGACATGCCTTTGCACAGCGAATCGATACACTGTTTGTTCCGTCCACATGTGTTATGGTCCACCTCTCTGATTGTCAAGCATGTCCATATCTGTAGAATCAGGGCTTGACCATACCGGACAAGCACGTGTGTCAAAAATTGCAAAACCGGCTCCGCACATGAGTGGGAATGAGAGAAACACAAACCAACGCACAGGTGGGAAACGGCATTGAGCATCAGATGGTTGTTGTCTTGGGCCCTGGCAGCTTCTTCTTCTTGGTCTCCTCATCAGTGATGGCCTTGCCCCCCAAGTATCCGGGGAGGCCCAGGAAGCCGTACCTTCAGCTTCACCCTGCGACCCCACTGTGAGATTGCCGACCCAAATAGTGCAAGTAACAACAAGGAGAGCCCAGTAACTGTCCACACTTTGCGGTTGGCTTGAGCGGGAATCCGCAGCATAGAGTAGCTCATGAGTATGCTGGAAAAAGATCTTGCCATAGCATGCGCGTACCGAAACAAAGATCATGCTGCACGCACTGTGAAGCGCACACACACACACAATGATGCTCATTTTGCAACAAGTTTTCCTTCAACTGAAGTTGGCATACGTAGTCCATATGTGGAGAACTTAGGCCCAGCCGGTCCATGCTTCTGCCCACATATGTGTCATACGTTTCAGAATAGGGGGATGCCAAACAGGTGCGAAGAGGAGTCCTTTGTTGGGAAGAGGAGTCCTTTGTTTGCTTTGTTGTTTCCCCCCTACAACCGCAAGGGGGTAGCCCAAAGAACCCCACAAACTTCCGCATAGCAGCTCATAGTTGGTGGTGCTCTCCCCGAAGAGCCGCGTCTGCAGCTTGCCCGGGGGGTTGGAAGGCACCTGCGGACGGAACCTGGAAACTAGACACCGCAGGGGGGTCTCCTTGTGGACATCCTACAAGGAACGGGGACTCTTGCTGAATTTGGTCATTGGCGCGACTGACATGCACACCATCGAGCATAGTATGTTGATTTACCCTGGACCCAAAATCGTAGGACGCTCTTCAAGAAGGGATGCCTGTAATTAAAGGGGAGCGCATGGCGTGAGTATGGTCGCAAACCAAGCCATGTTGTTGTTGGCTTAGCGCACAGGTGATACAACCCAGTCAGTTCTGCAACCCTTGAGGCGTAATTACAAAGTACCAACCTGAACCAAACCGGCCTTTAGAGGGAATCTTGTTTCATGTTGAATTGCAGAAAAGCGAAGAGGACATCCATTCTTGGGGGCCCAAATCCCTATGCTGACACATACCCACCTCTGTTGTGCCCCCATTGGACCACCCTATCTTCCGCAACACCGAGAACACGGTGACACGGTGCCTGGTGCATGAGCCAGAGGTCGCAAATGCCGCAGAAGATGGTGTACCTAGGAGCAACAACCAGAGCCGCTAAATCTATAGCTGCCACCTCCCCAAACCGTACTCTGACACTACAACTTGACTTTTGCATACGTCTGCTTCCATTCTCGAGGGGAGGGGGTGGTAGTAGCAGTAGTAGTAGCAGTAGTAGTAGGAGGACTGGTAGTGGTAGTGGTAGTGGTAGTGGTAGTCGTGGTTGTGGTGGTAGTGGTGGTGTTGCTGGTGGGCGTGGGCATTGTGGGCGTGGCAGCACACAATGTCACGGCCCAGGCGCAGCAGCAGCAGCAGTCGACCTACAGCTTCCCTTAGGGAAGCCTGGCCGGCACAGCCCCTGGCTCGGGCTCGGGGTCCCTCTCTTGGGGACGGAGAAAGTGTCCGACAGTGTGTCAGCGGACCTTTCTGAAGAAGTAGATCGAAAGGAGAAGAGAGAGAGAGAGAGAGAGAGAGAGAGAGAGAGAGAGAGAGAGAGAGAGAGAGAGAGAGAGAGAGAGAGAGAGAGAGAGAGAGAGAGAAGAGAGAGAGAGAGAGAGATAGATTGAGTGTGATTGCAGTGGCAAACGAAGCTCGCGGCAGTTGGTCAAGCGGAGGCAAATTGCTGCCCCACAAAGAAGTAGACCCCGCCAGCGTAGTCCGCCATCATCACGGGCTAGCCCATCGTGCAGTAGTGAAAACTGTGCACCGGTGCCGGGGCATCAGACGAGACAAGTCGACGGGAGGGGACCAGGGGAACCACAACCAGAACAACCCACCTCACCAACGCACAAGGACCAGACAGGACCGACGACCGTGCGCGACCATGACGGTGCAAAGTGCAAAGGGGGAAGTGCGGGGGTGCGGCGCCAAAGGACGCTCGGGCCTGCGGAAAGCCGCTTGACGCCAGAGGACGTCGACCCAAATGGGGGGGGTGCACGGTGCGGGGTGCTGCGCCAAAGGACGCTGGGCTTTGCGGTAAGCCGCGCGACGCCAGAGGACGTCAGCCCAAATTTGTGCAGGGGGTGCACGAAATGTGAACCACGTGCGTCCAAGACGAAACCACCACGCGCCAGCTACGTGTCCATCGACGTGCACCTGACACCCCCCCTGTTCCCAAACCTGCGTCAGCTCACTGTTTATTGCAATGGCAACTTTCCCCCGATGGATGATATTCCATTCCCCCTTTTTGGTTCGCAGTTTCTTTCTCCCACTTGCCCCAAGATTCACGTCCTGCAACAAGACCGCCTGCCATTCACGAAGTTCCCACACTTCCGCTAACTGCGCCAGTTTGAGGGCTGGATCTACTGCTCCCCCGACCGCTCCCAACCTGCGCACGTTCCACGTCCCAATACGGATCCGACCCGTCATTTTACGTGTTCGGGCCTGTCGTTTACGAAACAAGCCCCGCCCAACCAACCGCTTTCGTCGTTCACGAAGTTTGTGTCGAATTGTTTAACGACTTTCTACCTGCGAGTCAGCATAAGTTCGTCCAGACAAGAGAGAAGAACCTACTGCGGCCCAGTGTGTGACGCTCGAGAGTGAGGTCCGCTTTCGTTTCATTCTGTCTCGTGTACCGGCCCTTTGAGCATGTGCACAGCTACGTGTGCAGAGCCATGGGTTGTACCCTTTTGGGGCTAAGGTTAGTCTGTTTTGCCGTACACGAAGATGACCCCCGTCATAAAGTTCGAAGAGTCGGAGCCCACCCGCCTCTTACCGGAACGGAAGGTTGAGGGGAGAGGACGGGCCACACCGAGTCCCCAAGGTGAGCGTTGTCCCAAGTCCCCACACCTAGTCGCCCGTCCCGTTGCTCCCCGTCGATCGGAGTTAATCCGAAGGACGTTTGCCTCACCCTGTGACGGCTGACCATGCGTGCGTATACGCTCGACCTTTGTGTTTTGTCCGCCCCCCTATAAGTGCGTTATATCAACTACCGTGCGACTGCGTGCGGACACCAAAGCTTTGACTGCGTCAATGTGACCTGTCAGACAAACACCGGTGACCATCAGACAACCAGACGAACTGCCGGGGACACTCAGGAGTGAACCACAAAAAAAACAGGGGTGAGTTACCGGGGCACACCGCGTGGAGGTTCGGAGCATGTGTGACTAACAATTGGTTGTGTTGTTAGTCCGCTGGGTGTGTAGTGCGGGGGCAGTACACGAACTTGAGGTTCGCAAATGTCACATCACTCTTTTTTGTCTCACTGCGTCAAATTTGAAACTGCTATTGTCTTAACACTACCTCAAGCAAGCCCAGCGCCCCGGCCCAGGCGCTGGAACCAGCCAACGGCCGGCACCTTCGTGACCGCGGCCAAGCCGTTGGGGAGATCCGCGAACTTCAGGTCGCTCGAGGGTGACAGGGAACCTACGCGCCAACAAAGCGCCTGGGGCACATCCAAAACCCACCTGCGCGCAAACCGGAAAACTGTTTAAACCATTTTCTGGTGAGTTCCCAGGCCCAAAACTATCCTCGCGGGCAGGAAGAGCAGGCGTTGGAAGTCAACCAATTCCATTTGCTCGGCTCGCAAACAAATCACATATAGATATGCAAAAAGTCATAATATACGGTACTTGCAAGTCATGAAAAACTGACCTCAAGCAAATCAATATCATGGGGATGTGTCAAAACAGGAGTCAGCCAAACTAGTGGTTGTATCGTTTGTTTGTGCGCCACATAAACCAGTTTTCTTTGACAAATGCGCTAAACAGCATGGTTGTATTCTTCAGACCGCTCCCAAAATCCATAACCAAAGGGATGACAAGGGCATGGCTCCTTGAAAGTGAACATCCCTATTTATTAATCATAGGTCAACATTACTGCAAACTCTTCTGGCTCTAGACCGAACTCGCCTCTGGCAGGTCACAACAGGTGTTGTCAATTGCCCAATACCTTCGTTGCCCCCAATCAGCTTTCCCAAAAACAGAGACCCCTGTATTAAAAATAAGCAGGGCCAAAAAGACACCAACTTCAACTCCGTGTCCAACATGTCAAGCGCGGGTGCGCAGAGTCTGCCTGGGAAGCGCAGGAACTCCTGCACGATGTAGCCGGTGCCTTAGGTCTCCGGCTTTTTGGCTCCCACCGGTGTGAAAACTATGCAGAAGCGACCCTTCGTTGTGGACCCCCCCCTTTGGGTTGTCGGGAAAAGCATGTTTTGTGAGGGAACCTTTTTGGGGGGAAACTAGTGGGAAACTGCGCCTTCTTGTTGTGATTCTGATGCGGAAATCGGGTTCAACGCATGACAGCGATAGCCCGCTGAGTTCCGTGACGCTGGGAGAATGGGGCCTGTCCAATCACGAACTTACTGAAACCAGGGTAGGCGATTTCATGTCGCAAAAGTGGGACACATCCCCTGATGTTTGGTGGTGTGTCTTGAAAAGGGTTGCCACCCATATTTACGTTCCCCACATTTCAGGCGTGTCCGGGAGCTTCCACGAGAAAAGATGCTTTAAAGTTAGGCCATCGATGCGGTAAAACCACACGCCGATGAGTATGGCCTTTGATGATAGGAAGGAAGGCTTCCTGAGAACATCAACAAACAGTGTCTTGTGCTGAAAATAACTTAACATGGCTGTGGCTCAAAAAAGTGGTACCAAAATGGAACCTTGGTACATGGAACCAAACACTAAAACCCGCGTAACCCCCCCTGTTTACTTTTGAGCCACACCCATATGTATCCTGCAGTTGCCTTGCTTGATTTGCTTGCAGTCCTTGCAGCCCATCCCTTTCCAATGGAAAATTGAAGGCCATGATCGAATTCCGCTACTGGCCATGGCGCAAGCAAGGGTCGAGACCCTGCAACTGTTCATGTTGGGGTAAACACTTATGAACAAGGATCAGCCACTCAACAAGACAAGCGAGCAGCGCGAAACATTGACTTTGGGGTCTTACCAACATGTTGCAGAGGTCTATTTAGGCTTGCGCCACTTGTGTGCTTGGGCACTCAGGGGTTCTCTGCAGGTAAGGCGCATGCCAGCATTGCCACTCGCCCGTGCTTGATCTCCACCACTCGACGGCGGTAGAAGTCCTAGTGGCTGCTTCAACATGGCGCCGTCCGACGCGAAATGCGTCCGGTTCACCGTGGCAAGCCATCATGTAAAACCTGAGGCACGGAACCCGGTAAATTAACAAGTATAGTGGTAAGAGGTGCCCTTTTTTTGGGGCACTCTCCTTGGGAAACGCAAAGACACACGGTTCCCCATTGGAGAAAGACATACAAATGGGGTGGCATTGGTGTTCTTTAAACAAATGCTATCCAAAAGGAGGCCCGTCGTTGCCGATTTAGGACACCCCCACATTCAAGACCGCTAAGGTTGCGTTGAGACCTGTTTGGATGTGACGACCAAGTGAGTTTCTTCTTGATGGTGACTTGACAAACACACACACACACAAACAAACAAACAAACAAACAAACAAACAAACAAACAAACAAACAAACAAACAAACAAACAAACAAACAAACACATGTGAGGCATTTGTTATTTCCAACACAAACATTATGAGGGAAACTACTATATAATGTCTGCATTTGTGTTTCTTCATCACAGAAAGTCTATGTCACATGTCCACATAGCAATGCGGAGACTTGCAGCATCCGTGGCATCGCCGCACGGCATCATGTGTTCAGATTCATTGAGTAAAAGCTCCCGTCGGCGCGGACAAAACATGTGAGCCCCTTGAATCCTTGGCAGCTCACGGCAGCAAGCAACAAATTTGCTGGCTACTGGCAATCCAAACGGCTGCCGCAAGAATTAACACAAAAAGCCCAGCTCCGACACATTCAATTGAGCAAGTGTCAGACTTGTTGATACTTGATTCTGCCCAAACCATCCCGACCAATCGAGGCCCTCACTTTCATGCAGGGAGGGGACTGTAAGTTGCTCAGCAAACTTGCAGGTGGGCTGTGAACCTTGAACTAATCTGGAGGACCGCACTGGTATGGCGCGGTCCCCCTAGGCCGTTTAGTAAGCGCAGTTTCTCTGACAAGCAAATTATCGCATAAACCTCAAGTCACAATAGAAATCGCCATCATATGGGTGTCTTAAAGCAGGGCACCCAAAGAAATTGCTGGCTGTCTTTTGGCTGCCCTCCATACACAAATATCCAAACAAACGTCCAACAAGGAGGCAAAATTAATATCCAAACCATTCTTGGCTGCCCTCCATACTGTCTTCTGTACTATTGACTGTACTCTCCAAAAAACAAAAACACGGTACGCATATCTCGCACCTTGGCATCTCCGTCCGCGGTGAACCCGGCGGGGTCCCAAAAGCCCACCGGCGCTTGCACGCCTAGCGCCGGTTTTCTGAGCCGTGCAAAACGAAAGAAATTCTTTCGGCACTCGAAGAATAGGGTGACACTTTGTGGCCAGTCTTCTTTGCTCATTCCCATCGGCCACATAAAACGCATTCATTTTCTTTTCTTAGAATCTTTGAAGGGCCCACTACGCATTGTTCTCAATCCTACATTGTTCGATTTTGTTTTCACAGGAAACTGAAGTGAAACCACCAATCCGAGAACTCCCGCCGTAGAATCGGTCGAAGGGAACCTGGCAAGTGTTCCTGAGCGGGCTTGCACTTTCTTTTGCCATCGGCTGGGCCTTTGCCATCGGCACGCCACAAAGAACGAGGCATTTCAGGTCTGAGACCAGAGCGGCTGCTATGTCAATGGGTGACAAACACTGGGTGATAGGGGGGCTCCAAAAGTTGAAACAGTATCCAGCCGGCCTACCCCTTTAGTTTTCTTTTTAAATCAAACATATGGGCAATTTAACTCTAGCCATGTCTTGTCATGGGAAATCAAAGGATCCTCTTATATCATGAGCCTTTGATCTGCTGCCCGCACCAATTGCAGAAAGCTCACCAATGTGGGTGAACATGGGTTCAAAGTGACACGCTAGAACATTCCCCCAGTATGGTGTCAGCCGGTCATGAGTCCATGGATCGTAGCCTCCAAACCAAGATGCATGCTGGAACTAGCGATGACTATCGATGCAACGTATCCAAGCTGCAACCGCAATTGTCATCGTCAAACATGATGTGAGACATTTAATTTGCCTTCCTCTGTCCCAGAGTTTCCAGCTACTATTCCAGAAACGAAGAACATGTAAAACCTATAAGACAATACTAATATGGTTGCTTCTGCTAGTGTTGTGTGTACAAAATTAAGTAATATGACTTGTGATATCAGCAATTCTCTGGAAGCACTGGCCTCGCTTGCCGTGGGCTCCGTCCGCCGCAAAGCCTCCCGCGCCTAGCTCGCCCTCGAAGGCCTTCACGACGGTCTTCCGCGACGCGACCGCGAGCGCGCAAGCGCCCGCCCCGACCGCCAGAGAGCCTCGGGTGAAGGACGGAGGTGAGACGCATGGCCCCAAGGATCACTGCGGTCGGTGCCTAAAGATTCACTAGTTGAAGTTTAACTGGACCACCTTCAAAGAAAGGAAAGACACCAAACATAGATCCTCAAACGCACAAGATAGATCAACTGAACGTGAAAACACTTAACGACATGAAGCGGCAGCTAATTCAACAATGCCAAGCACACCAGCAAACAATGAGAAATGTTTTTCTTTTTCCCAAGATGGAAACCAAGCCACCAACTCCAGGTGGAACCCCAACATCTGTGGATCTCATAAAACGAACCAACGGGGTGCCAAAGAAACGGAGACGCTGGAACACCCAAACCTCTCCATCCGAGCTGCTTCCAGCACCGGCTCCGGTTTGGACCGGCACCTGTGTGCCCGATGTGGTTGACCATGACTTAGGCTCTATCCAAACAGAAAACAACCGGGCGTAGCAAACGCCTCCGTCTTTTGGAGATGGATGCGTGCGGGTTGCGGCACTTTCTCTGGGACCTTCAGAGTGCACATATCACGATAGTAGCTAAGCTCCAAAGGATATCGAAAACTAGTCTCAAAGTGACTCAACGAGCCGAGTCATCCTCACAAGTGCGGTATATATGTAAGCTTCCATGTGAACTCCAGTTCTTCCCTCATTTGTGATAGCTCGATCCCGTTTTCTACTGCCAAAGGTGGGCAACAAAAGGCTGCAAGCTCGGTCAGAAGAGCTTCGAAAGGTTGTGGAACACTCGCTTCAGCACAAGTGTATTCACTAGCGCTCAATGTCAAGAGTCTGTGCTATCCGGGTGCAGGAAGGCAGCGTTCATCTCATTCGCAACGGCAAATGCCGGAATCACTTCTCAAACAACCTGCTTAAAGCCGATGAGGCTCCAGTAACATTTGATACGATCTGTCCCAACTGCAAACATCCTGCCAGGATCTCTGAGTGCATCAATCGAAAGTGAGTCCTTCATGCGTGAAATCGATCGCAAAAAAAGGGACGCTGCGATTTCCCTTGCCCGGAAACCACAAATAGGAAGCAGGCGAAGACGAAACCCAACTCCTACTGACGGCTGTTGTCTTCTGAGTCGAGTGGGACAACGACTATAGGAAGACTTCAACGGTTCCCTGAAGTTGGACTATGCCAAAGGAATCCAATTGTGCAGGTCCTTTGCACTGACGTCGTTCACACAGCGCACACGCGGTCAACTATGGGAAGTGATATGACATGCCAACCAGCTGACCCCCACCATGACTAAAGCCACCGCATGCAGGGTTGTCTCTATCGGGGACCCCAAAACGGTTAGGTTATCCTTTGGTTGCCCTTTGAAACAACCCCGACACAACTACCCTCAACTTGGACGCTCGTCCCAAATAGTTTGTCTTATAATCCTCCGTTGTAACACACTTACGACGTGGTTGACTCCGCTTGGGTGCCTCGTAAATTCTAAGTGGGTTACTACCTGACTGCCGACGATCTGCCCAAATGGTGCGACAGCCGATGATCGGACTGGAATTGTAGAAAGGGCGGGAGTCGGCAGCAATTGAGTCACAATCAAAACCTGGCACACAAATGGTGAACCCAGAACCATGTAAAGAAATAGAAAGGCGGCCGCAACTATTTCCGGCTGGGACTGCCCCTTACTAACATTCATCTAGGTTTTGAGCAAGTGGCTCAATTGACCTTCAACCCAGTGGTGCGGTGACTCACCGTCCGGGCCGGGCACCCTTGTGACACCCCCCGTTTTGGGGGGGGCGGCCTGCGTCTGCCGCCCGCTGCGCAGCGCTTGGCGCTGGGAAGGCGCGGTGGGCAACACAAAGGCCGCGCAACCTGCCCAGGCCGACTTTTCTCGAGCATGTTTTTGTTGGGCGGCTATGGACAAACCACATCAAAATCGATGACGGTTCAAAGCGTGTCAATGTGAACCCCGCTCTTTGAAGCTCCAAATGTGGAGTAAACAGGGTACATGAAGGGAAATAAGTGCCAAGAAACGCTTTGGGGTCACAGTGCTTCTGGTGTGCGGGAAAGTTGATGAAATCGGAGCCTGGGTAGCATCCTCAGTTGGTCCCTAGAATCTCTCTTTTGGAATTCACAAGGTGCGTGTGGCGTATCTGGATCGTGCATTCTAGCCGTCCGTCACGCAAACTAAGAGACAAATAGCCAGGCAGACAGGCAGACAGAGAAACAGACAAACAAATAGACCGACAAACAAACAAACAGACCGAGAAACAAACAAACAAACACACACCACAAACAAACAAACAAACAAACAGTAAAACAAACAAACAAACAAACAAACAAACAAGCAAGCAAGCAAGCAAGCAAGCAAGCTGTCATACAAAAGACAAACACGCAAACCAAACATACACACACACACACACACACACACACACGCAAACCAAACAAACCAATCAAACAAAGCAAACACACAAGCAACACAAAGATGCACCACCCCCCCCCAGTCAAAATCAGTCCTTTTTTTTAGTCCCTTTTTTTAGCCCAGCCTGCGGCTGCAAGCGCGGCGGCGGCGGTAGTCGATGGAGCCATGGCTAGGTTGTTCTTTTCTTCTGCACTAAGCCGCTTGGCAACACCCGCCTCTTGGGCCACGGGAAGAATCAAATGGCCAGACAACATGCCTCCGTCCTCCTAAATCGTCATTGCAAGCTTGTATAAAAGGAGCCTTTGATTAGTAGGTTGCAGGGCTGTGGGGAATGACCACTTCTGTGATACCACAGAAAGGGCTCCCCAAAGACTAGTTTGTTAGTATAAAGGGGGATTCCCTTGTATCACGGAAATGGGCAGAAACCCCTTGATCCCACAACCCTGGTAGGTTGTATCTCAGGGGTGACTCCAAACTTGCCACACTTCCTCCATAAGTTAACCAAGAAGCCCTCCATTCCACGGTTAGCACTAGCGATCCTCACGCTCTGGGAAACGGCACTTCTCAACGTGAGATTCCCCCTGGAACAGGGCCCCAACCGATAACGCATCCAGCGCAGCGTTTGCATCCACATCACTCTTCTTGTTGCAACAAAACTGAATGGTGGCCTGCCCATCCCACTTCCCATGATACCTACTATTCAGAGAGCACGCACACCAAGGGGAATGAGTGTCAAACATTTGCCTTTCCACACACGCTGGGGCCTTTTCATGAAGGATCGCGAAGGCTTCCCAATCTCAGGTCATGTATCCGGTCAAGGCCGCCACGTTGGGACGGACGGGGTTCAACGTCATACCAACATGAAAGCAAGCATCTTCAGGGGCGTCTCGTTTTGACACATTCCTGGTGAGCATTAATTGGGGGATTCATGTTCACCAACCACGTTTGAAGTAGTTCCCTATTACAACTCATGGCAAAACAGGTTTGACGGGAAACAGCTCGCAATCATTGATCAACTGCCAGGCGCCCTGATCGTACACTTTATCAAGAGTCCATGCCGAATAAAAGGAAAAGAACCAGGAAGACCGTCAACAGTCCGGGTTTTCTTTTACTGGGAAACTCCAGAAACTTCAACTACTCACCCCTCACTTCTTCTCGGAAACAACCCTGCTGATGCAGACCCCGCTGATCCAGAACCCCGCAACTCCTTAATGTACTAGCTGCTGACTTCTCTTCCCAAGAAAACCGGGCCCGACCACATTTGGCTGGCCAACTCATAAAATCCCCTGCTGCGCAGAGCCGCAGTTTTGGACCTCCTCTTCTTCGCGTTCAGCGCACAGCTCAGCGCACCTTCGGCGGAAGGGGTTCGCAGCCCAAGCGGGGGCAGCTGCTTGATAGCATGGGCTACATGGATTTGTTGCTATGCTTACAAACTTCTCAACACCAGAGGTTTGCCAGAGCCTGCCAATCAGATTGCTTCTGAGCACTGATCAGCCAGAAGGCCTTACAACCCGGGCAAAGCAAGGAAACCCCTCGGGATCACCCGCAGAGCTTGCTATTAGTCGGCCAGCTTCATGTGCAATGACGAGTCTCAGGACAGAGCGACCCGATGGGATTGCGCAATACTTGGATGACTGGTTTGTATCCTTGGTCAAATCCCCTACATGGGTTGTACGAAGGTCTATATGACACACCACTTGGGGGGAATTGAGGAATATTACAAATTGGGGGGGGGGTCATCCAAGTAGCAAAAACATTCGGGTCATCATTTCTGCAAAACTGGTCCAGTGAGTGGCAGTCTATGCTTCTTTGCGGAGGACATGGGGGACCATCCTCTTTTCCTTCCCAGCACCCAGTTGAAACAAAAGTCAAGCTGAGCGCCTGCAATCAACTGCAAGATGCGAATAAAGACCCAACTCGATGCTCCTTTGCCACACATCTTCTCCGTGGCGCAGCATGTCCGAAACAAAGCGGATTGAAAGAGATACTTGCGGGCCAAGTGCTTCTGAACAGCAAAATGCAGTGAGGGATCGACTTAGCTGCAGTTCCGACCCAAACCCAAAGGATCGATCGCAGAGCCTTAGTGACGTGCGTCTCCTGCGCTGGGCATTGCATTGCAATCGGGGGTGTCACAGCCAGCAAATCTGAAAACCTCATGTTGGCCAACCCAGACTGTTGTCTGGTGCATTTGGAAAAACTGGTCAGTGTGGAAAGTTCATCTCAGGCTTTACGTTGCTACTTCTTCTCGACGTCTTGGCTACATCGGCTTGTTCTGGTATCGGAACAAGCATCAACACACCACGGAGCAGAGTCTTCACATAAGCCGTAAGACATAAGCCATGATTTCAATAGTTCATCGGACGCAGCGGGCTCGCAGGCTGCGATAGGCAGGCCAAACTTGGACATGTGGCTTTTTGCTGGTAAGGGGAAGTGGAGTCAGCCCAAGGCATAATTAGCGAGATGGATATGCTGAACCCATTCTTGATCAACAAAGCTCCTGGAACCTCAAGATTCCCTTACAAATTGTGTGTCCCAAAAATATGGGGTGAGATGACCTTGTTCGCGGGTAGTTTCAGGGCCCAAGTTGATGCTTTCCAGCAAGCTGTGCTCAGCTTCTGACATCATGAAAGCCGAGAAGATTCGGAAACGGGGTGAAGTCAATCGATGGACGTTGCAGGCGGCATGTCGTGGGCAAGTCCCAAAGTAACCAGAACGAGTCTTTGATTGCAGTGATCAAAGGCGATCAAGGTAGCATCCATGTCAGGATAATGATGATATCCAGATACATGCCACAGCCAGAGGGATATTTTTTGCACTTTCTCAGCCCTGCAACAAAAAATCCGTCCGCGGCCCGTTGATTCACCCCCCCTCCCCCATAACCCCGAAACCCGCCCCGGAGGGTTCGCTCCGGCAGGTCCGCTTTGGTGCAGCACTCCGCATCTGTGCTGCCTGGGCCTGGGATACTGCCCCATTTGGCTGAAGGGGGGGGGGGGCAAAAAAGAGCTGACCCTGTAAGCGGTCATCTCAGGTGGGTCCCACTGTCCCAGTCTGGCCCCGTTGACATGAACGTCAAAAAAGGGCCAATGTGATTTTGCACCGGCCTCAAAGTGCTCTGCTTGCAGCTGTCACAGCTTGTCTCGCAGTCTTCCGGCTTTCGAATTGGTGGTGGAGAGCTTGGTGACAGTCGGGCATGGAAGGCACAAGCGAACCTGACTCGAGATAGCAATTGGAGCCATCCCATCGCCCTTCCCATTGGATCGTACACATCATTGGCGAGATTGCGAGATGTTGCCAAGGCTGAAGGTATGATACTGCGTCGTTGCAGTTGCACTCGGCCGATGACGGTGGGGCTTGAAACTCAAAACCTTACATACCCACGGCTGAACATTGCACCGAATGCGGGAGCGTGTTGTTGAACTCTCTTGTGGGCTGTTGGACGTTTTGTCTTCCCATTTGCCCTACTGGACCAGACCTAGACCCCCCCATATGTCCAAGAATGTTCAACTAAATACCAAAGGGGTAAAACGTCGAACTCCCACTCTGGCAATGACCCTTTTGCTCCTTGGGGAAATTGAGGTCCGAGGTTTTCGGCGCCAATCAGAACCCCAGGGTGCCCGAAAACGGAAATCCCTGCGCGCAGGCGCTGACCACCATGCGCCGCATCCAGGATGACTCATTGAGGTGATAAAGCAGCCCCTTTCCAAGGTATGTACAAACACCCCAGATACAGGCCGCCCAAACCCCCAAGGGTTTTATCGGTGGAGGGCAAGGTTGTGAGAAGTAGCTCGGTGGGATAAGGCTGTGATATTTCAGACGCCTTCCATTTCTGGTTGAGTTGGCCAACAAGGCCGGGTGGGGCAAAATTCCACCAACTTGCGCCAGAATGGGAGAATAATTTGTGTAACTATATTTCGCCCCTTGTACTTTTGACCCCATTGATCAACCCCAGTTTATGGGTAGCGTGTCCCTGGGTTTCGTAAGGGAATCAGACGACTTTTGGAGGGGAACAGCCCCCTAGTCAGAAACTGGTTGGTTGATTAATATGGGGTAAACATCATGGACCCTGCCGAAACCGCATTCTTCAGGAGCCCAAGCGGCTCCTCCGATTGCTGGGGTTGATTTATATACATTCCTCAAAACCAAATCGAAGTTGGAACAAGCACCGTCTGGGCTCCGGGGCGGGTCTGCGGCTCAGGCTTCTTCTCCCATCCGGCGCCCACGCAGCAGTAGTCGGAGCACCAAAGCTGGTCGTAGCACTCCTGACCCAGTCCAAGGCTTGGTTCCACATTCTCTTTCTTTGAGGGAACCCCCTTTTGCTCGGTTTTCAAGGGAGAAAAGGAAAACCACCATTTTGGGGATCCAACAGGAAAAAGACACACCGACATTCTTTACACCCATCCTTCTCTTGAGAATGCAACTGTATTTCCAGCAAATGCTGGGACAGCTGGAGATCGCTGGGGGTCATCCAAGGCTTTCCATACATTTTTGCCCAGAAGCAAGTCTAAAAAGCGCCATCCGGGCACAGTTGCGGCGGGGGTTTAAAAAGCGCCTTCCGGATTTGCGGCGGCGGGAGTTGCGCGGGCACCGCAGACCTTTTTCCCTGAGTCCACTATATTTCGACCTTGGTGTGAACACAAAAAGGACCTGGTTAATGTTGATAAACATCGAGTTCATCCCCCGTTTGAACCTTCTCCGCTGTTGTCACCTGGCACACGTACTTGCACATGGGCCTTAAGCTTGACAAGACCTTCGCCAGCCCAATAGGAATGGCAAAAGCCGGGGTTTATCGTGTAACCCTCTTTGAAGAAGTGACTCCCTCAAAAAAACGGGTCTGAACGGTCAGAAGTCGGAGCAAACAACTCCGCGCAGAGTGTGGTCTTTCTTAGCACAGGTTTCGGGCATCTTTCATTCCGAAATGTCATCGCCACACCGGCTTGTGCTTGGTTGGGTGCTGAACCCTCAGTTGAACAATTACAGCCGTACACGCTAGCATAAGCCCTGTATTCCAGAAAACTGAAGGAACATCCATATCTACCTGCAAAAAGATTGTTTGCAACCACCCGGAATTTCTAAACACGAAGAAACCCGCCCACCAAAGGTGGAAGTGCAAAACCCCCTTTCGGCAGAGGATCTTCTTGCTGGAAAGGGGGCCTGGGCACCCTTTCCTGTCTCCAGGGCACCAAGATGTGAGGAACAGTTCCATTCCAGCCAGGCCGAAACTCAACCCGCAACCATTTGTTTAAAGCACCGAGTCACTACGTCAGTGCTGCCCTGGATGTTCTTCGCAGCCTTTCGCTTCCACCTGAGACTGATATGTTGCAGTGTCCTCTCTGGGGTGACATGTAGGGAAACATGAAGGAAAGCAACAAAAACCAACCCCAACAACCAATGGAAACCAATGGAAATCGAACCGGAGAAACCAAAGGAAACCAATTGAGCAGCATTTGCCCAAGACATCTCAAGCCAGTGGCAAGCAGATCAGACTTCTCGTGCTTCCACTGCCCAGCCACCCGCATCGTGATCAAATAAAGATGACGTGCTTAGTCCACCCGAGCCGGAGCAACAAGAGATGCGCCCAAATGAGGCCGAGGACAGGGGAGGGAAACCTAACAACATCTGTTTCACCAAGGTTCAATTATAACCTATGTGAAATACATTTAATTATGAGTATAAGTATAAGTTTGTATATCAACTACACTTATCCATATTAGACATAAAACACGTTGCACTCAATATAAAGGTTGCATCATGTGACTTACGATTTGGATTTGGATGACTGTGATCAAAGTTAGATTGAGACCAGTTAAAATTGTAAAGCAAAAGTAAACATGAGGGCATCCGGAGGTGCTGAGTTGAGAGTGACTGGATCAAACGAGGCAGCTGTTCAATCATTTGAATACATTGCCACAAACAAGTCATATTACACTTCTTGTTTTGTATGCCCAGATGCGTTTTCATGGAACCCCAAGAGTCTCCTCACTGTCGCATACAGCCTTCCCTGCAAAGCAGATTTCATGTTGAAGGCAGTCGTAGTCGTGGAGTCAACCCGATTTCTCCGCCCAAAATGCGGGCTGTGAACCATGCCAAACGGGAATTTGGACGGCCACGGTACGGAGCCTTCAACCAGAACCATGAACATGGCCCTCACAAGAGGGCACAAACTATCTTTGATTTTTGGTGGGTGGGATGCCTTGTTGGTGAGTAGGGCAAGTGTCCCTAGGGCCAAGTTTACCGGCAAAGGGTTCATGTTTACCAACTGCTTTCAAGGTTTGCTTGTTGAATCAACCCTGGCCCCGTTCAGAAACTCTCCTAGTTCTCAAAGAGTTCGACAGGCAAACCCGGACTTCCCAATCGAATTGGGCCTTGGTGGAGCTCTATAGGTCCCCCCCCCCCCGGGTAGATGAAAAACTGCTTCTACGGCAAGGGTTGGGAACACCCGCCCCAGTAGTTAAATCGGCGACCAAAGAGCATATCGTTCTCCTCATGGCACCCAGAGGACCCCTTGAAAGCACATTGGCCTTCCTGGTACCCTCCCACAGGTACCACTCACGCGTATTGAGCGATGGTTTTAGACATGGGCATTAACCTGTGAGGGCCGCGATGCTCATCTTTGAAGGAATCTTGAAGGAATGTGTTAACCATCTTTGAAGGAATCTTTGAACATGTGACCGTGCAAGGATGCTCATTTTTGTCGAATGAGCAGCCTCCAGGATTGCTTCCCCTTTTCGTCCATCCTTCAAAGGGCCTGCGGCCCTAAATCCCTCAAACTCAGAGACTATCCCCAGTTGATCAGCTCCGCCCTTTCCCCTTTTGTTTGGTGAGTTCGGGACCTAACAAATAGAATCAACCCCAACAAGGGTTCCCAAAAAGAGTTCCCTTTGAGCAGGGTGCTCCGAGCTTATGTTGTGCCATGTTGTGCCCCAACCGATCCACAACATCGATGATCGATCTTATGAGTTACTCTTTTCCATGTATGTTCTCCCACCTCCAAGTAAAGTGTTTGTGCGGCTGAGGCACTGTGTGGGTGTGGAGGTAGTGTACTGACTGCAGTACTTGGGCAGGCAGCACTCCTGGCCGAGTGGTCATCATAAAACTGCTCCCTACAGATTGGGACTTGTTGCGGGGAAAGAATCTGTAGTCGGGCTACGCCAACCTTGCCTTGAAAGAAAAGCGTCCAACCTGCCCCGTGTGGACCAAACAAAGCTGGGTCTCCAGGAAACCACCTGACTTGGGGCATTGACCCTATATAGGACGGCCTTTCTGGTGAATCCCAATCCTTGTCAGGTAAGGCAATTCCCCAGCGACGACCCTATTTGGGCATATGGAGGACCCACGGTTCTTCATACCACACCCTGCCTTGTTTTTGAGACCCTCCCGGGTCGATTTTAGGGGCAACCCAAATCCATGTCGATTGGAACTAATCAAACCAAACGCCCTGACCCCCCCCGCCCAAGCCTCGTTAGTGCTGCCCTGCCACTTGTACCTCAGCGGAAACAAGAACAAGAAGAACCAGTTGAGATTCTGCCGACAAAGAACCAGTGTCTGGGGAATTTCTGTGCCAGTGATGGCGCGTGACCATGGATCTAGACTTTGACCGTAGCCTTCAAGTCATTTTGGATTGGCGCTCTTTACAGCATAGTCAATTCAATCTGCTTGAAAGGGTGATGGCATCCTTTCTCATCACAGTCTAATGTTTTTGAAGCTGGCAGGATTGAACCTGCAACCTCCTCGGCAACGCCCGAGATGCGCTGCCATTGCGCCACAGCCTCTCTTTCATGTCAACTGCAGCTGACCATCTTGCCTGGCGGCTTTTTCAAGCATCCCAGCAAACAACCTTTCTCCAAAAGGGACCGTCTGATGGTTCCATGTTCCTAAAATAAGAAGCCCGGAGAACAAAAAGGAAAAGCTTTATGTTCACCACGGTTCGGAAGTTGCCAAAGTTGGATTCATATCCAGGATTCTGGGGCTTCTTTCGGGCCCAGGTTGTCCTCGTCCCTAGGGACTCGCCAAGGGACGAGTTGGTGTCCACCTTCTTGTACCACATGGTGCCATCGCCATCGCCGTCGTCGTCGGTATCGCAGGTGTAGTTGCCGCCTCAGAGCTTGCAGCCTTGCAGCTCGCGCCCCCAAGTATCAAGTCCAAAACCAAGTTGCCTGGGCAACGCCCAACATGGCTGTGGGTGTCAAAACCCAGGAAACCCCTGGTGGCAAATGGATGTTCATCCACCCCAAAATGGAGCCATAGGTGCCCCATGGCCATATGAGGAATCCCCAAAGAATCATAGGTCGAGAAAATTCCGAGGTCGCCATTCGCCCGCGCCAGGCTTGACAGGCGCGAAATACGACAAATGATGGGCATTCAATGAACAGCAGACGCATTCCTCTGGCACAGGCGACGCAAGGTCCCTAAAAAGTCACTCGACTCGAAAGTCCCTGAAGGCTGAATCGGAGCAAGCTCCAGGTCTGGAGAAACAAAATGATACTGAAATGAATGCTCGTGTTTCACTGAGAAGGCAAGCCATGGTCAAATTCCCTTGTGGAATCTTGCTTGCTCCTCTGTTTGTGGGAAACACACCGACACATTTCCGCCATTCCCACTTCCGTTGGTTCTTGACCAAAGCCTATGGACCGCGGCAGAAAAAAACCGTCGGATCGGTCATTGAGCTTCACCCATTTTGCCCATGCTCCGAGTCCGACGCGAAAGCAAAAGGATCCGATATATCCCTTTGTCTCATTGCTGGACCCGGGGGTGGAGATAAGCCCTTCGCACGGATGTTGACCACGACAAATCGACAGGGTGGAACAAGCCTTCCACAATCCGACAACACAACGTCATCTTACCTCACCGCTGGTGGACAAAGACAAACAAGAAAGAAACACACACAAGCGCAAACAAACAAGCAAGCAAGCAAGCAAGCAAACAAACAAACAAACAAACAAACAAACAAGCCAACAAACAAACAAGCAAGCAATTAGCTGCATTAGCTAGCTTAAACAAACCAACAAACAAACAAACAAACAACCAAACAACCAAACAACCAAACAACCAAACAACCAAACAACCAAACAACCAAACAAACAAACAAACAAACACACAAACAAGCAAGCAAGCAAGCAAGCAAAGCAAACAAACCAAACCAAACCAAACCAACCAACAAACCAACAAACCAACACACCAACACAGGACTAGCAAACATGCCTGAGGCGAGGCGCAGTAGATTGGCTCGCAGCACTGGCTCATGGTAGAGCCCTGACTATCCTTGGCGTCGGCCTTCGGCTTCCACATGGTGCTGGGGCTGCCTGCGGATCACGCGGATCACGCGGATCACGCGGATCACGCGCCAGGCGCACGCGCAGCGCGTTTCTTGCGATCGGTGCGAGAGTTGCAGGGAATGAGAATTGGAAGGACCCTGATAGACCATCCAAGTAGTGGTTTCCTTTAAGGGTATTTGCCGGGCTCATTCCCTTCCCGACTGAGCACGAGCAAGTTTTCCCCGCTTGGGAACTGGGGGTACTTGGCTTACCATGGCTTCTTTGGGAAGTTGCTTACAAAGGGGTAACCGGTGTTTGTTGGCTTACCATGGTTACGGCCGAAGTGGGTCGAAACGTGCAAGTCTAGCTCGCCGAAGCATTCCCCACGGTCAAGGCCCTGTGATCTCCTTCCCTTCAACAAGATTGGATTTGGGAAGAGGTTTCCCATTTACTCCGTACGAGAGGGGTTCAACCCCTCCGGAACCACCATGCAAGCCACCAATCTAGGATGATCTGAGAAAGGGTCAATGGGCCCCAAATAAAACAGGAAATACAGACTAGAAACCAGGAATTTATTAGACTTACTTGCAGGAGTTTAAGTGTGTATGCTGTCACTATCCCAGAGGCGACTCAGTTGAAGATAGGACAAACTTGTTGAGCAATGGAAGTAACCCAAGGTGAAACAAACATATCGTTCATAATCAAACAAAGAAACCTACCATGAAACACCAAAAAAGGCATGATGTGTGCCACGTCAAGTGCCGTTGGGGCTTGCTCCTTCGCAGCCAAGACGCAGGTCTCCTCCCGGCAAAAGATCTTCTCACAGCACTCCTCGTCGGAACTGCCGCGACGGTCGATGTTGGTGGGGCCCAGCCTGCCGATGCGGATTTTGGCAGCGGAACGCCTCGCGGAAAGGACCGCAGTGGTTGATACTGCCCAACATAGGGTACATCCCACTGAGGTTTCTCTGGTTTCTATGGTGACTATGCTTTCCATGGTTTCGATGGTCTGTTCATTTTTCTACTGGGACTTACGAACTGGAGATATTGACTTACAAAATGAGGCGGCCACCCTATGGTTGTGGACAATTCGGGTTGACTCCGGAGAGCGAGCCAATCGGCAATCTTGGGAAGACTTTGTTCTCTGGTAATCAAAATGTTTACCATTTGTCCAAAACGTGTAAATTCCAGATTTTTTTTCTGATAGTCCACTCGGTGCAACCGAAGTGGTTGCCTTTTGAAGACAACCAAGGTGACTAAATAGAGTCCTTCAAACCGCTTCAGGCAGAAGAGCAACAACAAAGGCAATAAACAGACTCCGATGCCACTTGTCTCTGAAGCCTTTGCTTTGAGAAACCCTCGAGCTGTTTTTCGTCACTGCATCTGCCACATCTGCTTGTCACACAACTCATATATATACATGCTTCTTGTTGAAGTCTGTGTGTCTTCCAAACACAGCATATCTGAGGCAAGACACTGGTCGGAGATGTGGATCCACCTCGGCACACACCGGCTCAGCTCGGCATGGTAAGCCCGACTTTGCCCTTCATTGGGAAGCAAAACATACTGTGGATGGACGAAACTCTGCTCCAAATAGAAACCCTGAAATGATGATTCCTTTGTAGATACCAACAAGCTATGGTTCCCCATGCTTTAAACATGGTGCATAATTTCGTTCATCCACAGTACATTGGTCCTTGTTTCATGCCTTGTCCCATTTCTATGTTCACATGTTTGATTTGCGAACAGCCAAGCCTGGCTTGACCCTTTCAATATTCCACGATCTGGCCTCTTTGCTCCAAACATCCGCTCGCTTCACGTACACGCTGCATGCATCAAAGGTTTGCATATGGAAGACGGCTCGCAGCGAACTTCAGCTCATGGATACTTGGAACAGGGTGACCAAGCGCGAGTGACATGCCATTGAAATCTCTCACGGATCAACGAAAGAGCATAACTGCTGCGGAGTCTGTGCTGGCCATTGAAGTTGCTCTTAGCCAACCTTTACCATCCAAGGCTGGATGGGAGCTGAACTGCATCATTTCTCAGACCCAAAGTGAAACTTTCTGAAAGTGACGTTCGACAGGCAAGGTCATCTTCTACACGGGGGGCGGGGGGGGGGGGGCAAATCTAAGGCCATCCGGCAAATGAAACTAACTAGAGGCAAGGCCATCACCTGATGGCTCAACAGTTCAACTGGCCATTGCAATGGCCCAAACTCTTGCCCTGAATCCATCCAGGGCGCAATGCCGCCGAAAACACACATACAGTATGCGTCAGTACCCAGCACCCTGCAAGCCTTTTCCCCTTGAGATATGCATTTAAGCTTGCAATTGTGAACTGGAAAAAGGCGGTGGCTGGGTGCTGGACATGCTGTTTTGGGGTGGAAAAGAGGTGCATCGATTTTGACATGTAAGTCACCCAGGTCGCAACCCACCTTCAAAGTCCAAGTAAGACTTGGATTTAGAGAATCAAAAAGCCAAAGTATCTAAGAACCATGGATTGCCTCCATTTCTGTCAAACTTTGTCCCGCTGCGAAACATGTTCTGCCGCTTCTTGTTTTTTCACGGGGTGGATGCAAAACACTGAGCATGCCTAACATGTCACAGAAAATATGGTAAGCCTTTGGCCTGATGCACAGATCGCTCCGAGGTGCTTGGTGGCGTCGCTGCACTTGTAGTCCTTGCAGAACTTCTCCTCGCAGCACTCCTGTGGCGGGGCATGGGATTCGGAATTCCAAAAAATATGGGTGAATTACAATATTTCACCAACCTGGTTGGGTGGCTATTCCCCACATAAGCCACCATTTGGGGTGAGGTCGTGTGAGGTCGTTATAATTCACCCAGAAAAATGCTGGTGTGTGTAAGTGTGCCGAGTGATATACCCTGTAACCATCACCATGCAGGGGGCAAAGCGCTTGATTTCCTACCGTGCCAACGAAGCTACGGAAATCAGGTGGATGAGATGCTGGATGCGGCATCTTGTACCTGCAAGTTTGTGATGGAAAGTCCTGTTGGCCGTCTTTGTTTCTCTTGCTGTGTGTGCTTCGTGTTGCACTGGCAACGTTTTCGATCCTAGAGGGAAGCTGCCACTCGACTGATTTATTCGATTGGATTACTTGAGAGTGCCACTCAACTCAGACAGAGTTTCAGTGTGTCTGTGTGTGAGAGAGTGCGGGCGAGCATGGGTTTGTCTGAGTGTGTGTGTGTGTGTGTTTGCTTTTTGAGGGTATGCTCCCTTTTGAGGTGGGGTTTAAGGAAAGTCAAGAGGAATGCCACTCATTTTGACACAATCACGGCTCCCCCAAACTGCCTGTTTGCTGTTAACCTAGTGTAGTGCGGGCGTACCACACAACCCTTCCAGCAACTCAAGTCCTCAACAGTTTCAATGGTGTGAATGCGGGCAGCCCTCCAGAGTTTGGTGGCAAACCGCCCAAGATGAGTGTTTGCCTCATTTGCCGTTGTCCCAAGATCCTAACAACGCACGCACGTCTTTGCCCAAGAGACCTAGCAGGGAGCAGTGAATAGGGCTCCTGGGTGCTATTGGTATCAAAATACGGCATCATGGTATCATGCACAGTCTCAAACTAGAATTGGACATCGTAGTCAACTGAAAGTACCCGACTGTTTGGATTTGTGGCGAAAAACTGTCTGTGATGCCAAAGTGGAATGCCAATCCTTCTGAATTTGTTGTCGCGTTCAAGGGGATATGGCCCCGCTGCCATGCTAAGCCAATCAATTCCTGGCCATACTCCCATTCTGTGCCTTGAACGGTGCTGATGTGCAGCCCCCACGCAAACACCAACCACAAAAAAAAAGAGCAAGCAACCAACAAACAGCCCAAGACAAGAGCCATGCTTTTCGCGGGTCCTCATCTGTGGATCCCGGACGCTCTTCTGGCTTCACCTTCTTCTGCAGGGTCGTAGTGTCTCGGAGATGAGAGCTAAACGGCTAAACGCTTCAAGGGGAAACTGCGCTGACTGCTTGGTCCAACGAGGAACCTGACGGGTCCGGGTGCCAAAGGGACCTGCCGGCTTGTCAAACCGGATTAGGGCTGTGGGAAATCATTGACCACTTCTGTGGTGCAACAAAAAGGGCCCAAAGACTAACCCATATAAAAAGTGAGGATAAACGCCTATGTATCACAGAAGTGGTTGGATCAACCCCTTGAGATCCCACAACCCTGAGTAAGCGGACGCTTTGAAAAAGGACATGGGGCGGCTTAGCGTCTCCCAGATGAAATTCTCGGTTGCGAAATCTGCGAAGCCCTGCTAAAAGTGACGAACTTTTAGTGGTTTAATACGGAAAACCCAAATTCGTTGGCAAAAAAGCTAAAAAGTCATAGATAACAGCCCTTGGCAAAATGCACCTTAAGGAAACACACATTGGCGGCCGCGAGTGCGCGGTCGCTACGCAACACCGCCACGGTTTGAGCGCGGACGTCCAGAGCCGGGGGTGCAGGGGAGCCGGATGCAAAGCTCGAGGTCGGGGTAGGTTCGAAATCGAAGATCTGTGTTCCCTTATCTCTTCGGGCAACCATAAACCGAGAAACCATAAGGGAAGATTTTGACTTGAGGGCTAGCAACTGGTGTGGAGTTGGCAAAACTGGATCCCCGTCTTGATTCTATTTCACTTACCATCCCAACAAGGAATCCAACAGGACTGAGTTGCAAGAACATGGTCTTCCATGGCTCCCACATATTCCATGGATCCCAGCCAGCCGGTCAGTCCGCTTCGGACCATTGAGTGAGCTCTTGGGATCAGGTGAGAGCTTGCCTTCCGAGCCCCTTGTTGAAGGTAAAGGGACCTCTTCAGATGCCCTGTTGCACAAGGTCCCTTTAGTTGTATGTTTTCGATTTCGATTCGGGCCCGGGTCATGCAATGCAACCGAAAGGAGGGGGCAAACATGCTCACTATTTGGAGTTTGGCCTCGAGTTGATGCCCGTTTGTCAGTTTGATTTGAAGGGGAAACCCTTCCCAAATTGAGAAGATGGAGCGCAGGAACACCGCGCCGAGCGAAGGGAAGCCTTCAAAAAGAAGGGAAAAAAAGGAATCCCCTACCAAACAAAGGAGAAATACACAAATGGTGTTCCACGGTGTTGCACAAAACATGTGGCCATGGGTCAAAACCCGTACCATCAGTGAACATCCCAATCCCAACTAAAATAGACTAAAATGCCCAAAATGGTACCATGGTTTTGACCCACAGCCATGTATCTATATATATATATACACCGTTTTTTTGCCAAGCAAAAGCTGAAAGAAAAAAAGCCACTTGTCCCCTGAGCTCCCAGCTGCTGCAGGTGTGGCTGCTGCAAAAGAGGCTCTCACAGCACTGCTCCTTGGTGCTGCCTGGCGATGGGATTTCTGGGCCCGGACTCCGTCCGGTTTCGGCCATGGGATCCTTATGGGCTTGGTTGCACCTGAGCTTTGAGCGAAATACGTCCTTTCAGGCGACTCCTTTTTGTTGCAAAGGACCAGGCCGCTGTTTTTTTTTTTTTTTTTTTTTTTTTAATGTAACCACATATTGATATACACACTTTGTATACACACCCACCCGCTCAAGTCAAGCATTCCGTAGATGTATCCTAACCCAACAGAGTCAACGGAGAGCATGGTTTGTGATGTAAATAGCAGGGCAATGGATGTGTCTGAAAACCAGGCGAAATATCATAAACTAAACAGCACCAACACTCAGTGGTACATAGCCTCTGGGAAAATGCACAAACAAAAACCATCCCCTGGTTTTTGCGTTCCAGGAAAGCTGGACATTGTGGCCGACCATACCACAGTGTTGGGGAAATCACATAGGAGTGTTTAAAAAACCCGTGAGCCATATCATAGCCCACTGACATCTAGATGCTTCAGCAGGGTTGTCACATCTTCATGCTTGGCGGTGCGCAATGGGGCTTGGGAATTGCTTTGACATGTGGTAAGTGCCACCCGCCTTTACCCACACCCCGCTCGCGAATTGGCACTCAAGCAGTTAGCTCCAAAAAACAAGAAGCTGTTCTCGTTGGAAGCATAGTTCACCTTTGACCCGCCTTGAGGAGAAAGGAAGGTACACCCAGTTGGGGGGGGGCGCAGCTGCTGTTTAAACCCTGCCTCGAATGTCTTGGTTCATCATGACCACCCATTCAAAACACCCGTCACTTTAGGATCTCCGAGCAAAGAATCAGCGGCTGGGATGCCTTCTGCGTGTCTCCTTTGAGTCAATGCGACCTTGGATTCATCTCAACCTGAAAAACACGCTGGCCGAGTGGTGTGCCTTCAAAGGGGGCCACCCCTTCAAACCCAACCAGAGGGGGTCTCACCCCGACAGCTGCCTTCCGCTAGGCGTCTTTCGAATCATGGAAGTGCACTCTGGGCCAAACTAACCCTCAAGGACCCCCCAAGCCTCAAGCCAAAGCCAGAACTGTTGAGACTTCGCCCCCTTGCTACTTTGCATTCTACTAATCACCCCGACCGATGTGTTCTTCTTTTCTGGGGGGAGTCCCAAGGAATCCCAATGAGACACACCTACATGCAAGCAAGTGTCTCTCATCCATGTCGGACAGGGTCTAACTCTCACAAAACACGCTGGCCGCAACGGAAGTTAGGAGCCCCTGAAAGTGTCCAAACCCTTTGAAAGACCCCAACCAATAATATATGCATGCTGATCGTAGTCACTTGTGCGAGGGACAAAAGCATATGGCTACGAGTTGTCAAAGGGAAGCCCCAAATTCTTTTCCAGGGCTTGTACTTTCCAACCAAAAGGCCAACAAGCCAAACTTGTCCGAAAAACCACTCTGAACGCATCCGCCTGGGAGCGCAGAGGCGTTTTTGGGCCGCCACTGGGTGTTGTTGGGGCAGCCTCAGTCCGCAAAAAAGTGAAGGTGTCCCTCCAAAACGTGACATCCCGCCCCAATCCCGCCATCAACCAGCCAGAACAATAGATTCAACACAACCAAAACAAGCCACAAAGAAGCCAGACAAACACCCCGTTGCCCAGTGACCCACGAAAAAGGGTGCCGCTGGACAACATGGGAAACCAAGGGTGATTGATGAGAAACCAAACAGGGTGATTTGTCAGCAAAGCATCGCGGATGTAAGAGCATCGGAACATATCGGACAGCTCTGCCTTTGCGGACAGCCAACGGCTGCCTTTTGTAATACATGCTCGCCCTTTAAACTCAGGCGAAGGCAAACATCAAAAAGCCCAGAATTTCATTCATGGGGAGTATAGAGTCTCTTCGAAGGGCAAGTCATGACCAAATCATAGACCGACACTAAAAAGCAAAAGGTCAAAAGGTCGAGTAGATTCACTTTGGGTAAGGATGGTAAGGATAAGTTCTGTGGTAGGTGAGGTGGTTTGATTCAGAATGCGTCTGTCTGCTCAGTGCTCCCAAGCTGAACATGGTTCGCCCAGGGTTTCCAGCTCGAACATTCGCCCAAAACACAGTTTGGAAATAGGCGTGGAACTATTGAAACTATCGACCTGGATCCCCGAAGTGTAAAGCGCTCTTTGCTTTCTGCCTTTGATCAAGAGGCACTTTGAGCCAACGGGTACGGCAATTCTGCCTCAAGGCCCGGTCTATCAAATGGAAACCCAGCTGTGGGAAAACGGACACCAGCGACAAGAAACCAAAGAAAACCATCTCTGCAGGGCTGCGTGCTCTTTGTGCTTGAAAGGCGAGCAGAAAAACTGGTTGATCCTTTCGGACTCTTTGAAGGGCCAGCTGACAACCTGCTCCAAGTCGCTGAAGTCCAAGCATAGGCGCGGCTCGCCTCGGGAAGTGGCCCGGGGGGCCAAGGATTCGTCAGGCCACGGAAACCAGACATCTGCCACAAGGGTCTACCAGAACATACATGACTGGGCTGCCTTCAGATCCCCTGCTAAAAGCTTCTCTTTTAGTGGGTTAAATGGACACCCCCACTGAATACTGAAAGGCTAAAAAGCTAAGGGGATGGCTGGGAGCCAATGATGTTGTTGATCGTTTGACCATGCCTTTCTCGTATGCGCTCATGTGTGTCAAGCCCCTCGTACATTTTGCTGTGCATGTCCTTGAAAGCCCACGACATATAGTGAGGATGACATAAACACCTCGCACCAGCTAAATTCAGTGTGTGTTCCTGAAAGACAACATGGAACCTGAACAAAGGTCACGCCCAACAAGGCTTCCCTGAACGCTTTTGTTGGTTGGAAGTAGATCGTTAAGGGACACCCTCCCTTGCAGTGACAGGACAACTGACAGGGGTCCCTTCAAGAGGACACTGATCTTCTTGGCTTGCCCAGCTGGCTGATAGTGGGAAGTCTAGCTGCCATGTTTAATTCCCCCCAAAGACTGCGAAGACCGGTGGACACTTGGCTCTGGAAAAGGAAAGAGCATAGGAACTACAACCAATTCTCTACCCTCGTGGGTTGGTCTTCTTTTTGAGCTTTGGAGCAACCAATTCTGAGCTTGCATCCAGCTCTTAAGCCACACCCAGGCGCAGCATTCAGTCAGCTCGTTGCCAGTGATCTCGGCTGCCTTGTCCTGGACATGACCGAGGCTTCTTTTCTGGGGGTTGATTGCCCATTCTTTTCAACCATCGTTCTTCTCGAAAACCGGCTGTCTCCCCTGGGTTTGTGATGGTTTCCTGGATCTTTATCCTACACCAGCGGCATGCACTGGGTCAGAACTAAGGGCGGCCACTGCTTGATCACATGTGGGCATCCTTTACGAAACACAAGACAATCTTGCGATCCAGGAAAAAAACAGTGGACGAAACAAATACAGAAATGACACAATACAATGACATAAAGAAAGACAGACAGAAGGAAAGAAAGACAAAAAGAAAGAAAGAAACAAAGAACACATGAACACATGAAACAATAGAATAATCAACTAACAAGAAAGAACAACAGAAGACGGAAAGATGTTATTGGGGGTGTAATGCCCTTGTCCAACCATTTGGAGGGTGCTCCAAGCATCCCACATCTGACGAGCTAGCCAAGCGTAAAAGCGGACGAGTCGTGGGAAGACTTCGGTTCCAGAATTGTTGGACGAATCATGATTTAAATTGGAAGTTTAAAACTTAAAGTCTTCCGCAACCGGGGATTCTTACTTATAGATTCCCTGCTTCGGGTTTACCGTATTCCGCAACCCCAAAACAATGATAATCTACGTGCACACGTTCCATTCCCCAAATTTTCGGGTTCAAAGTATGCCGCCGCCCCATATCAATGGCGTTGCCACTTGATTCCGCCGGAGAAAAACAAAAACAAAAAACGCGTTGCGCCCGTCGGACCGAAGAACCGAAGAACGGCCCACCTTCAGCTTCCAAAGGCTCTGGAGCTCCGGCCTCGGATCGAAATCTGCCTCTTGGAGGGTACCCCTTTGGAGCGGCGTTTTACGGGGGAAACAATCAGAGACAAGTCAAGCTCACCCACTTTTTTGGGGGGGTCTTCGAGTTTTAAGACACACCCCTCTAGGTGTCCTGTTGGTTTCCTGCTGGCTTCCCTTTTGAAAGCATCCAACAAGGGGTCGCCTATTTAGTGCTGTAGCATGAATTTCGGCCCCCACAATTGTGCTGTTGGCTTCCTCTTAAAACCAAACCTTGGCTCCAAGATAAAGCCCCTCAAGAAGCCGACGTGCAATTGGGGGGTGCCCTAAAATGCTTGGATTAGGGTGGTTATGGTTGGTCTGGGATTGGTTTAGGGCTGGTTGAGGGTTGGTTTAGGGCTGGTTTAGGGCTGGTTTTGGTTTCGAGCGTCCTGTTTGTTCCCTTCCCCAACCAAAGTTGGCGAGTCAGTCTGTCTGTGCACCCGTGCGGGATGCTGAACTCCGTGCACTTCTGCTCCTCACAGCACTCGACGTCGCCTCGGATTACGCCAACTCAGTTGATTTCCAAATCGGCCGAACTCGGGTGGTCCGAGTGTGGCATATGGGGTTGATGTAAAGGGACAACAAAGGACGGCAACGCCGGCAGCACCACTTGATCAACCCTATACCGTCCTTCAGACTCTCCTTCTTTGGCACAGAAATCCGCCCAATCTTGGGTTGTTCGTAGGGCTGAGAATGATCCGTGCCCACAGCGCAATGGTTGGTAGAGGCGAAAGGGCCTTCGCAGTCCTTCCCCCCACTCCCCAAGAAGAAGCACGGAACTTGAGTCCTGGATAAGAAGTAATCAACCGTGGTTGAGAATGCTCTTGGGTACACTCAAACCAGGCCGGAATGGCAGACATTCCTGCCAGCAAAACCAGAAGGCTGCAAACAACAGACACCGGCTACCCACCCTCTGCCAAAGGCCGGGGCAGTCATGGTGGTCGCCAAACCGGGGGAAACCTGTTCAACACGCCTCCGGTGGTTGACAACAGCCTGGCCCCTGAGGTTCCGGGCCCCAGCCCTTGCGGGTCACGTTCTTCCCCGTCACAGGGTCCACCACCAGCGAGCTCCTCCTCCGCATGATGCGCACGTCCGAGCAGCTCCAGTCCAAACCTGGGAGACCGCAACCAGGGCGATGGAGAGTTGGGAGTGGTCGTGAAAGAAACGCCACAAAACCCAGACATGCACGGAAAGGCCTGTACTGAAGCGGCCTTTGACGATGTTTGGGTCGAGGTTACGGAGGCAAATGAGGTGGATCCAGCTTCACTTAGGCGTAAGCTCTATGGACAGTGCAGGCGAATGTCCAAGGCAAGCCAAAATAGAACTATATAAGAGAAATCCCCAGTACAGGATCTTCATTCTGGATGAGTCATTTTCTCCGCAGTTGAGCTGGGTCGGATTAGTGCAGAAAATCGATGGGCTCCTTGAGGCCGAATAGGGATCAAGAAATGTACCAAAGTCATGCTCGGTAGCCTCCCTCATATGGTACATACATGTTGTTCTGGTCATAGGTGAGCTGTGTGGTTTGTCTTGCTTGCAAGCCTCTTCTATCCCAGTGTCAAGACAGAACCTGATGACTTAATAACTATCCGCGGAGTCACTTAAGCAAATGGTCCGGCTCCCCGTTCAAGAAGCGTCGATCTAGTCAAACCAGCTCGGAATAATTCAATACAATGACACAGGACCAAGTGGGGAGGTCGAAGCAAGTCACAGTCATCAGGGCGTCAAAAGAATGCCCTGGTTGAGGCATGCATCATTCGAGATCCCTGGTAGCTTCTCCAGCGCCTTTCATTTGGAAGCCTTGGCAATGTTGGACAGCAGAGTTGGGGCGCAGACACTCCTTCTGGATGCAGCACTCCTCCTTGGTGCTTCCTGCATGCAACTGCGATTCGAGCAGCTATCAGATCAACACCACCATTGCCCCTCAAACACACACAGGCATCAAAGAGACATCATAAGCGGTTGTCATTCTTGAGGCTACCCAAGGGCAACTACTAAAAGGAAAACCGCCAATTTGGGGCGGGATGCCCCTTTTCACCTGTACCCAAATGGCTCTAGGCGACCAGGTACATTGGTCTGCCCAATGTAAATCCGCGGCAATCTTCTCTGTCCTTTCAATCCAGTGGCAGGGTTCTTGTCCCAGCCGGTCATGTTGTCGCAGATGTCCTGCAGCAATCAGCCGGTGCTGAAGCAAGCCTGATTACCATGCCGGACGAGACAGTCCAAGTTGGCCAACTTTAAGTTGGACCTTGTTCCCAGCAATACAACAACAAGTAAGTACAACACACTCTGCGAAAGAGGAGGGCCCGGCCCCCCAAAAGGTCCTAACCTTCCAGTGTACCCAGCCCCAAGACCCGGGCGCCCCACTTGGACCACCCCACTTAGCAAGTGATCAACATCCCGAGTGAAGTCGCTGAGGGGTCGGTCTGTCATCCAAGCACGTCGGACGGTCGGACGTGTCTACCCGGTCCGTTGGGCAGTACTTGGCGCTGCAGCAGCCCTGCAGCGTGGACCCCTCCCGGGCATCGAAGTCTCCACGCGGCTCCTCAAATAGCGCACGGCGTGCGGCGCGCGCTGAGCGAGCGGTCGCGAGAGCACACGCTGTGAAGATCAGCCACCGTTTTTGGTGGTTCAGAGAGAAACTGAACCAGTATAGACAGCTTTCATGGGTAAACCTTTCTGGAAAATCCCCGTTCTGTTTGGGGAGCGCCCTGTTTGGGTGATGAGGAACCAACAGAAAAACAATGGTGGCTCTCTATGTGTATCAAAACATGCTAAGACTTGTCCATGGGCCCATGGCAAGTGGGGCCTCTAAACTGCCATGGCTCATTCGCTTCAACCCAGCTGGTTACCCCTTGTGATCAAACAGCAAGAAGTGCAGGCGAGAAGTGCAAGCAGAATGCTATCTAATTACCTTAAACGTTTGACTGAAACATTCAAAACATGCCACGGTCGACAACTCTTTCATTAGGATCCTAATAGCTGACCACAGCACACACGCGCGACGTGGTGCAAGCGCTGAGGCCCGCACCCACTGAGTGGTTGGAGCGCCTGAGTCGCGCAGGAAGAAGAGGAACCGTCAACGTCAACCTTTGGTTGGACCCTGCTTGTGTCGGCCGTTCAAGGCAGCTGCAGAGGGGAAGTGTTGAATTGCAACATTATTCCTTCGCTACAAACTGCATTGCTGGCAAACAATGCAACTGGCTCAGAACTACATAGCCAGTGATAGGCTCTTTGCCATCCTCACAGCTTAACATAGCTGCAACTGATATACAATTTATGCGCGCGCACACACACACACACAACTTCATCGTATGCTGCACACGTGGTTTGCCTGTTTGGTGGGGCGTTGTTTGTTTGTCGTTCGAGGGGCGGGGTTTCTCGAACGAGAACAACACTTTGCCATGGCGAGGTGAGAGGAGGCGGGTTTGGTTTCTGGGCTTATGGGCGAGGGACAAACAACAACAGCAAAACAAGGAGTCTCCATGACCCTTCACAAATAGGGTCATATAGTCAGAGTAAGTGGCGTCATGACCCTTTTCTTATGAGTCATAGCGACTCCAGGCAGACCAATACGCGATGTTCAGCCCCAGCCCGCTGGGGCAGCGGCACGTGACCTCGTCCTTGCACATCCTGGAGCTGCTCTGTACGGGGGTTTGCAAGGGAGGGTACCATTGCCAGCCGTGTAAAACACTGATGGGAAACAATGGGAAACCCTGGGAAGGCCATCCTTCAAAGGTGGCTGATTAGTCCCTGGAACCTTGTGCTGATTCCGCCAGAGCCTCTTACCCTTTAGACTCTCAGGATCCCCAACCCCTCTTGGTCCCCCGTGCCCCAATTTCCTCCAGGTAAGGCCTTGATTAAGAAACATTGTGGACCCCTTGTTGTTTGTGCATGTTTTTGTGAGCCCCCCATGTCCCTCCCAGATGGACCAGAGAAATTGGATATGTTGACCGAACCTCACTGTGAGGTGCTGTGGCAGAATCAACCGCAGTTTGAAGCCGGGGTTGGGAATCGACTGCAGGATTTCGCGGAAACAAACATTGAACGGCCAAATGCTATGGCTGTGGCTGCTACAAGACAATGTTCACCGGGTTAAATGGAAACCCCACCACTAAACCAACTAAAGACCTACAAACATAAGGAACCGGATGGCTGAGAACCACCAAGCTATGTAACATTCACTGCCTCAGAGCAGCGCGACAACCAGAAAGAGGCGCTGACTCCACGAATTCTCAGCTCCGATCCGGGCAAAATGCGTATCATTTCTTCCCCCACCGTACAACCTTCGTCCTCAAACGAACTATAGACTGCCAGCCGTTTGAGTGTGGTGCCTCGAGCTTCGGGCAAAGATGTTTGCTTCCTAAAGAGGGCATGGGAAAATTGGGGTTCGCTGTGGTTTTTGTGGAACCATTTGGGTCCGTGGAGCATAGGCTTCTGGAGATGTTCACTGAAAACTACACGTTTTCGCGACTTCTGATCCAAAGCACTGGGCCTCGTCCCCTTGTCCTCCGCAACAGAACAAGTAGAACACCTGCATGTTTGTCCGGTGGTGTTCAATTAGAACACCTGCATGTTTGTCCGGTAGCCTTAACCAAGCGCACATAAAAGTATCCATACCAAGGAGCTACTACAGTAAACTAATTACTTGCAAGTTGCTGCTCAAAGGCCAGTTTGTCACTTTGCTACTCCTGTTGCCCCCGAAAGAAACATCGCAGCCCAGCGGAAACCCACACTAAATGTTTGCCACTTGCTTCAACGGAAACCCAAAAAACCTTAGGAAGCCTACGGAACCCTAGGGCTCTCAACTACCCACCCTCGATGGTGCCTACCCCCCGGATGGGATTCCATAACCATCCAAGGTGATAATCAAAAGCTGGTATCAAAATGGTCGGGCCTAGAACCATACTTCGAGAATTAAGAAGGCGGTTCCGCACCCATTTGCAAGGGGATTCATCCCTTAACCTTCATCTACCCTATTTATCCTTCATCTAATTGCCCTCCCACTGACATGGAAGCTGTGGGGAGAGAAAACTTTGACCTTCCAGGCACCTCCCCACCGGTGCCATGGTACCCCCTACTCCAAATACCCGCTTTTGTTTTGGCATGTTGTCGACCTCTACTAAAAAAGGATGCATTTTCCGTCAAAAACCAGGTTTTGCCAAAAAACACCCTGAACAAAGCGGGGTATCCGGAGTAAGGAGTACCCCGTTTTTTTTGAGGCCGCGGCTCCGACGACCTCCTGTCGCCCCCTTTTTCGGCCTCCCCTCGGCGCCTGGGCGCGCAGCAGGCCGCCTCGGAGTAGCCGAAGGTGTCGTTGGCCTTGACCTTCTGCGTCAACGGGTGCGGGCCTCAGCCGATCAGCCGACAGCCCTCAGCCCTTGGGCCATGCACATGAGCTTCCCATTGTGGGGCAGTGACCCATTTTTAAGGGAAGTTTGAGGGTCCAGGTGCCTGACTTCTTTTCGCAAAAAAACAACACGCAGAATTGTTCGTTGTATCTGGCTGAGTTGGTAGTTCCTTCTATATGGTTTGTGTTCAAACATCACGCCAAAAGCCACTCAAGCATCGGCAACAGGTGATGGTTCAATCACCCGCCACAAGGGGCAGCTCAAGGCTTTTGCATCGTGAACTTGCAAGGTCGACTGCAACCACTCTTTTTTCGGCCCAAGACTCTGCCAGGTACAAGTTTGGCCCCCAAGTTGAAAACCAAGGGACCCAGCAACAACGATCCACCCGTCCAGGTTTTGTTCGGTTCGGAAGACTCTTTCTTACGGTCGAAACCGAAACCTGAATCCGGGGGTTCGGGCACTCGAAGCCTTTGCAGACCTGAGGGCAGGAGGGGGTCAGAATGACGCCCATTTGGGTGTCGACATGGCGGACTCCCCAAAATGAGCGGTTTCAGAAGTACCCTCCAAAAAAGGCAGACCCGTTTCTGGAACCGGTGCCAGTGTGCAATGCCCAGAGATACACCCAAGTAGCAAAAGGTCCTGAGTTTCCAAATGGTTTGCTTTGTGGAGGGAGAGAAGCTAGCTGCGGCCACTGACGACCTTTTACATAATAATCATATACTATGCTAAGCCCCCACAGACTCAGTTCCGCAGCCAGCTGGAAACCCGGGGGCACATCAGCATTCTCCAGCAACGCTTGGTTTCCATCCCCAGGACACCAATGACCACAAAGAAGGCAACTTGTGAGAAGCTCTGGACGTCGACTTTTTGGCCTGACCAGTTTGGTACCTGCCAAGCGTCTCATGGTGAAACAAGGACTGACCCCGTTGTTGAATGTGAAAGGAAACCCTACCCCTCAGAACAGAAACCCACCAGGAACAGAGTGTGTTCCTCGGGCAAAGGGTGAGGGACCCTGCCACAAGCCGAACCTGATGGACAGGCGTCCTTTCTCAGTATCCTGTCCTTCCTGCCCAAAGACATTGCCCAAAGGCATTCCCCAGTTGATGCTAGCCTCCCCAAACACGAAGACATAAGCCCCTTTCATGTTCCGTGTGTTTGGGGTAGCGTAACATCACCTCTGCCTCTGACTAAGTCAGTTCACCATCCAGTCAGTTCACCTGATCTCACGGCGCGCCTGCGGCATCAAGCAAAGGTTCGTCATGGTGACCTCGCCGTTGGTAAAGGACTTGTCATCCCCTGGGCACGGTTTCGCAGTTCGCAAGGCAGCAATCAAGAGGACGTACAAATATCGCGTTGTTCAGGTCTGCGAATGATGGTAATTAAGTGCGGACTGCATAAGGTTTTTGGTCTGCAAACAAAGGAACCCAGGAACCCCCAAAATGGGACAAGTGATCCACTTGCGGCATTTTGGACGCTTTAGGGGTACTAGCCAACTCTCGGAGGGCCTTCTGAACACATGATTGGTCTGACTACTATTTGTTTGGAGGTCGGAAACACGTTGAAAGGCAGTGGTTACGTTGAAAAAGGAACAGGGTTGGAAATGACGTAACGTATACAACATCCTGCTGCAATTCTCATAGCGGGCTACGGCTAAGAATCACTACAACTTTAGGCGCTCTACAGCACAAAGCACAACTGACGAAACCACTCTGGGTGAGGGTGCCTGTGGCAACTTTGCTCGGGGTTTACCAGCACTGGTGCCCATCCTAGATTCACACGCGTTGACTGTTGCTGGAGTTGTTGGTATCCTCATGATGGTGCCAGTTGCAACTATTATCACACCTCAATTGCTGATGCCGGATTGATGAAGCGGGGCCCGAAAGAGAAGCATTCCAACCCCCCCCCCGCCTATTCGTTTGTCTGTCAACCGGCATGTTTTGGGGGAAACACCCCTATGAACTCAACTGATTGAGCATTTGCTGCTTCTGACTTCATTTTGTCGATATTTCAAGGTGAAGGGACCCCCAACATGAAACGTGAGGGGATCGAAATGGAACTCCCCCAACTGTGCAACCTCTTGCGTCTTGACCCATCCCGTGGGCCCCGGGCGGTACTGGAACTCCGCGTGCTGTGCCGAGGTGAGCACCGGGCCCTAGCCGATCCGTACTCTGATGATTTTTGTTTATAATTCTGTGGATGGACAAAATCCATTTCGCACCACCCAAGGGAATGATTCGATTCCCCTGCAAATACCGAGAAACGTTATGGTTTCAACCATGGTTTCAAAGTGGCGCGGATTTTTGTCCATCCACCGTAGGGGAAGCCCAAAAGAGTGGTTTTGTGTTGGCTTCCCAATCAACCACGGAAAGGCTACCCTCAAAAAACACACGCCCAAATGGCCAAGGACGCGCATAAGCTTCTGTCGCAATCCGTCTTTTCAGAAATTCCGCACAAAACTCGGGGGATCTTACAAGCTTTTCAAAAGAAAACTGGCTCAAAAGAAGGGCGTCTGAGCATTGGGAAACTGCCCACCCAAACTGGCTTCCACTTACAACCAAAGAGGATTTGCCCAGAAAGCAAACCCGCAATTAAACATGGAGCTGCCCGAGTGTCCAAAATTGCAAACATCTTTGTGGAGGGTCGTTTGAGGGAAGCCAGAATGAAACCCTCGATTTTTGGTGTCAGCCATTTTGGGACACACCCTGTCAAAGCTAGGGACCCCTCCAAATGGTGTGTTTCAGAATGGTTTCCTCTCAAAAAGCCTGCTTAGTGTTGACGCATAGGCATGTAGATGATACTTGTACGTACAAGTATGGAAGATCAAAAGTAATTACTCAGCATGGACCCATTGGCAAACATATACACCTCAAGAGAAAGCAACAAACCTGCCACCAAAATTCCGGTTCGGTGAAAGTCCAAAACGGCCCGTCGAACGCAGGGCCAAGCCCGACCGAGCCGGCCGAGTCCGACGGTTCGGGGGTTCCGGGCCATGGCGGAGAGCGTGCAGTCCACACAGCCGGCGGGCACCAGGATGTTCAGGAAGCCTCCGGAGAAAGCAGGCGGAGATCTCCGGACCAATCAGCTGGCCGAATTTTCTGGCGCTGAGTGGCCCTGGCCCATGGTTTGACATCATCAGCCCCCCAAAAATGGACCTCAACATCTTTGTTACCAAGCAAGCAAGCCAGCTAGCAAGCAACCAACCAACTAACCAACTAACCAACTAACCAACCAACAGAGCCATAGTAAAAAACAACAGCCCTAGGAAAACATCTCCGTGGAAGCCAAAACCTGCCACAAAGAGGATGGGCTTAGCTGAGTATCCGGGAAACCAAACAAATATGGGGATCCGTTGTAGATGGGTTTGCTATTGGCTGTATGGTCAGTGCGCCAGTGCTTCCGGGCAAGCACAACAAACCGTTTAGTCATATATGAGTCCAAGTAGAGTTGCCCTCTTCTACCTGGACCTATTCAGCCTCCAATAACAGGAGGGGACCTGGCCGGAAATCCTGGATTTCAGGCCAGGTTTACATGATGGCTTCCCCTTGATAATTGGAAGCACTGGGAAATGCGCGGAAGTGATGGACAGTTCTTGGTAGTTTCCATTCCAGCATGGCTCTATACTTTCCCCTGTGCACCTCAAACAGCTTGAAGCGGAAAAACATGTCAGGGACCCCATAAGTTTCCCGAAAGACGCGGGCCGCATTTCCTACTGGTTGGGTGGGGTCTTCGGGGCTTGCAGGACCTCTGGATACTTGCAGGACCCCTGCAAACATCCCAGTTATCTCAAGCCTACGGATCGCTCCGGGTCATGTTCCCTTCAAAATGCCAATGTGGATTCCACGAGGGGGATACCAAGAGCTCAAAAAAGAAAAGGGTAAGTTGCTTGCTGCCGGATGAATGAGCTTGCCTGTTTGGGATCTCAGCGGCCAATGAAAGTAATTAGGGTGGGGGGAGTTGAGGCACTATCAAGCAACTGTCTGTGTCTGAACATAGGGAAATAATGTCTGCACTATCTGGCCCCTGATTTTGGGAAAAATGCTTGGAACATGTTTGACGGGCAGTTCGCTCTGACTGGATGGTAGATATGGCTGTGGGTCACAAATGCGTACCCAAAATGGAACTCTGATAAATGGAACCAAAGACTAAAACCAGCGGTCCCCTGGTGGAATATGGTGGCACCACACCTCTCCCATCCAAAACACCACGATGACCTCAGGTCCGCTACAGCTTGACCCAGTTGCCAACAACATCTTCCAACCCGGCAAGTTCAGTGGGCCGCGGCATATCCACCTAACATCTCACTCAAAAACCATGTCTTGTTCGGCCCAAGAACAAGCGCGGGTTGGCTTACAACAGGACCCCCCCTCTCAACCAAAAAGAAAGAAAGAAAGAAGAAGCAGGTTTTCCGTTGAGTCCCCTAAGAACCTGAAACAGGCTTACCCTCGAACCGCAACATGCCCAAAAACCACGCCCTTTGGCTTCACCACAAACATTGCGATGAGTTTTCTGAGCAAGGGGCTCGCGCATAGAACACATAGTATCTTCCCTCGTACCCCGGCCCTTTCCCGATCTGCCGAAAGCGCCCATCTCCCGCCTTTGTTTTCCCCCGCTTGGAAGCCGAAGGTGCGGGGCTCGGCCCCGTTGTTGGTGAAAGTGCCCTGCGGTAAAACCACCCTAGAGGTCAACAAGGTCCCCATCTTGTGTCTCAAAGGAGCTGCGAATTTCGAGCCCCAAGCAAAGGGCCTTGATCATGGTGAGCTCAGAATTATACCCCCACGTGAGCTCGCTAAATAGGCAGACATGATGCCTTTTGACCCCTAAGCCTTGAATGTGCCTTTATATTGGCCACCAGGGTCGTCTTCTCAAAGCCCGCGAGTTAAGCCCATGCCCAGACCCATGGCCTGACGTGATGGTTTCTGAATATGCGTAAGCAAGCACAGGAGCGAATGCTCGCGACTGAAGTTGCTATGCAAAATAGGTGAGAACAGAAAATCAAACTCAACCCTATAAGCATGGAACGCGCCCCTTGGCCTGGGCGGGAAGGGGGCTCTGCAATCCCAACACGTGACATACCGAGCTGTCGGGTTGGCAACAAAACTTCTGGACTTTGGGCAAGTTGGATTGGTCAAGTCTCCCTCACACAAGCATGATGTGCACCCCATCAGCTTCCATCATTGGAGGGATGCGCAATGTGTGCTTGTACCAATCTTTGAAAAGCCAAAATACTGTAGCACACCAAACAATGCAGAATGGTATGCCGCCAGTCAGGATGCAATGCCCATGAGGGTGTCCATCGTTGATCCACCCATCCTAAATCCCCAGCAGTCAACCGTGGCGCAGTTCGCCGGGATGAATACTCGATATGGTGTTGTCGCCAAATGCGATTTGAACCCAACAAAGCGGCCTGGTCCCTGTGGTTTCTGTCTGAAACAACCATACCAGTTATTGCCTTCTCAAAAAAAAAAACAAGCCAGAGCAAATTGTGGAGCGAACAAAGGTATCTGTACATATCGCCAGAACTCATACCACTTTGAGGTGAATGACAACTGACTGATTGCGCCACGTGTGCTGCATAGCAACCTTACAATGGTTGTCCAAAGTCCCTGCCAAGGGGTGGAATCTCTAGAGCCCTCGCAAGCCAGTGGTTTTAACCACAGGATAGGTTTGAATCCGCGGACTTCGCTAAAAGCTGGGACCCCTTCTTGCTATCGAGTGAAGTCCGCTCAGGAGGGACCAATGTCCAAAGCTCCAGGCCCGCCTGAAGATTTTTTTGCTGCAACTCCAGTCCCTTTTCTCTCGCGCTTTGATGTTTACAGGAAAACCCAACATAAGGAGCCTGGACCGTTTTAAGGAGACCTTGGCGTTCGAGTTTGTCTCTGAAAAATATGGAAATCCACTGATACTCAGTAACTCGATGTCTGGGTGCCTTCCCCTAATTTGTTTCCCTCCGGAAAAAGGGGCACCTGCTTTTTCTGGTATAATTGATCGTAAGGTGGACGTGCAGAAACCTGTAGGGGGGTTGAAAAGCTTCCCTTCAAACACCTACAATTCAGTAGCTCAAGCTATTGGAAACCAAGTGGCAGTTTTGTCTTTGGCTTCCCTCACGCCAATACAACTCAACTGACCACTTGTTACCCACCTGGCTGTGGGTCAACAATAGGGTCACCCCAAACTGGAACCCTACTAAATGGAAGCATAGACTAAATTTAAAACCTGCGGTCCCCTGGTGGTTGAATTTTCACCCATACCCACCCGTTCCATTCCACACACGGCGATGTTGGTTTCGGCCTTCAGCAGCCATGGCTCCCCGATCTTCCATCGCTCCTCCTTGCCCAAGGCCTCACGAAGTAGACTTGTGGGGGAAGTCAGAACATGTTTCCAACTTTTGGTTGGTGTTAAACCCTTGCCACTTTGGGCCGGTTCTTATTTTGGACAAACACCCATGTTCGATTTTTGGGGGTCCCCCGTTTCAAATCACCCAAATGTTTCAAGGGAAATCAAAAAGAAACCGTTGCCATTGCAGGGGGCCGGTTCCTATTTTGAGAAACACCCGTGTTCGATTTGCGGGGTCCCCTGTTTTAACGCGCACCCAAATGGGCCCGTCGGCTTTGCCCCCAACCAAACCTTGTCTGATGTTCATTCTGGTCCATGTTTAGTAAACCCGATCCGGGTTGGGAGGGCACTTCATCAGTTCCCAGACACTTAAGTAAACCTCCAAGTGCAAAAGGCTCCTTCCCCGCCCCCCCCAGAAAGAACACGCAACAACCAAAACGCAGGCCCCTCCCCCCCTCCCGGATCCACCCCCCCACCCCATGTTGAGTCCCACACCTCGCGGAGCTTCTCCACATCCCACACGGCGTCCAACTTGTTCTGGCGAGACGAAAACGTGCTCGGTCGCGCCACACACACGTCGCGTCGGTCACGCCCGTTGCTGGCGTCCAGGGCCAAAACCAACCAACCGATGTTTTTTTTCTTTTTCTTTTTTTGTTGCGGTGCGATGTATAGGTTGGGGGAATGAGGGAATGAGAATACGGGAACGGATGAGTTTTGGTGATTCCCGAAGAAAGGAAACACCACCAGTTGATTTTAAAAAAACAACAAACATATTCCATTTCTCATTCCCTGCTGAGCACCAGCAAGTTTTTCCACCAGAGCAAGGGCCAAACGCCTCTGAGACCCGTGGGTTGAAACTGGGGGGGGCAACCTATTTGTCAAGAATCAATAATTACCTTGTTCCAAAAACCACAAAACTCCTTCATTGAGAACTGCACATGAACCGTTTTGTATGACAAGGAGACGCATCCTTGCACCTGCTCATGAGCGAAATCGCATGCACATGCCTGGGGCTGTCATCAGCTGTTTAAGACGATCATTCCGAGTTTCTCCATAGATTGAGCGTGTGGCTCATTTATGAGTTTTGTTCGAAACCAGGCCAAGCAGATCTTGACTCTAAGAAAAGCCCCAGTCCCGCTCAAGCTACAAATTCCGAAACTCGGCCACTTAGTTTGGTTCATCCCCGTCCGGTATACCTCTGTGGAATGTCGCTTTGCTCTAACATGCAGCTCAGGGTGTAGTGAGCTGCACACAGATGTTGGAGTCAAAAGCGAAGCTCGAAGCGCTCTCCGGGTTTGTTGAGTCGAACCAATGATCACCATGATCACCGTACCCGGGGGACATTAATGTGAGAGTGCCTTGCACTTGTTTTCAACCAAGGCTGAGGGGCGCAGGAAAATCACCCAACTTGAAAGGTTTCAAAAGTATGCCTCCCAAGGAAGAAATCCCAGGGATGACATTTGCAGCAAACCTGGCGCCTGGCAACATTGACACCAGGAATCTCAAACATGCCTTGCGGAAAGGAGTTGGACCCTCTTTCCATTCTCTGAAGTGGACAAACCGTCTCATTCAGACGACAAAAGGGCTGCCTCTCGAGTGCCCACGAAACATGACAGCAGGTTGCCCGTAGGTCCACTCCCAAGTGGAGCAAGCTGACAACAGGTTCTCTCAACAACGCCCAAAGGCAGGGGTCCATTGTCAAGGACTTTAACCCAAGGGGTTGGCTTCACGTGGAACTGGGCAACAATGGCTTTCCTGGGGATTGAGACAGAACCGCGGGCGTGGCGCACTTGGGTCTCCCTCCCGCCTTGCCAACCACAGTGTAGCTGGTGTCCAAAGTGGAGGGGAACTTGTTCTCGGCCCCATCAGGGCACGGATTCTCAGCCGACCTTGGATTGAAAATATAAACATCAACCATCCATATCCTTCTGTGAATGCGAAACTTGTTCTATCCCAAAACCTTGCGACTCTGCATGGACACTCCCACTGAATTGGCATAACATCTACTATGAGACTGCCTTCTGATCACCAGTCATGTGCGCCGTGCCTCAGCAGTGACCTGCTTGTAACCAGGTTCAATTTTAATCACACTCCAATGTGAAAGCCAGCGTAGAAGAACAAAACACATGTCCCAAAGGAACGGCATCACCCTCAGTCAAATTGCAGTGCGTGTTGGAATTGTCTGATCCTAAGCCGAGGTGAATACGCTACTGAACAAGTGGCTTGAGCCCTTGCACAACCAATAATTCTAGAAAATGCCACCTGTTCCCCGCAAGCAGCCTCTGTATCCCACACTAAGACTAATAAGCCCATGCCCATATCCTACGTCCGCATGAATCATACACAATCTGAATAATATTGAAAAAAAACTAATCCGATACCTTCCCGCACCACGAAGATATCGACCGTTCTTCGAGAGGAAATCAGGGCTTGCTCAAAAGACGAGACCCCCCACAAGGTGGTTTTCCTTTGTTTTCCCTTTGAACCACCCGAACAAGGGTTCCCTCAACAAAACACACACGTACACCCATGGATCCATCCAGTGTCTTAGTGACAGCCAAGTGGCGACTTGAGAGCGGAAGTGGCATCTAGCCTCACGCTTCGCAGATGACTAGCTCTGGATCCAAACAAGCTTTGTCGGAGTCGATGTGTTGGGACATCTCAAGGGCCCTCTGGTTGGAACGTGAGACTCCTTCCGAGATACACCATCCATCAAGCTGATGATTGTCTCCCCAGATTGGAATAGAAATTCCAATATCGCAAAATATCATGAGATACATTTAATGACCCAGAGCTCAGTGATGAACAAGAAAGTCCAAAAGGCACCATCACAGTGGCCTTCTTGGTTTTCACGCTCGCAGGTTCTTCCTGTCATTCAATGGGAAATGCCTCTCCTCGGGCCTCAAGAGGAGGGCCACGAGAATCGCCCAAGCTACTCCCCTGCAGATTGACATGGAACCCAAGAACATGTGTGCAGGGGAATGTCCTTTTGCGGGAACTCCTCTTTGGGCTCCAGGGCAATCTGCAGGATGAGGTCTTGGTTTTCCTTGAGGGAATCCCTTAGCCTTTCGAGTTTTCAGTGGCACATAGGCGGGGAAGGCTCCTTCGAGACAGATCCCACAGATCCCAGGATCTGTCCATTCTCAAAACCCACAGCCCAACAATGTCAAGAAGGAGCCCACTCACAGCTTCTGACTTTGAGTATGGAAACAGTTCACGTGGGCCAACAAGTGGAACAGAAGAAGGAGGATACGAATATGACAATCATGACAACAACAAGCGTCAGCTGCTTTCGCAATGAAACTCCAACGATCATCAAGAATAGACCATCCGCTCCGCAATGATCTGCCCACAAACTATAAACCTGAAACACATGCAAAAAAACACATTTGGGGAGCCCAGGCACAAAAAGGCACACTACACAATGCACAGTCTCAGAAAGCCTGTGCCAACGTAACAAAAGCCCTGATCACAAGAAATCTAGGGTACAGGTTCGCGTCTTTAGGAGGAACTTAAGCTTGGTCATGGTTCAACCCAGGGATGTCCCTTATCATGTTAACATGTCACCAAAACGGCGAACGTGTAGGTGTCCGCCGTTGACCGCCTCACCAGACTTTCGCCACCTGCCCGAACCAAAAACAAGTTGCCTCAGCACGCCCCGGCTGCGTAGGGCGCGCGCCTGTGCGATCTGAGGCGAGACGAGTTGCAGCTCCGGACCAATCTGCTTTGAAGTGAGTTGGGAACGCGTGAAAGCCAGAAATCGACCCCTCCGCCCGATTGGCTTTCCTTCAATCCCGAGGGTTGATGCAAGGGCCCGATCGATGGAAGTTGGGGCTTCAAAGCAGGATACGGATGGCTGCCCACGCTCCATCAAGCTTGCGAGTTGTGACATCACCCTATGGATAAGTGGCTCCTTCTCTCCGCAAAATGCGTGCAGGTCAGCCATCGCGATTCCGGACAGACTCACCATACTGGCGTCCTGGCTACCTCCTGCAAGGCTATTTTGAAAAGCTGCTGTAAACAAGCGCTCGGAATCTTCGAACAATCATGCAAAGGCAACAGAAACACGTGGGGTAGTTCAGACCCTCATGCAGCTTCCGAGGTCCGAACAAACCAAGTATTGCGCCACTTCAAGTTTGGCGATGGCTGAGACTCTGGTGACTCTAGTGCGAGAGCTGTGATGAGAGAACGCTAGCGCGGGGCTGTCTAAGTACCCTCGACCATCGCGGGCTTTGTGACGCCTGCTCCGACACCAGATTGCCAAGAGGATCTACCTTGACACTGGCGTTGTTTTGTGATGCTCAAAGCTTTTTCTTTTTCACGTGACCTGCGCGTGCGCAACCCAAAACAGCAGCGAATCCTCCAACGCTTTGCGAGTCTGGGAGTTCTGTCCCAAGGCTGCAACATCTTCCCCCGCGTTTCCGCCCGGGCTATCTGCATGGTGTGACCACGGCTTGCGCGCCTTCTCTGCCAGGACGTCTGGGGCCGTAGTGGCGAGGAGGGCAACCACGAAAGACTTCCTCAGCTCAGGTCATGCAAACGCTGCCCAGCCAGGCCGACGTCCCAAGGAATCTTTATACGTTACCAAAGGCAATGACGTTGCGGGTTCAATAAGCGAAAATGTCCCTTCCCATCGTTTTCCTGGATGGGACTAAGTGTGTGTGTGTGTGGTGTTTGTGTGTGTGCCTGTGCGTGCGTGCGTGCGTGCGTGTGTGTGTGTGTGTGTTGCTGGGGAAGCCCACCTGTCCACAAGCTCTCTTTAGACTGAGGGTGCCGACCGTATGGGCTTGCCTTTTTCGCGTGCCCTTTCAGAAGGGGAAAGAAGGACCCCATTTCGGCTGCCGTTCAAGGGGTCCAAATAGTGCCCTGTGCGCTGGCTTGTGGAGAGAAGCAAGGCTTGCTTGAAATTCTGGCACACACGCGCTCCTGACGCAAATGTCCCGTACATCCGGGAACACATCGCATCCCCAAAGAATGAATGCACGCGCGAATCCCGAATCCCCACAACGTCAAAAAGGAGATGTCAGCTGAATACAAAACAAAGACCAGAGCCCGACGGGGGCCACTTGCAGCCATGCAGCATTGTTGGCTGAAAGAACGATCTCTGCTGCCTGCACGGGATTGCAACTTGGTCCGAGCCATGCTGAGGCATGAGGCGATTCGGACAAGCAATCCTAGCAGCGTCAGCAGCGGAAACAGCAACAGTTGCCAACAGCAGAGTAGAAACAAAACCAACAGCAGTAGCTTCAGCTGCAAAAGACAATGCTGCAGCAGCAGCCGCACAAATGAGAGCTGATCATGCTCTCACGTCCTACGTGTGCGCAACATGCCTTGAAGAATTAAGTCTGGGACATAGACGACAGTTCCCCCCCACCACCAGAAAATGGCCGCCTATGTCATATAATTATCATATATCCAAGGAACCGCAACCCTCCTTTGTAACGTGGCATAATTTGCCCGCAACTCGGGTGTCAGCAGAACTGCCCGCGCCTACGGCGAACCAAGGCGTTCGATGTGCAGCCTAGGCTTGGGCCATCTCGGCGCAAGGACCCAAATAAGAAACGGCATCCAGCTGCCCTTCGGAAAAGCAAATGGCGCCAGTCAATGACTGGAACCCAACCGGAACCACTGCCATCTATTGCCAACCAAACTGACCTAAAAGGCCACCTACAGTTACGCAGCATCAGGCCAACAGCTGCGCATGCGATTTGGTCCGGTGTTGCTCATATTGACGCAATGCATATGCACGCCACAGTCTGCAAGCCCAAACCAATAAACATGGAAACCATGATGGTTCTTCTCATGTCTCAGTTACTCACTCCCCTGGCCCAATGGCCAGGTTGCTTTCACGCAACACGAAACCAATCAGTCGCATTTTTGTCCAACAACAAGTCGGACATATGTTTGCAAAACATGCAAGGAGCGTCCGGGGCCTTGAGAAGGCCAAACGAGCGAAACAAGATTGATCTGGATTCACGAGCCGGCGGTGAATCCCAAGTTGAGGACCTTCATCACGGGTCTCGTTTTGCCCCCAGAGCTCGTTCTCCCCAGATTGGGGACCCTCCCGGGCCTGCAGTGCAGGTAGTTGGCTTCCTTTATGATTTGAAGCCATCCAACAGGGAGCTAAGTATGACAGCAACATACTGCAACACCCCCCGGTTCGAGACATATGCGCAACACGCAAATTCACCGTGTCGGAATACATTGGGATGTTCAAGAAGTCTTAGCTTATATTTTAAGCCGACCTTCCCGTTCCTCAAAAACCCTAGCTACTTCGCCCAGCGTGACTGCCACGCGTTTGAGTGCTAAGGCCCGGGCGAGCAAGCGTCGTTCGCGAGGCACGGAAATGCCCTATGAGCCAAGAGATGTCCGGGCGGCGATTGGGGCTGCTTGCGCGTGTGACACGAGGAAACCGACTGGGACCGCACAGGGGCATCTAGGTTCACAAAGAGATGCGTGGTGTATTTCACTGCTGTGTGTGTGTGTGCTAAATTAGAATAAGCGAGGATGGGACTAACTTGCCAAGCGATTCTGGCTATCGGCAACCAGGGAAACAACGGTCACGTCTAGAGGTTAGACATCCTGCTTGCCTTCTGTACGGGCAGCTGGCAGCACTAAGTTGCCCCATCCTGAAAAACGTGCAAGCGAAGAAGCCCTCGCCAAATTAGTCAAGGGTTCAAAGATCAATGACTTTTGAGCGCTGATCAGCAGTGAACGCTGGCGGGTGAACACATGCACCTTGGCGAAGATGCGCCGAACAAACACCTGCGCAGACAATGTGTGCAAGTTAGTATTTGCTTCCAATTAACAAAAACAGCTTGCCAAGACGAATCACCCTCTTGAGTCTGTCTGTCTGTTGCCCTGGCCCGCTTTCAGCCAATACGCTGAAGGCACCAGTTCTAGCAAAATGACCCCGCCTTATCCACCTTGTACGCCAACCAAGAAACATGATTGAAATGCCCCTTGCCGACCTCCAAGCAATCCTAAATGCCAAAAGACACACAGTTTACATCAGCGGCCCCGAAATTGGTAATTCAGGTTTGGAGCTATTGCCGATACTTCTGACAACTCCCGCCGTAGTTTTGAGAAGTCAGGTAGCCAATCGACAGGTTCATCCCTACATGTTGTGTAAAAAGAAGAAGAAGAAAAAGAAGAACAACGCCTGGCAACTGCGCAAAGAGCAGCCCTTTCAAGGCCAGCCCCCTCCACCAAAAACAAGCAGCCACCACTGGAAAATCAAAATGCCCCGGTGAGTTTTCAGGGGCAGCAAGTTGCACAACAGATGCGCAACAGAACTTGCGTAGCAAATTGCACGAGCGAACTTGCACGACATAGCTTGCACGAAAAGTCTTGCACGAGAGAATGCAGACCTGAAAGTAATCTTTAGCTCTGAAGGCAGACCCGCTCCGCGAAAAACTCTCTCTCTCTCTCTCCCTGTCTCTCTGGCTCTATGGAGGTCTGGAATGGAGTGGAGAGTTGCTGCAGGCGATCCAGAAGTGCGGAACGAGGTCTGGGCTGGTGTTTAAATTTGAGCCACACCCGAGTGAGAAACCAGCAATGAAGAGAGAGAGCCCTCAAGGGCCCTCACCGCAAACAGCAGCAAAGGGCCTTACAATGTTGGACTAAGCGGGGGGCCCCGCAAAGTCAAAGAGCTCCTTGACAACTCCTGTTCATCAATCAGGGGTTCTTGCTGCTTATGCGGACCTCTTTTTTTTCCGAGCTCGGCCGCTGCGGCGTCTGGTGCAGGTGACAGCCATGCAAGGCATTGGACTGTCTGCCTGCCCATTGGTTGGCCAAGGCACCGCAACTTCCCTTTGGCGACGGTTTGGGAAACTGACGTGGCCGGATTTGATCACAAATGGCGCAATGAGGAAACGTGTCCATGCCTCTGGCATCAACTGTTTTGTTGTTTTGATTATGTCTGAATGGAACACAAAAACACGGAACACGGAAGTTGAAGTCAGCGACGATGGAGCCCCACATAATATCAAGGTAGTGAATTCCCAAAAGCTGATTGAGCCCGGAAAAGTTCAAAAGCCCCATCCCATGGTTTTCTCTGTGTGGGCACAATTTAATCGTCACATGTTACCAAAGGAGCAAACAAACACAAGGTGCCTTGGAGTTAAGTTCATCATGTGCTGTCTTGAGCGTACCAGTGTGCATTGAAGCGAAACCAAGAGAATCCGCCGTGGAAGGTTCCCCATGGGGGTGTACACCCTCTTAGGGTTCTTGGGTAGGGCTTGGGCCTGCAACAAGTTTGGACTCTCCTTGGCAGGTCCATCCGATGTCGCGAACTCATTTTCAGAAAGCAAGTCGCGTCTGGAAGCTGCCTGAGACCTGTCTGCACTCAGGTTGAAGCCATCGTGCCAATCCAGACCCTTCTGGGACCTGAGGCACAGCCCACTTGTGTATCTGTGTGCTTGTGACAGCTTGTGTTTGTATCTGTGTGCAGTGTGTGTTTTGGAGGGTAGCCTCTTCAGGTTGATTTCTCCAGGAAAACCGCACATAAAAACCACCTTCGGGTCCGCCCGAGGTTGAGGCATACCCATGCAAGCACATGGAGCACATGGAGCCCTTGACAAAATGGGGGCCTGTTTTGGACGCACGTTCCAAGGCCATCCCAATTTGCTGGGGCACATGTTTTTGTCATCCCCCTGAAGAGAAACATTGGTTCCTACCCTGGGCACCTCGGCTCGGGGATGGTTTTTCCCGCAAGGGCGGTCTCTCACTCCCGTCTGCTGGGTCGGAAAATCGCCGCTGGGCCACGGGCAGTCGTTGACAAAATGAGGATCGCTACCTGAGCTGAACTGGGTCTTCCAGATCACTGGCTTCGGGCAAGAAGGGCGGGCATGGCAGACGGGTGATCCGGGTGTCTGAATATTTTGGGCGCACTTGTAGGGCAAAGCGCGCAGGATGGAAAGGAAACAACTCGGAGATGAGTTGGTGACAAGGTTAACGAGACTCGGCAGAGCTGCATGTTTCTTCTGTCAAAAAAAACAAAACAAACAACTGGCATTTGGGTGCGCTTTTTTCCCCAACAGCTGAAAGCTTTGGGGTCTCAGCCCAGATAGGCTCTGGGGTGGTCCGGGGCGGCCCTGAGGTAAGGTTCCACGAGGGTTCCACGAGGGTTCCACCAGGGTTCCACGAGGGTTCCACGAGGTTCTGCGAGGGCTGCGGGGTGGTGCGAGCACTAAAAAGAGCACCGCATGCTGTTGGGGATATCGCCTGAGCTTATTTTTTCCCTGAGGGCATGCCGTTTTTCCATTTTCAGGTTAGTTTCAAGGAAAATCACCATGAAACCGACGATTTTCGGGATCCCCCTATTCCGACAAATACCCATAAACAAAGGAGCTCACATGCAGGTCCCACTTCACACAGATCGCAAGGCACATGCTGACCGACGCCAGATCAGTTGTTTTGCGTTCCATTTTGGATGCTTTGGGAAAGATCAAGGAAAGGACCGGGTCCCCGCGCGAGCTTCCCCTCTTTCAGCTTTCAGGGAAGGGTCTGGCTTCATTTTGACAAACATGATGGTAAGGCCTCAAATGGCCATGGGTCAAAACCTCGTACCCCCAGTGAACATCCCAATCCCTGTAGGCTAAAATGGGTGGCGCACCTATCCCAAAATGGGATCCCATTGGTTTTGAACCATGGCCAAATGAGTTCCACGGAACTGCGACTCCTTCCAAAACGACCCAGGGCCCCAGGCAGAAGATCCTCCGGATCCTCCGGGCGAGAGCCGCCCGGGGGCTTCGCCAGCCTCGGAACCTCGGAGTCAGTCCCTCGGAGACTTGGGGGGTGGGGTTGGTGAGAACCCAGAGGAAAAAACCACCCCAGGAATTTGGGGGGGAGGGTCCACCTGTTTTGGTGAGGAAAAGCGCGCAACCACTGAGGTGCTATTGGAAAAACTCATTCATTGGGGGGTCCACCTATTTGCGGTCAAACAACGGTACCAAGTGAGTTTCTTTGAGGACCCCCCTGGTCGAGCTTCAATGCGGGCTGCAGGAATACGGGTGATTTGGTTTTGGGGTGGGTAAAGAACCTACTTTGGGTTGATGGTCAAGGCAGGTGGGTATTTGTTGATTCCGTGACCAGGAATCAAAGGGCAATTTTAAAGGGACCTGAAGAAGGGCTTGGTGCTGATTGGTTTCTAGTGGGTCCCGAACCCCAAAAACGAACAGGTAGAATCAAAAGGGAACGGCTTGAACACATCAGATCCAGTTGGAGGACGCGCCTGCGTTTTGGCCCAGAAGTAATCATACAAGAACAACATGTTCAGATTCTGGTCCGCATGGGTGTCTGTTGAGGGCATCCCTTTGTTCTGGTAAACCAAAAGGCAAACCACCATTGTGGGCGTTCCCCCTCCCCAAAAGAAAAGAAACAAACAAACCCACACTTGGTCTATCCTGAACTTCTATTTGTTTCAGCCCCCTGGAAAATAACAACAGCATACTTTTGCAGTAGTGACATCGATTCCCTCGTAAAACCACAAAGGGAAAATCAGCACCAGATTCATTTCAGCAAATGGTCAGTGAAAACATTCGCAGGCAAAAACTTGATTATTTAAAACACATGGTTTATGCTACAAAAAAAGACACAATCAACGAGACCCCCAAACGGTGACCTCCGGAGACCTGAGCCCAGAGACCGGCCAACCGATCACCGTGACCGGGTGTCCCGGGCCGCCTCAGAGGCGGTGTCCAATGCTGACCTTCGCCCCTGGCGACCAAGCGCGGGGAACAGCTCCAAACAGCCTTGGTCTTTCAAGAGCCTGCAAAAACAGGGTCCTTCTTGATTTTGCTCTTGGTTGAAAAGGAAATCAGCCGAGGGCAACTGCTTTTTCAGGGTCCTGGAAGATCAAGGTGGGTCTGTGGCTCAAATAAATGTCCCAAAAAGGCCCCCTTGGTAAATGGGACCACACCCAGATCTTTGTAACACAGGTTCTATTAAAGTTCATAAGTAAACAATAGCTAGTAATACACGGAGCACTGGTTTTGTTAAAGTAACGGATTTGTTTATAAGCACAAACGTATTCCTGATACTACCTTTACAGTACAGGTTTTGTTTATAAGCATAAACTTATACACGTAGCTAGTATAATAGATTACTTTATGTCCAAACAACCTATCCTTGAAACACATGCCCGGTCCATACGTAAAACAAGTTCAAGCCAAGTGCACCATTGAGATTTGGTATACCCTGAAAGCACGTTCCCTCTACGGCGTATAAACATACAAACATATATATATATATATATATATACATACCTGGGCCCTCGTAGGTATGCCTTTTTTGTGCTGTTTGGGCCAAAGGCTCCTTTTGGTGCAAACGACACATGTTTTTGCCTCAGCGCATTTTTGCATATTTTGCTGTTTTGCGAAACCAGGATGAAGACGAAAAGGCGACATTCCCCGACCCAAAGGCGACATTCCCCGACCAAAAAGCGACATTTGCCGACCACGTGTTGGCAAGATTTTGAAGCAGCACTTTTAAAAGAAAAAGGCTCTTTTTGGAGCAAACGACACAATATATAGCTTTTTCAGCAAACGGCAGAAAAAATGCACACCTGGAGGGTCTAGGTATAATTATATACACCTGCATCTTGCTCTTGCCGAGTTCAGTTGGTTTGATTGAGCATACAGCTTGCGGACTACGCACCATTCACCCCATGGCAACCAGCTCTGCGGACTCCAACATGCACGGGGAATCCAGCCTCAAGGTACCTTACTTACATCCGGCATGTGATTTGAAACCACCCAGTTGGAACCATAAACGTCTTCTGTCTCATGGTATGTGTACGCATGAAAAACACAATACCAGTGCCCCTGTTGAACGACAAACAAGGAATGCCAAAGCTTCACGAGAGAACCATGAGCGTTAGATCCCCAAGGGCTCTCGTGCTTGACCCTTGCTCCCACCTGATGGCTGGTCATGTTGGTTTCCTTGCCCAGTGGAAAATGGGCACAAAAGCTTTGATAATTTCTTCAGGGGTCCCCCCCCCCCCCCGCCCCGCCCTCTGCGCGGCACGAATTACTGGCCGGGATCCCCCCTTAAGACAACAAGATTGGTTGGCCATTGAACAAGCGATCCAACACGACCGCGCTTCGTCTCTATCTTTCCGATCACGGTCATCGCGATCCCGGTCTCTGTCTCGATCCCGGTCTCGGTCCCTGGCTGACAAGCAACATACACCAAGGTGAAAGCAAGATGGCACAATTCCCATGCGGGCACGTGAAGAAAAAGCCACATAACCACACAAATAAGCAGCTGACACTATGCAGCCAGCAAACAGCACTCGTCACGGTGAAAAGGGCTTGTGACAAACGTTGATGAAGCGATGCGAGTGTGAGTGTCCGATCGTCCTGGGCTCAGATTCTCACACCAGGAGCAGCAAGCCATTTTGCCCTATCAGCGACAAACCATATTGCTTGTGTCTCGGGTCGGGTGTCCAGAGTTTTGCAGATTCGATTTGGGGTATTGCATTTTTATGTTCCCCATCGTTTTCTGGTGGTAATGCTGCATTTGTCCATTCATACTTATGTTCCTGACTGGACCCCACGGCGAAAACCACCTCTCATTGCGCTGGGAAACAGATCTCGGGCCGCCTACAACTGCATATCACAGGGAAACATGTCCGCAATTCTTGGGAAACTGCTTTTTCAGTTTGGGAAATCTGCCTATCGTTTTGGGGGAAACAACTTTTTGCAAGGTCAAGCTGCTCAACTGAGTTGTCCATTGGCGTCTTTCTTTGCCAATCAACCGGCGTTTGTTGCCAATCAAACGGCTTTGTTTGCCGTTCACACAAGTGCCTGAATCTTCACGAATTGTTCCAACGCCACTTTTGGGGACCAAACGCGGCCTTTTGCAGCGGAGGCGAAAATTAGTGCAATTTCAATCAGCGACGGAGATTCAACGCCGCTGGGCTTTCCAGGTCTGTCTCCTTTTGCTTGGTGTGGACATGACGGGAGTGTCCTTTTGTGCTGATGACGTTAACATGATGTGCTTTTTCGGGAGGCCTGGGCCATTCCCTTGGGAAGCTCAGAACTTTGGCCCTGGATAGCAAGCAGACTTGGCTTATCTCCCTAGGCACATGCAGCTCCAACGGCATGCATGTTTCACATGTGTGTGGGATTTCGAGAGGCTGGAGCTCATCATGAATCCCGAGCACAACGATGACGAGGTGCTCGCAATCGGGAATGAGTCCAAAACTTTCATGACGCAGACGTCAAGCCCCAGATACACGTGAGCGGAACACGCACAATTGGAAATCTGCAAGGCGAGGTTTCCGAATAACACAGAAGACGAAAACATGCGAAAACAGTCCAAGCAAGGTTTGCCCATCAAGGGTTGGTAAGGGGCCCAAACTAAGAATAGACTACCGACAAATACGTCGACTCATAGCCAGGAATTCCCACCCCTCAACTTTGACAACCCCTTTGAAAAGCACAACGATCGACTTAGTGCCGCTGGAAAACGGGGATCGATCAAGCTGTGAAAGGGTTCAGGATCAAAGCAAAGACCACCCAACGAATCATGGAGTTCAGGGTCCATTCCACCACTGCCAAAGTGACTGACAGAGCAACAAACACCAGCTCAAGAAAGTTCTCATGCGGACCAAAAGCAATGCTACACAAATCATAGAATAATTGGTTCTGGTCTGTTGCGGGAGTTCACCTGGACCTGGAAATGGCACATGAGTTGTGAAAGGCAACGGCTTCAAGTCAGCAAAGCTTCGCTGGCCTCTCTCGATCGTTGTAACTCATCAGCTGAGGTGCATCAAAGTCATCCTGCGATTCGCACCAGCGGTTTAACCCAGAGCGCAACGTCTATCATACATATGCCGCACATTCGCCATGAGTACCACATTACGACGTCCTTGCCACATGAAATGTTTAAATTTGACCCTGCAAGTCTTCGCCAGTATTTCACTGTGCAACGTCAAGGGTCTCCAGGGTATCTTGGCAACATCTGCAGATCGCAAATGCCGCGTTGCCGACCCTGACACATCTACAGTAATTACTCCTCAGACATGAGCTACAGTGTAGCGCTAAGCTGCTGAGTTTTTGTCCATGTCCAAAGCGAGATTGGAACATATCATGGAATTTCATACATTGCAGAAAACACCCATTGGGTGTAGAACACATGCATGCACTCACGCAGTGATCCAGCACAAATGTTGTATTAGACCTTCCTGTGGGCAGCAAGCGATACACAACACAAACCAGCGAGCTAGGCACTGTCTCTGAACACTTGAGGCGCCATTAACGTTAGCTCTCGTCCTGATGCACCAACCATTCAACCCATTTTGTTGAAGACTCTGACTGCTACAGAGCTTGCCAAGGCCATTTCGATCATCCAATTCAAACGACATTGCATTGCAGAATCCAGCTTGCGCCGACCGACTGGTCTCTGTTGCAAATGCCGCTGCTTCCGACATGTTTCGTCTCACATTCTACACAAACAGCTTCCGCATTGTTTTTCAACGCAAGCCGCCTTGTTCGCACAACCAACGCACAACCCATTGACCTTCGGGGCCTGGTGTTTGGAATGAAGTGTCAAACACCTCTGCATACTTTTCCATAGCCCGACGGAAAACCACGGAACGTTTGGGAAATGGATGGCTGCGTCGAGGGGCCCGCAATTCGGTCGACCCGAAGCTCCTGGTCACCCTCAATAAAGTCCGCATCGAAGCGGGTGCCCACGCTGTCCAGTGCTGAGCAAAGCGAGAAGCTGGGCGAGTCGCTTTTTTGAATTGGACCGTTTTGGGGCGCTTTTTTTTTTGGGAACTCATATTCAAAGCTCCATATAACACATGAAGTTATCAAACTATGACCCTATTCTACTAAACGTCCTTTGACGTGAAATCATGTTTGGACCGGCCAATACCGGCCAGTATAATACGATTCCATCGTGATTGAAGTCTACTCAACATTCTTTCAGTATGTATTAATAGATATATATATATATACGCATACATTCAATGCACATACTCATCTGGCTAAGTTCGAATCTCCAGGCAACCACACCCTGCACAATCGGAGTGTTTCCAAACGGCCCACATGATACGAGTGCTTGCTTTTCGAAGTAGAGGCTAAATTTGCGAAGTGGGTGTATATCTTTGGCAAAAACTGACAGAAGTCATGGCAACTAATTGGGCAGCGTAATTGGGATAATTATCTTGTTGGTGCTCATCAGAGAATATAAACCATCACTTGTGATTTCCTTTGAGGAAATCCCCAGGTTCATTCCCTCATTCCCTGCCTATCACACCAGCAAGTTGTTTGAGACATGTGTTTGCGAGCCAAGGCATGGGCAATGAGTTGCGTTGACCAGATTCCGTGTGGTGGCTGCTTCATAAAGGGGAATAGTTTAATCATAATGTCAATTTTGGATTATAATCTAAAAATGAACTCATTGTCCAAAAGGAATTCGAGTAGATTTGATTGCCATTTGAGTGGACTTAACCAACGATAAACATCCTGAATGGAGATGATGTAAACTGGCAAATGGGACAAAACACAAACAGGAATTATAATGCACTTTGGATTTGCAGATGGGACAAAACACAAGCAGAAATTAAGTGCAATGAGGCAAATGGGGCATCTTTCAAGAAACATGTACGTTACTTGGGATCTGCAGATGGCACAGAACACAAGCAGGAATAGTATGCAAGAGGTAGATCATGTGGGGGGCTCAGAATATATTATTATAATATAATTATAATATATGCAAAACATCACACATACATAATATGCATACCCCAATGCTTTCCAGGTAGCGATACAGCACATAAGCAGGGGAAGCTATCACGTGGCAACCTGGTAAGAACAACCTGGTTCCCTACAGTTCTTCGTGGCTTACGTGGAAGCACTGGGTCCCACAAACCAACGGCCAAATTGATCTCCAGACTCGGACGCCCCCAACTCTCGGGACGAAGTGCGGCATGCCAAGAGGAAACCTCAGATCTTCCCACAACCACATGGCCGTTTGTCAAGAATAGGTACCCAAAATGGCTTGCCCTGGTGAATGGAAACCTGGACAAGCAATTCCTGGCGGATCAATTTTGACCATGTTTCGTAGCCACATCCAGTTCAGTTAAGTGGAGGTGGCCAATCTTTCATGTTTCGAGAATTCGGCTTTCGAGACTTCGGCTCCCCCAGACTTCGGCCCCCGGAGAAACGCTCGCGGAGGCTCGGCTCGCTGCGGCTCGGAGGCTCCGCCTGACTCGGGCGCTTTGGCGCCGATGTTGGCGTAGCGCACGTTGCCGAAGTTCTCGAAGCCTGGCGCCGAGGCGTGAGGCGCATACCGCCGCCTAACGAAGGGCATGGCCGCTCTTTCGCACCTGGACCCTCCAACTGGCCATTTTCATAGGGAAGTCATCAGAATTTTGGGGTAGTAACCCATTGCTGCCGGAATTTGGAGAGTCCAGGTACTCCAAATACCCGCCTTTAGTTCTTTGTGCATGTTCTTGAAGGGTGTCAACCCATCAACAAAGATGTTTATGGCAAACCTGGTTTGCTCAAGGTTGTGGGACCGCCTCCGGGTCGATTGCGCTCTCGTGTGTCAAACCCATTCCCTTGACCACTCATGGCACCAGCCAGGAGCAAGCTAACCGACCACTCATGGTACAGATGTGGCACTAGCAGAAGCTGCATGTCTTGCTGCCCGGCCCTCAACTCCCGAAAGAATTCTGGCCAGGATTCCAAGCTGAAGCTCCCCTCTTTTCAACATATCGCAGACACCTGACACACGCCGGCTGGCTCAAGCGTGTCGGCATGCGCCGTAGTTGGCAAAAATGCCCTTAACCCGGTCGTTGTTCGACCTCGGCGTCGACCCCTCTGTAGATCCGATAACGACAGGTTCTGAAAGGACATTTCTGCCACGGACTTTGTGTGGAGAGTCTTCACGGGTCGTAGCGTGCCTTTGGCTTTCATTTGAAAAAACATCAGAAAAGACTGAGTCCAAAACAAACACGCCTATATTGAAGTTGCGAAGCACCCCAGGATCCCAAAGGCAAGGTTGATTGGAAACCATAGCCCAATTCCTTAACCTTAACATTCCAAGAGACCCCAACTTCCCTGTGGCTCGTTTACCCCTACCCACCCCCTTTTCCATGGGTGACAAAATTCGGCGCCGCTTGCAACTCGGATGCGTGTACTCGGAGCTTGCTGGGGCCTTTGCAGCATGTTTACCGCGAAGAGCACTGCCGCCAGCATGCCCATGGCGCCCAAGACTGACCAGGCACCTGCACCACTTTGAAACCACGACGAACCATTGTTGTTTGCTTGGTATTTATAAGCGAATCATCAATCCAGGGGTTCTTAGGTGGTGCAGGATTTCGTCCATCCACAGTAGGAAGCCAACAGGCAACCCAGAGGAAACCAACAGAACATCCAGCAAATTTCGGCAAATTCCCAGGGATCCCCAATGTTGAGCTTCATGTTGTTTTTTTTTCCAAGGCAGGGCCTTTCCTCTTACAAAGATGGATGCAAAGGCGGCCCCCCTTTGTGTTGCCATGGCATCCCTGAAAGAGCACCGCCAAAAAGGGCGATGTCTTTGTGCCAATTTTGGCTGTCAAGACTAAGAGCCCTCCCCAGTGGCTAGTTTCTTGGGATAAGAAGTGAACTCCGCCCAGTTGCCCCTTGTTACCATAAGCCGTTGTTGAGAGAAACAACCCCGTGAAATCTGACAAATTGAGCCTAAAAATTGTGAACAACAAACAACAAACACAAAACGGAGACATTACAATACCACCCAACAAAACTCTCGCCGACAGTTCAAAGCCTCCAACGGGTTCCTAGTTTGACACATCAGCAATTCGAGACGACAGTGGTTGAATTGAGGCTACCCGGATTGGGCAGCAAAACCGTGATTGTGCAGTGGAATTAGCAGCATATCTTGATCAGGGCAATTTGACAGGCAAGTAGCCAGCCTCCAGGGTTCCTTTTAAACACCCTTAAAGGCTGTAGAGTCTACTCACTTCCTGAGTGGATCAGTCAAACACAAACAGTGACATGTTGTTCGCCACATATATGGTCTTCAAAAGAGAAGTTTGAAGTCCAGGAACTCAGGGAGTCTATATACATAATATGGATATATATATATATGTATCACACAACCTCAACGCCAACCCCTTCTGAAAAGACAACATTCCTCATGGAAAGAATTGCTGCAGGTCCATGCTTCACTTTGTATCTGAATCTAAACCTCAAACATGGGCGGTTTCCTCTTGCAAACCATATCCAGAAGGATATGGACCCTCACAAAAAAGAATAAAACCGCTTGATTGATAAATGGCCACCCCTCCTCAACTCCCCTAGAAACGCTTGATTGTAGGTAGGGTGCCCTCCAAGGGGCATGTCACCTCCTTCCCGGGCCTTTGCTCATGGGCTTGGCCGGGCATGGGACAGACACCTACGAGAGCGCAGGTTGGCAGGCGGGTTTTCCGTCCTTTCGTCCTTTCGTCCTTTCGGCTTCGCTGAGCACTCAGATCTTCATGTGAGGCTTGTTATTGGTGCTGGTTGGAAGCTCCCCAGCTTTGTAGGGGTGTCCCCATTTCAGGAAAGAATGGGGCGGGGGCCACAAGGGCGCACATGCCTGGATTTCCATGGGAAAAGGGCACCCTTTTTGGTTGGTGGAGTTGAAAGGGGAGCCCTTACCCAAAAAGTGGAACAGGTAACACTGGGCAACAGGGGATTGGCGGTTCATGTCTGGTAACAAGGGTCGACCGTTGATTCCGATTGTCCCCGTGGCTGTTTCCCCCGTTTTGTGTGACTGCAAAAAATGGTGCACTGCCCCCAAGACCTCCCAACCTTCCCTCAAACCAACCCCAACCCAGCCACAGTGGGGGGTAGTGATTTGGCTGAGGAACCCTGCGGTATCCCGATTTCAACCAAGGATGGCGGAAACCCGCCAGCACACCCAAGGCTTCTGCAAGAACATTTGCCCAACCTTCCGCTCGAGAACGCTTTGAGAGGCTTCCCCGGCCTGTTGTGGCGCCCACCCGCCCTCGCAGGTGTCGCCCGGCACTTTCCGGTGCCCCGTCTGGCCGCTGTGAGGCGCCAAAAGGTGAGGGCCCCGTGAGGGTTCCTGTCCTAAAATCTTGCAGGCGCCTGCTACAAAATGGGCCTCAGGGATCCTTTCGAATCCCAGCTGCCCTACAAACAAGGAGTGCAACAAACGGAACCTGGACCTGCCACAGACCCATGCACATCGCATTGCATGGCAAACATGTTGAACAGCCTTCCGAGTTCCAAGTCCATGTAAGCCGTGCAAAAGCTTTCTCTGCTCATCACCTCGTGGACGCAACAGAGCAAACCAAAGCTCTGCTTCTGAACAAGCATGCGTTGGTGATCCATGAATGAACCGCGCAAGGCAGTTCCTGCAATGCCAGTGGATGAATGTAGGCCTTGCAATTTGGTGGACTTGGTGGACTTCCCATTGTGCACCCGTCAAGGGCGAAGAGTCATGTTCAATGCGGACGAATCTGTGGCAAAGTGCCTTCTCCGACTGGCACGGCCATTCTGATCAATAGGTCGAAGTTGCTCAGCCCGTGTTAGACTTGCAAACCACAAACGGGTGTCTCTTGCTTGAAGGCATCCGTTTTTTGGGTTGCATAGGAAAGCCAAGAGGGAATCACCTATAGTACAGAAGTTCCCTATTTTGAGACATATCCAAATGCAGTCCAACGACCGAAGAAAACGAGCTGCGCATGCCAAGATCAGTCAAGCAAAGAAGTTCATGGGGGCCAAGGAACGCAGCCTTTTTCAGCGTTAGATAAAGTACTCAAGCTCTGGAAAGAGGCGCTATGCTCCGCAAGGAAAGCCACCTGATCCAGGGAGGCGGTGTACATGCATCTAAACTCGGGAGCCCTCGCAATTGGGTGGCTTCATGTCGGTTTCCTTGCCCTAGATGTTACGAGTCAGGGAAAGCCAGTGACCTCATTGCGCGGGTCTGGTGGCCGGATTCACTATACTATAGCAATAATTCGGGAAACGACTGCATAAAACACAAACTGAAGTCTAGCGGCTCCAAGTGCATCGGGCGAATGACACAAAGGGTGCCCTCAATGGGATTTGCCCTACACATATTTCCCCTTAGGGGGTTAACTCGGGAAATTAACCAATTGCCAAATGGCACGGTCATCCAACGCGAGATCCCCATCTCCCACTGCGATTGGGCTGCCCCGCAGCCCAGAAGTGGTCGTTTCTCGAGCAGCTCAGAGGGATCTGCGCCCATTCGCTCCGCGCGAAACACGCGCAGTCAGACATGTCTGGCTCTGACAGCAACAACGACGATCACAACCAGCATAACAAGAAGCCAATCATGAGCACGACAAAGGCTGCAAACAGGAGGAGCTGAAAACAAAATTCTGAAAAGGCAAGCAGCGTAAGAGCCGAGGAGTGGTACCTTGTTGGGGCGCAGCTGCCCAGCGCACAGGGGGCTTTGCGAGAAAATGTATCATGAACAGTTGGATCCCTCCGTTTCAATCCAGTGGAGTCCCAGATGACGCATTTCCACATGAGTTTCCAGCAAGGGATCCTCTGGTTTTGGTGTCTCCCCCAGTTCCCCCGGATCCTTGATGGTGCCATCGTCCGCATACTTGCAGTCAGTTGCACCAACCTTGGATCGAGCGCACTGTGGTTGTCCCCCAATTCACTGGCAAGGTCCACATACCAACTACGTGGGAGGTATACAGTCATGTAGGAGCCACGTGGGCTACACCCTCAGCGTCTAGGAACTGGCTTCAAGCCTCAAAATCGGAACCACAATGCAACAACAAGCTTGTGCATACACATAGGTCACGTACTTTTGTGCGGTCTCTCCACAAGCTGGCAGTGGCCGTCCATGACCATTGGTTGCTCAGTGTACGTTGCGTTTGTTTCACAATCATGGGACGCAAACCGCAAAAGGGATCCGAATTTCAAACAAGTGACCTTATAAAGATATGCGGCCGTGCTCATTTTAGTACATATCTCCTTCTGAGCGTGTTTTCTCAAATAGGAAACCCTAGCTTTACAAAGTATCTGCACTGTCTGAGTTTTTGAGATCGACACCTTGCAAAGTCGACGATGTGCCAAGGTCACCCACCCAAATGAAGCCTTGACAGGGCCTATCACGGCAGCCCTGTCACAACCGCCCAGCGCTTGAGCACAAGTAGATAGCACCCTCCTTCCAACAATCAAATTTCAGTGGACCGTCGGCTTTTGAGACCGTCGGCTTTTAAGACAACTCTGCTCTTGGAAAAGGAACAAACTCCACGACTTCGATGTTGTTCCTGGGCCTATCTGGGACTGAGCCTCAGGTGCCAGGTGCCATTTCCTTCTCGCAAGGCGGGGACCCCCGCCGGACGGGTGAAGCCTACCTCGCACTCGTAGTCTTCTTGGGTGCACTCGCAGTTCTGGCGCGACGCCGGCGGGGGGTGGGGTGGGGTGGGTGGGGTGGGTGGGGTGGGGTAGGGTATGTATCTACGAAGTGCATTGGTAAGCAGGGAAACAAGGGGGATGACGCAAAAGTTCAAAGAGGGCAGAACTTTCAGTCTTCATGCACAACGGATCCATGTACAGTTGGGTGAAATTAGATCGGGTTTGGTAATCCCCTACACTTTCCCAAATAAGGGCAACATTGCCACCTACTCTCGGGATGCGCAAAATTGCAAACCACAAACCGGAAAGAACTGCAAATACAAAGGCCCCTTAAAAGGACCGGCCAGCAGGGCCGGAGCTCGCTTTGGTCCCAAAGCGAGCACGTGCTCTCCTCTGAGCTTGCGTTTTCGGGTTTTCTGACCGCCGAGAAAGCATGCTGGAACTCCTACATTATTACATAAGGCCATTGCAATGTGCTGTGGACAATTCAGCTGTCTCCAGAAGCACGATCATCCAGGGAGAAAGGCAAGCCACGTCTTTTCAACTTGAAGAAGGCATCCAGTTCCCCCAAAGGCACCCTCAAATATGCTAGAAGGAGCTACTGAGCTACTCGCGGAAGACATGCTGTGGTTTGCGCAAGGGTCCCTAAAAACCTCAGTTGCCCAAAGGACCTGTTTATAAAAGGTTAACCTTTTGGGACCTCTACTAAAAATAGACCAACAAGGGAAAACCAAAAGGTCAGATCCGGTCGATTCGCTTTGAACTGAGAAACTGGCGAGGAATCCCCGACTGGGCTGGGAGGATTCGGAGATGCCATCACACATCCAAGAGGCTCACATCGCATCCGGACCGGACCCGACCCATCCGGACCCGACCGGGAGAAGTTCTACAGCTTCCCGTTTGGGCCATCCCCATAAAAGGTTTCAACAGGGCTAGTTCCAGGGGAACTGTCTGAGCAATCCACGCATGGATTGCATGCGTGGATTGCCCAGTGAGATACTTTACACTTTCTCAACATCAAGCATTCCTGATGGATTGATCTCCTTTCATTTGCGCTGGGTTTTCATCCAACCCAGGGGTGCTGTTCTTCTTTGACCAACCCTGGCACGGACAAAACCAACGCCTTGCGAGTCACCGGCCGCTCGAACTTCTCGCCGTTGAAGCACTCCGAGGTTTGCTTTCGCCGGGTGTATGTGACCTGCGACATCAAAATCATACCCCGCTGAAAGTGCTGCATGCGGGTGCGAGACACCCGAGGCGAACTGAAGCAACAAGGGGCAGGAAAGCAAAAAAAAAAAAACTCCCGTGACTTGTCTCCCAAGAAGAGCAACCTGCTGGTTTTAGGCGTCCCTAGTCTCAAGACAAAGGTCAATCATCTCGGAAAAAGAAAGCAAGGTCAACGCTATCACCAATTGTGCAATGTGCACCGCGGTCTGAGGCGAATGCCGGCGTGAAAAGGCAACACGGTTGGCAGCATTGCCAGAGCCGAGACCCTCAAGCCTTGCACCTCTCAACTGAAGCGAGGGGTACCCCTACCCCAAGCGATTTGCGCCAGGGTCTCATTCAATGGAAGCCTGGACCTGGTAGTGAGGATACCCCAACAATGTGGGACGGACCCCTTGTATTTGGTGTGTTTCAAGGGAAACAAAAGAAGAAGAAACCTACAATTTTGACATATTTTACATAGGAATCATGAGGTGCTTGCCTTTAACTCCTTTAACTCTTGTATGATGGTTCACATGGCTGCCCACATGGTAACTGCAAGCGTTGGGTCGTAAAAGGGACAGCATTGAAAGTCGCAAACATGCCACGACATTGGCAACCAAATGTCAACTGGGGTCAGCCAAGCGGTCAGCCAAGCTGCAAATCTGAGAGACCCATAAACCACCTTCATCGAAATTGGTTGGGGCAGTTCATCTGGGGAAGCTCATATGGGGATGTCTCAAAAAGGGGCTCTCCTGTTTTTAACGCAAAGGGGTCCCGGTGACGCACATCCATGTGAGCGACCGACATTGCTTCAACTCCCTGGTCCTTGTGCAATGAACATGTAGAGCCGATGTAACCCTGAAAAACAAGACACCAAACAAGTAGTTGCAACATGGACGCGAACTGTCCACCATATGGCTGGTCCATCCTGGTCGCCTGTCTTTCCATCCTCCCCAAATCATCCGCCGACTGGCGGTAGATGGCCAGCCTGCTTGCCAAGCATGCACTTCTCCGTGTTCTTGCCGTCCGAGGGGTTCCAGGTCTCCTTAGCAGACACGCTGGTCACGGTGGCTTCTGATGGAGCCAAAGAACCCCAAAAACAAGCATGTTTGGTCTAGGTGTCCGGGCCAATCTAGTCGGGGGTTGGTCTCAGACCCCTGCTGGGGAAGATGAGAACAATCCTGTAGGAATGAGTCAAGCGGCTGAAATGGAACAAACAATGCAACCAACCACCAGGACTGAATAACCCAGACTATTGCCTGGAGTGCCTGGTTTTCAGGCATCGACATTACCAAATGCGTCCTGAATCAAGCGGTCACTTGCCGTGACATCCGAATGGCTTGCTGGAGAAGGGCACATCAACCCTGGAAATGGTGTGTGTATATATATATATATATCAGTGGCGAAAAACGGCAACCCTAATAGCCCGGCTTGTACATGGGACAGCACATCCAAAACATGGGGCACCTGGATTCTTCATCTTGAGATCTGATCATTCCTGGGCATGCGGATGCCACCAATCACACCACACACATGCCACTGCATTCAGTTCTAATCTGCAAGTTATTGACTGCCCAGCGAAAGGGAGGCTGTGTGAAGTGGCGCCAAATCCAGCAAAGAATAGAAAATACAGTAACAGGAATCAAGCAACAATACACATTCATATACGTATAATATATATATATATAGTGCAGATCACATACTCCTCTAAAAAAATCACATGACCCCCCACAAAGATGCAATTATTCTAAACACACCCCAGCTTAATCACGGAGTAGGACTCCCGACTTTGGGGTTCAAAACTATGGCAGTGCCCCTCTGCCCCTCTCACGTCTTGTGAACCCGCACGGGCCATTGCCACGACCACCCTGAATAATAATGTTTTACGATTCCGGTTGGTTGTGAACCTTTACAACAAATCGTATCAAATGAAATCCCAGCTGGAGCCAACCATTCTCCGTTCTGACCCTGGATCTGGCTCGGGAAATGCGCCGAGATGCGTAGTCCGAAGACACTGAGTCGGCCGCCCACACGCCCTGCAACATGGCCGGATAAAAAACTCATTAAACAGTGCGCAGTGACCAAATAAATATTTTGTACAAAACTAGTCAGTAAATAATGCCTTGCATTGTGCTGGTGACAAATAGTTAACTGTTCTTGTGCTTCCGATGGCGATCCACTCCTTTCAAAAATCAAGGACACATGCAACAGGCCATCCCAAAAGGCCAACAGCGAGGTTAACTTGCAAATCTATCCTGGCAAGCAGCCTCCTCGCTTGCTTACGGGACTGCATCATCCGGCCTATCTCCCCAGTCCTCCCGCGGGTGACTCTGAGATGCATGGTAATCGCTCACATTGATCTGCCGAAGTCTCCCAAATGCCTTTGCTTGGCTGAACACAACAGCTCCGAAGACGACATAAAGGTGTGACTGTTTGAGTTAAATAGGGATCTGGCAAATCAAAATTGGAATTCACACCGGCCACCCAAGCACCTGTCGACATATCGTGGATTCCCGAAATGGTGTCACATCCAAAGGCTTGTAGGTTCCCTGCACGGCCCGACATATTTTGCGGGGAGCAAGGGAAACCCGGTGAATCTACGGCAGCTTACCGGGGTTTCCAGGTTGAGGAACACAAGCCCTGTCAAAAACGATTTGCAGAGCAGTCAAAACCGTCACAAGGCTTACCAAAGGAGCTCTTGAGCCAAGTCTGCACGGAGCGAAGTGCGAAGTGCGCCTTGCAGAGCGGCTGCCCCAGACTCTCGAAGTCCAGGTGGTACATGACGCCCTCAGCCCATCGAGCGGACCGGCAAAGGGACGAGGTCACGCCGGACTGTCTTGAGCAAAGCTGGGGAGCCGTGAAAAACATCTGAACGTCTAATACCTCACCCACAAATTCAAGGTTTCTTCGAGGAAGGGATCTGCACTTGTGAGCTCGTTTTTCAGCCCAGTTGTGCCATCAGCAGTACAAATCGGGACTCGCAAAACGCAGGGGGGATTCACCACACAGGTCAGCTGATCTGTGTGTCTAAACAAGGGCACAGCCCCCCCCAAAAAAAAAGTTGTGCGTGTGTCCGCAAACGGACAAGGAGTCGAAACGGCATTGATCAAGGTCCTTGTTTTCCTTTGGTGGCGCGTACTCAAGGCAAGAAAGCAGGCAAACATGGCGTATCCCGTTGAAAACAGTGATAGCCCTTCCGTGGCTTCCTGCCAGCGGTTGTACAAGTTGTGCACTACCTACCGTGGGCATTTATGTTTCTTCCTCTTGAAGAAAGGGTGGGAGTAGCAGCTATTCTCTCTGTCAACCAATATGCAATGTAACAATCAAACGGCCAACTGATTTCGACGAAGGCGCCGTATCCCCTCGAGTTCCGTAGAGTAGGAACTTTGTGGAGGTGGCGTTGGGCTCGGTCACGATGTTGTCCACCTACAAGACGAAAGCCCACCGGACATAGACATGTCACAATGTCCACGGCTATGCTTTGCCACAAGTCGGACCCCGGAATGCTCATGGCGAACGCAGCATACAAAGGCGGGATCCTTTTCGGCCCTGCTTCCATCAAGGATCCATGAACCCAACAAACGCTCAGGCTTCAAAGTGGCGCGAGTTCTGAGGTTCGCAACCATCCACAGTGTGGCCGTGGCTTGGAGGTTTGGCAACCAGACATTGGCTGAGAGTTTTTTCAGTCCAAGGGCGTAGTGCTGCAACCAAACCAGCTTTTTTGTTTTTTTGTTTCGGCGGATTCAAGCTATGGCGCCCCCCTCGCAAACGGTCTGTTGATGGCTTTTCGACAACTGGCCGTAGGAGTCATCGTCCGAATGGAAAGCATGTGAGGTAGCGATTGTGAGGAGTAAAAATCAGTTGGAAAGGCGAGACCCGAGCGATAGGCAGAGATATTCGTCCACCACTCAAAACAGCTAGCAGCAAGTCCGCCTCTACCGGCATGCTGGACAGCTCAAAGTCGTACCAGCTCTGGCCCTCGTTCCACGAGAAGACCACCTGCGCCCGAATCGCGCGCAAAGATCGGAGCTGGGGACAGTTGAGTGTATCTAAACATGAGGAAAACTCGGAGAATGGTGGCTCCCCTTTGCTTGCCCAAAACAGGTCCATAACAAACAAAAACAACATTTGTCCGAACATCTTTGAACTTATCAGGATACCTTTTGAGAGCAAATCAGCAAATCCCCTTGGATTCGTCGCAACTGGAAACACAAGTCGCAAAACCGTGCAGTCCTTTTTATCCTTTCTATATAGCATACGTCCTTCTGCAATTCGCTGAGGATTTCTGAGGGCCCCACCAACAAAATGACCCTTTCGAGGGCTGAATCCATGAACAAACGCCCCATCCCCCAAGTTGCGCCGGGACCTTTCGGCCCCGGAAAATTTAGAAACCACACCGGATCTGCTTGTGGCAAGCAGCAAGCTTCCAGAGCGTCACAAGTCGACAACAGAGCACACAAGTGGGTACTGAAACCTATCTTGGATGTTTGCAGAAATGTGGGCTTCCTTAAACCCAGTGAATCCCAGATATAAAAATAGGTCACCAGTCATTTGCCTTCCATATGAATGAAGTGTGGTTCAGTTGGGGAGTTTCAAGCACAGGTGGCCGTTTGGAAAAATAGATGGCCCTGGTAAATGGAATAAAACCTATCTAAACCAGTGCCATCTATTTTTAACTAAACTAACCTAAAAAGGGCACCTATGGTTACAAGTAAACAGAGTCAGTGGGAAGTCGGCAAATCTCGTGGCAGCTTGGCTGCCCGCCAGCTTGGTCTTTCGCACATCATCGGCCATGACGACCAAGCCCCCGTGGTCTCCATACTCGTAGATGAAGGCGCCTGCCAATTCAAGAGGTGGGTGTTGTTGTTGAGAGTAACATTTTGGGGAAGGGACGTCAGAAGGAAAAACCGCATTTGTTTTTCCCTGTTCTGACACTAAATCCAAGCGTTGCTCGACCCCGCCAGCACCCTCCCTCCCCTAATGCGCACAGCACTTGCGGTCAGCATTCTTCGCAGGAGCAATCTCAGTGACTATGTCAATGGTCATATTTTCGTGGCCCTCTGGCATGCCCCAGTCAACCTATGGAACACACTGGGAACTGAAAAACAGTGGGAATGACAACGACACCACCTCAGAACAGCATACCCTGTTCGAAATCCATTGGGGCCTAATGACAGCCTGTAATCCGCCTGTTCTGCTCGGAAATCTCAATCCGCAATCCGCGCTGGGAACTGCTAGTCGAAACCTTACGCTGGGGCATCGCAAACCGATGCAACCCATGGTAAACCGCATAATCCGCAATCCGCTCATTATGGATTTTGAACAAGCTAGACAGCCACCCCAGTACAGAGGGTTGGCTGTAAGCTTGAATTGAGTAGCATGTTGGTTCTCTTCATAGCTGGTTGATCACCCAACATCTTTCCCTGGTCCTCGTCTCCACCATAGGCGACCTTTTGAACAAATATATGGCCCTGATAAATGGAATAAACAAAACAGCTAAACCAGTGGAACCCACCTATGTCGAACCAAACTAACCTAAGGATACCAATGGCTTCCACATGCCTCGAGCCCCAAGCTTTTGGCCCCGGCACGCCTTTGTGTGCCTCGGTCCAGGTGAGGCCGCCATTCCGAGAGAGGTAGGTGTTCGTCTGCGAGCGAGTAAGCGACAAGCACGTTTACCCACCAGCCGAATTGAACCTGCGCTAGCAAAGACAACAGAAAACATGTATCATCTGGAAGATCTGAGTACAAAACAGACAGGGTGATGATGTCGTCCAAACATACACAGGCATGCCCCACTTCTCATACTGGCTGCCCCTTTCAAAACCCGAAACTCTCCGGAAGCCTGGTCTGGCTCAAATCGGAGATAGGGCCCCACATTGCCAGTGCCTCGATCCAGGCTGCAGGACACCACACCCAGTCCACAGAAACCTTTCTCTTGGTGGGAGGAAGTTCAGAGTGAAATCCTCTTTGCTGGGATTTGCGGAGATGGGGAGGGGTGGACGGAGGACACTCTTCGGCACCTGACACGAAAGCGACATTCTGAACCCCTCGAGTTCAAAACTGCGCCTTAGACGAAATCCAAAAGACACATGATTCCCGTGCCGTCCAAACACATGGAAGTCGGTTAAGCCTGGACGAGAAATCATCTCTGCAGGGAGCCTTGGGCTTGGCAATCGCTCAACATTCACCTGATACTCAAGAAACTTAACAAATCATTAATCGCACAATCGCAATCGGACAAATTGTGTGTTGCTCTCATCATTGGTGACCGCCCTTTGGGCTGCGGGCTAGTCAAAAGCAGAAATATGGCGACTGGCCTCTGTAGTTGATTCTGGCGAGCTTTGGACAATGCAATTGATTCACTCCGGCGCTAGCCACTTGTGCGGGCAAAAGTGCGGTGACTTGAAAGCGCCATATCATCACACGACCATCCGCCACACGCCATGTCCATCAACATTCCCAGCATGGACCCTCTGAGATAGTAAATCCCGAAACAGCCAGAGACAGCCGGCGTCTCCCAACAGCAAAGTCGGTGACAACTCCCTCAAGTGCCAAACCCACCAAGGCTCTGGCCCATGATGATGCCAATCGCATTGTCTGTTGAGTAGAACGGCCTTAGGCGCGCTTCGTTTTTGCCGCACGCGACCTGGGTGAACCTAAGCCCTCAGGTGAACCTCGGATCCCCCAAGAGGGTATCCTCATGGTCGTTGCTTCTCTGGTCGCGCTCCAGATTCTCCCAGAAATGTGCTGGTGGCACTTCGCAAATGATGCTGCAACTGCACTGAGAGATCCTCCAGAAAGTACTCTTTCTGTCTCATGCGCGATTCTAGCTATCACACAATGTCAATCAATTTCACTTGAACAGAGAATCAATGTCTGTCGTATGCCACATTCCACATGTCCTAGCAATTTGTATAATAAGCATATGTGCGAATTGCTGGCGCAAGTCTCCTTGAGCAAATAAACGATACAAACACCAACGTAACATACACGCCAATGATACACGTATCTCTTGGCTAACTAACCTCCACATCCTTTGCTTGGTCACGCTTCCAGGAAGGCCACTCGACTCCTGAGAACGCCACGCGTAGTTGTGGAAGTTGGTAATTCCATGCCTGGCAGGTTTGTCGGACTAAATGTAATCTCCGTCCCTGCGACCCATGATTGGAATAAGGCCTTGTACCGAATGCATGCCATGTTTGCATATCCGAAGTCTACTCCACTTATGGCTTTGGCTGCCGCGGCCTAAATATGTGCGTCCTTTGGCTTAATATGTCCGCTTGGCAAACTTGAGTGATGTGAGCTTGGATGCATTCCCGAGGAACAGAAACACATCAAGGCAATGACAATTGCGAATTGTATTTCTATCAAAGGCTGAATGGTGTGAACCCCTGGTATGAACCCCTAGACCATGCCTCAATTCACCATTAATTGAAATACATGTCTTCCCCACCAAACAGTACAAACCACTGTTCTACAGTACACAGGTCCAAAATGATTACGGGCTCATGCACGGATCCATACCATCAGCCTTGATCACGGCCCTATCCACCTACCGATGAAACATAACAATTTGTGACATGCTAAACTTGTACCCGGAAGCAGAATGCTCAGGCCGACACCATGAATTTTCCAGAATGCATAATGGCTATAATGGCTCCACTCTTGGTTTTTCCGATAGGTCCGAAACAAATGGCGAATTGTCTTACGGTCCCAACCTCGCGTACTTGCGTGCTTCAACACTAGGACATTGGTCCAGCCAATCACTGTTTACGAGGTTGCAAAATATGACCCGCAAACTTGTTGAAAGGACCCTCAGAACAATTCTCAACAAACATTCTGTGCCCACTCAACATGGACCAAACTCGGAAAACTGAGAGGCGAGATTGGGTCAACTTATTTTGGACCACAGAAAACCTGAAGTCCACCTCAAGAGAAAACAAACACAGGCGAAAGCTGGGTCTAACCTTTTGTAGGTTTGATGGAAACCGACTCCAAAAAACGGTGGCTGTCCTGTTGGCTTCCCTTTAAAAGCCACAAGAAAGGGGTGCCCCCCCCCAAAAAAAAGGACAGACCAATTTCCTTCCAAAAGCTCCGTTTCCGAGGGAGCACATTCGATGCCACTGGTCAGATGGGTGTGGTTGTCAAAAAATAGGGTAACCCCAAAATAGGTTGCCCTGGGAAGAAACAAGTTGACTTAGGGTTTAGGGTTCAGGGTTTAGGGTTTAGGGTACAGACCTGCGAACCATATCCTGGTTTTCAATTTTGCCCCATACGATGGGAGACGGCAGAACCAGGGCGGAGACACAGGTGCAGCCAGCACTTGTCTGGCGGGCAATCGATCTGCTTGCCCGTGGAGTCCACACGCGGGGGCTTCAGGTAGGACCTCCGGAATGTGCTTCGTCGTTTTTGAGGTTACCTCCCCCCCTTCTTGCCGCCAGTCTCCCCTACAAAAGACACCCGAAATTGGAATTGGTACTCTAAAAGGCAATGGTGACATTTTGGTTTCCCTTCAGATGCCAAAGGGGCGTCTGAGTCCCAGTTCTGTTTCGAACAAAGCCCTCCATTGCGTGCAAAGGTCGAGCGCCAATTCATCTGGCATGGGGAACACTAAGCTGGAGGTGTGGTCAGGGCAACCTCGGGTCCTCCATGTTGAATTCCTGCGCCAGTCGACTCATATGGCTTCATCCATCCGGTGCCGGATTTCATTGAAGTCGGACCCCGGTTGCAGTGGAGATGCGGCTTAGCACCCGATGTCCCGAGATCCGCGCCAAGCACCGCCCTTGTCAAAGGAGATGACCGTGCGAACCTTGCATCTGCAGCTCGCTATCGGGGATGTGCATTTGTTTTCTCTAATATGGCCATGGGTCAAAACCCAAAGTCGTACCGTGAACATCCGATTCAATCCCCACTAAAATAGGTACCAAAATGGGTAGTGCACCGAAAACCCCAAAATGGTACCATTGGTTCTGACCCACAGCCATATGGATCCAGAGCCACTGCGAGAGATCCGAATTGTCACTTCGCAAGATGTCGCAAGGCCAAGGGCCCAAGGACCCCGCTTAAAATACGAGAGGCAAATCGAGAAGCAAACTTTGATGGCGGCTTGATTTCGCATGCATACATGCATAACACACCCCTGCGCAGAAGCAAAGATATCCTTGCCACATGAATTCTCATGCTGCTCTGCGGCGTTCTGTAGCTCACTCTCTGACCCACGCCACTGCATTCACGCAACACAATAACGAGGGCTTATGCGGCCACGTTTCCTCACATAGGGGTGCCCCTTCTCAATGCAGCCAAGCTGGTTCTGAACCCGTGCCGGAGACAGGTTAACCTTCAGAAGGGCTTGCCCGTAAAAGAAAGGAAGCCAACCACAAAATACGCAGGGAACGACTGAGTTGCCACTATAGTGCACAACCAAAGGAAAACGGTCATTTAAATCGTAGAGGTAAACAAAATCCCTTCAGTTCCCACTTCATCAGTCACTCGATGCACGCTTGGGCCACCGGGCCACGCTCTCCTCTTTGGCTTTGGACTTGGGCGCTCGGCGCTTGTCCACCTAGACAGACAAGAGCATGCAGCCAGCAGGATGACTGCACATAAGAATCCCCATATAACTGCACATAAGAATCCCCATTCAATATGTCTCAAAATTCTCAAAGGTCAGATGCCTAGATCCAACACGGGGACTTTTTCGCGTGCCGCGACCGCGCCTCGGTTCCAGCCGCCGCCTCGCTCTCCAGCGCCTCGCCCTGCTCGGCGGCCTCCTGAAGGAAGGCTGTCGGAAGGAACCATCGTCCCGTGAAATCTGAAGGCGGGTCAAACATATGTACCCCCAAATGGGTTGCCCCAAATAGAAACAAGCAAAGCCTGGTGGAATAATGTTGACCCCATAAATATTTCAAACCCTGGATTAATATGGGGTGTCCGATTCTGGGTTTAGTGGGGAATCAGACCACTTTTGGAGGGGAACACCCCCTATTAATGAACTGGGGGTCATTAATATGGGGTCAACATCATAGAGGAAACCAGCTTGGCAAGCCCAGGAAGTATCCCCATCCCGGAATCAATAGTTGTCAATAGGATGATAGCAAGGTAACCGGGGCTTTCTGCATTCAATTTGTATATGGTAGTGTCCCTTGTAACCTGCTATAGTCGTAGCTGAAAGCACTGGGATTCTGGCAAGGACACAACTGCCCACCGCGCTGCGCAGTGGCCCACTGACGAGACGACCCGTGGCGAGACACCTTCGTCTTGTCGTCCACACCAGACGTGCCATCGTTCTTCGTCTCCTGAACATTCCAAGCGCCATGGATAAATTTGGTAGGTTGCCACGCACTAAGGTTGCAGCATTATCAATCTGCCTGCGTTGCCCAAGGGTCCGTCTGTGTGTGTGTGTTAACATGCTCCCTCCTTTTGCTCTCGCTGCCCAAAGAGGTCCACCATTTGGTTCTCCATGCAGAGTTGCTCCCATTCAAGCCGATCAGCGCTGCGTAGCAAATGTGGTCCACAAAACCAAAGAACATCGGGTAGTTAATCAACAGACGGTTTTGAATCCACTTGATTCGTCAACCCCAGAAACTCCAAACCGCTTTTAACCGTGGGGTTGTCTGGCTTGGAGCAACCATGGCAGTTCCGTCCTTGAAGTTGGCCATGTACACGCCCTCTAGGCTCAAGACCTGCAAGAGGGCAAGCGCGAGGCACGCAGCTTGGCACGGACTGGAGCTTCTCAACTTGTGCAATGAGGTTCTCTGGTCACCGGTCAAGGTCTCTCAAAAACCGAAGCCCGACTTGCCGGCCTTGTCAAACTCGCAGTCGCCGTTGGTGCCCCTCACGTTGTTGGGGAGCGACAGCGCGAATCTATAGCCTCAGCTGGAGTCCGGGCCCTGTTTAAGCCGCGGAGAAGTGCTAAGGAGCAACTTGCTGCATCGCACCAGAGTCCCAAACTTGGTGCTAGAACATATTTTCTCCAGCCAACTGACACAGTTCTGAAGTTTGTGGCACTCAGCCTAACAACCGCACCGAGCGCAAGCAATCAAGAAGATTCTGAGAGCCCGTCCTTTCTCGTCAGACACGTAGACATTGCCAACTTGATTCTGGCAGTGCGGTGCTAACCACACACAATCCAAAGAAGCTGCATGCATTTCAGTCCAAAGAAGCACTGTTGCAAGGCTGGGCTTGCCATCTCATGCCACCAGTGCACCAATCGGAATCGAAACCTTTGGACTATGACGAAAACCGGATGCATGTTACCCCGACCGAACACAGCAAAGAACTACCACTCTGTTTAAGCATGTTTAAAACCCGTTGAAACAACCTCCTCTCGGTTCCCCTTGAAAGGGAGAAAAGCGTGTGGGAAATGACCACTGCTGTGGTACAACACAAAAGGATTCCCAAAGACTAACCCCCCATGCAAAGGAGGAGATTCCCTGAAGGTTTAGTCTTTGAAAAGCTCTTTCTGTTGTACCACACATTGCATCACAGAAGTGGTAACTAATCCCCTTGATCCCACAACCCTGAAGGCTAAATCTTTAAACACATCTTGCCCAAGCCTCGCGCAAAGCGCCGGCAGACCCCCCCCCCCCCGGTATGGACACTTAGGGTCTATTTTGCAACCTCCTTCATTTAGGGTATTGATTTTTGGGGTTCCAGGCTGCAAAATAACCTCGAAGTGTCCATGGCACCCCCCCCCCCCGACCCCCCCGCCTCTTTAGCGCCGTGGTTCACGTGGAGCATCACTTGACCCTCGGAGGTGTCAAGCACCGTGTAGGACTTCTCGTCGATTTCCGTGGGGAGCTGTCGGAGAGTGGAATGGCCAGAAGTTGGTTCCAGCCCCTTCCAAGATTCGAGCAAACACATGTATTACTCTTTATGTCTAATCTATAATATGAAATACATTGTGTGTTGCATGCATTGTTGTATATATGTATCAGTTATACAAATATATATATATATGTATACACACATTACTATCATTAGTTCTTCAAAAACACAAAAAAACAGGTATGTATAATGTGCACGCAATGTCGTAGACTAACTTAATTATATGATTCAGGTATGTGTTGCATTTGGCAAAACAATCTGTTTTGTGCTGCCCTGTGAAGGGGCCAGGGTCACATTCTGCCCAATGCTGGGCCCGATTTCGGGTGCAGCTCGGAAAGATGGGTGGTGCAAAGTTTGAATCTGTAAGAACCTTAAAACAACAGTTTTACTTCGAGGCTTCTGTATATGGCAAAGGCCTATCATGTCCTCTAGAGGCCCTCTCTAGTGCCCCTGGGATTCCTAAAATATCATGTCCAGTGGTTTCTGTTACCACTCTCTATAACAAAAAACAAGTAGGTAACCAGGGATTTTTTACCAAGGGTTTACATGGTGATCCAGATGCTGATCGCCGTGTGGAAGCGGCTGTTCCCTTTCAGCGTGTGGGCCAAGAAAACCGGTTGGTCGAAAAACAGGTTGGGGTGAAGGCAGGCTTCCGCATGACATCGCCTCTTCATAACGTTGTGTATGTTGTCTGTCAGCGTGAGTTGTCAATGTCAGCCAGGCCAAGAGGCAAGCTTGCTTCTGCTTATGCAGCCAATACAGAATAGCATCCTTTGCAAGTGACACAGCATCTGAAGCCACGGGCGCGCTTGTCAACAGCGCAACCTGCTTCGGGACGGGAGTGTCCCATTTTAGACGACCGAATCCTAAACTTAGCAAATCTTCGATTTGTTTAAGCCCCCTGAAAAAAATACAAATATTTCCAGTAGTGATGGATTCCTTTTTAAAACCAACAGGGGAAACTAAAACATATCCTTAAACAAATGGAAGCTGCTGCCTCAGCTTGATTCATCCGTTGACTTCTCGCACCTGCGCTGCGTTGAAGGTTCGCCCGCCGTCGGCGCTCACCATGAGCATGACCGTCTGCGCAGCGACATCCTTCACCTCGGTGCCCGCCCGGGGTTCAGAAAGCTTGCCCCTCTCTTGGTCGGCTAAAGTTAATTTGTTCAGCAAGAAGGGTGCCCAAATTTTGGGCCAAGCCCTCCAATGGGCCTTTGACCCATTTGAGCCTGTTCCGCCAATCCGTGCGAATCCTGGCAGCCTCGTTCGCACATCCATGGAATTCCCCGAGCCGTGTCAGGCTCCGGCTTTGGCAACGAAGATGAACTTGTGTGAGACCAAAAACCTCAGGCAGCGCAGAAAATCCATCGATGCCCGGCAAAAAGGCTCCATGTCGCTGTGCTTATTGTTGTCTGAACAACCTCCAGGGCCTGCTTCGGGAAGTACCTATCAGGCAAACTCGGCACTGTGTGACCCCACGCTCCTTGCAACTGGAACCCAAAAAGGGGCTGGCTTAGGGATGTTCCATTGCACATTGGGGGTGAACTTGGCTGCCCCAGGGATTTTCCGTTGCCCATGTTTTCTGTTTGGGGAGGGGGGGATCTGCAGAAAAACATCTACCTGGAGTCTCCATGACCCTTACAAAATGGGGTCGTTGCCTACATTAAAGGGGTCATGGACCCATTTTTAATTGGTCATGGAGAATCCAGGTACCACTCTGGGCATACACGCTTGTTGCCCAGCATCACCATCGTCACAGGCCTGCCGCTTTGGACGCATGTCGACGCCATGCAGGGGTTTAGGGCGGACGTCCGGTCCCATGTCGGTTCCTCAGGGGTCCGGAAGAAAGGAAACTGAAATGGTATCCCCCCAAAACGAAAATACGTGCAAGACTCAATTCAAGATTGACAGGAAGATAGGAGGCAGGACCAAGTCGACGCTTCCAACCTTGAGCTTTGCAAGCGAGCCTTGCTTTGGCCCACCGAACCTGACCAAACACAAAGAGAGTCGGACAAACAGAGAGAGAGAGAGAGAACCACAAAAACAAGAAGTCGCCATATTCGCGCACTCTAAGACGTCTCGTTGCTCAAATGATGGAATGAGGCTCGAACTCCATGTTGGATGAAATGATCCAGCCGACTTCGGATTGCGAGGACTGTACGGATCAGAGGAAACGTACCTCTCATGATTGAACTTGTGCAAGGGGCACCAGCCCTGACGAGACCTCACAAGTTCGCATCCATAAGTAAGAGCTATCCATGCCAGCAACACACACTGCCATTCTTAGTTTCTCGCGGATGTCTGCTGCTTGACAAACTGGGGGGGGGGGGGGGGAGGGGTCCCTCCTGCAATTTGGTCGTGGTGACGCTTTCTTGAAGGGCCTCCTGTCTGGAATCCCCCATGAAACCAGGTTTTAGAAGAAGGCTCCCGATATTGCCCCCTTCAACATCCAGTCAAGATTAACCGCATCTCAAAGCGATCCAAACTGCGATGCCGAAACGGGGCCGCAAATGGCATCATACTGACCCCTGTAGAACCACCTAACTCGCCAATTGCCCCACCATGATGCTGTAGTGGTTCAATACAGTCCTTCCTGAACAATCAAGAAATCGGCTAGAACCTACCTTAAACTCGCCGCCGGCCACGCCGATCAGGGCCGCCTCTTGCTGTCCGGGTCCATGTACGCGAAATCCACGTCGCTGGACTTGGCGAGTGCCACCCGTTTGGCTCCCCGCCCTCCCCCCCTTGAGGACGGTGCTGGGAAATTGGAAAAACGTGGGCTGTACAGGAGGGGCGTCTACCTTGACTCAAAACCCGGAAAAAAACACGTCCAACATCATGCAACTCAAGAAGGCGTATGGCACCTTTTCTGCTTTGGACTGCCGCGCTAAACTTCTACCGGAGTGTTGATTGAGGATCCCGTGGCTTACAACCCGACCTCTCTGCTTCGCGTGGAGATGCCGATTTGAAGCTGAGAGCAGCCACTTCCTGATGCCTTTGGCGGAGGCCCGGGCCCAAATGTACAGCTTCGGCTGGTCTCCGGTCTTCTTCCTAAAGTGGGTGAAGTAGATCCTGTCCTGGCACAAGCGTCATTTTTTGTTTCGGGATTTTGTCTTTACAAAACTAAACTTGTTTTTGGACATCCATTTTTGCCTAGCGCTTCATGGAACCACAAAACAGATTTGGGGGATAATTTGAGACAGGGTCACCCGCTGGAATTCACCCTCACTCCCTGGCCACAACCCTAAGGCCCTGTGTGTGGTTGTGGATACTAAAGTGGGGTTCCCATCTCGAGTGGAAACGAGTTTAAGCGCTAAAGGCATGATCATCCCTTTAGCACTTAAATTAGTTTCCACGTAACATACATGACTTGACCTACACAAGCGATACGACGTATGCAAAACGGTACGTGTCTAAGGATACACACGCATGAACCATGCCTTCAACCCTCCCCAAGCTCAAAGCATGCCTCGTTTGCTTTGAGCGTCGTAAGGGGATCCTTTTCGACAGAGAGCATGGAACGAAGTGGACACGCAGCGATGGGTCGAGTGCAATTGGTGCTCAATGTGTCCTTTGTTTGTCTCAATGTGGGTTCAGGTCAAAATAAAGGAACCTACACAATGCCTGGTTTCCTTCTGGTTTGCCCAAAAAACGCAAACCAAAAAACGGTAGCCTCAAAGAAGGTCTACGAGCGTTTAATCCCTCACGTCGGCCTCCATTGCGAAACCAAACATAGGGGCCGCCTTGTCGTAGGACTCACATTTCCCACATCCATGGGCCAACATGCCACGCTAAGCGGAGCTTTAACGATCATATGGTTCCCACAAATCAGGGTTCCACGTCGGTTCCAAAAACAAGAGGAAAGCCACCTGCACAAATTACTTCGACTCTCCAGCCCAAATCCCCAAAGAGGCTTCAACACTCGGGGTCGTTGCACACTTGACGCAGAATCCATGACGTTTGCCCCTGCACTGACCACGTTGGCATATTGAACAGAAACAGGCATAGTACTGCGAATGGACCCAATCCTACACCAGTTGGGACGCATAAAGCCCTAACTGGCATACACCAGCTACTGGTGCGAAGCGATTTTGTCCAGCCATCCGCAGTATTTCCTGGATACGAGTGCGTTTTCTTTCTTGTTTTTGAGGTGGTTCCCGTGGTTCTCTATCCACACACACCCACGCCCACGCAGAACGAGCCCCGCTTTCCCCCTCCCTAAGGCCCTCGGGCGCCTGCTGGCCAAGAGCCACGTCGCCCCAGCTAAACTGCACCACGTAATTCTGCCTGACACCGGGCTTCGACGCTTTGTCGGCCAGAAAAGCTTTCCCCGGACAGCGGCACCTGTAGGAATAGTGGCAAATAGGTTCAGAGGAGTTTCGGTGGCAACTTGCCCTGCGTGCCTTCACATAGCTCGACTCAAGCAAGACACGTCCCGCGCGAAACCCATGTTCTTTCTCTGCAGCCCCTATCCCTTTTCGAGGGTGCTGGCAACCCCAAATCTTTCAAGTCAGCCCTTGACCGAATGGACAAACTCGGAGTTTGTTGGTCCTCTGGTTGGGAATTTCTCAGTTGCTGGCCTATCAGGGTTCGACCTGGTGTACAACCTCCTTTTGGGGCCCCGACCCTGAGACCCCCCAGATGCCTCCCTTCAGACTCATACCTGGGGCCCGTGCACCAACGTGAAGGTTTTGCCCAGGTCTTTGGAGATGTAGAGCATGTGATTGCAGGGACCTGACGCTGAGTCAGTCGAGAGTGCTCAGTAGGGAATGAGGGAATGAGCCCTATGAACCATCCCTTGTGGTTTCCTTTAAGGGGACCCCCAGGTTCATTCCCTCATTCCCTACTGAGCACCAGCAAGAAAAACATGATGCTGGGAGTGAAGTCAGGTTGACCGCATGATGAGTAGCATGTTTTAAGATGGAAAAGTCAGGTTGCTTACCACTTGCTGGCAACTTGGGGGTCCTGACCACTTACTAGGTGAGTGTTTAAACATGATTCAACAAGACCTGTTTTGATTCCCTCTATGGGGGTCAAAGGTCTGGCATTATCAAGTCCTACAGTTGCGGTGATCAGGCGTGCCTCCAAGTGAGGGAACCCCTACTTGGAAGGCTGATACTTTGGACGAAATCCACGCCAGGCACCAGTAGTGATTTCTCCCAGTAGTAGTGTTTCATCCATGCCAATTGATGCAAAGTGGATCTTGTTCAACCACGGTCACGTCGCTCCAAGTGAATCTGTGCTGAAGGCTCGCTCCCCCTTTCAGGTTTGGTTTAAGGGCAAAGCTCAAGGGAGAACCACAATTTCGGGGTCCCCAGATTTTGGCAAAGGCGAAACGAGTGGAAGCCTGTGAACACGGAGGGCTTTGGAGCACTCCGAAGATTGGCATCACAAAACCGCAAATTCATTCCGGTAAACCTGTGAAAGGCCGCTGCCTTTCCAACCCCCGTCCAAGGGTTGAATCCGGGACCGTCTGAACATCGGCCAGTGCAAACCATGGAGTGAGCAAACAGCGCGCTGCTCTGTTGTCTGCCGTCATTGCCCAAAACGCAAAAAAAAACACGGAAGGACTTTCCTGTGGCTCGGGCCGCCCCCGTCTTCAGCAGGCTCCACCGGGGCGTTGCTGTCTTTCTTCTTGTTGCCTTGGCATGGCAAGTGACTCTTCGCCCCAACAGCTACAGCCAGCCCAACCAGCCTGTGCTCTGGATGTGTGTGTGACAGTGTGAAGAACCTGCATGGTTCTTCCCTCCAAGACATTTCCAGAAGGGTCATGTCCTGTGGACAAAATCCACTTTGCACCGGTGATAAATCAAGCCCTACAAATGGGATAAACCATCAATCCAAACTCGTGCACAGTAGTAATCTCACATGTTCCCAGTCAAGTTGTGTTTTAAATTGCACAACCAAACGCGCTGAAAGGAGCCCTCTCCACTGGAAGAACAGCCTGAGGTTGTTCTTCCAAAGGCCACGGATGCAACAGGCGTCCCTTCAAACACCACCCCAACAGGAAGCTCACTTGAAGCAGTCCCAAACAGGTGATGTGTAAACCATCAAGGTGACATCTACTTGGCAAATGGTCAACATCCCTCGTGAATACCTCCCCTAAGTCAGTCTACGGAGGCTCAGTCCTTGCGGGACTTGTTGACTGACACTGTGAACGGACGAAATCCATTTCGCACCACCTAAGAAACTGCCTGGCATGATGCTTCCCCGCATACACCAACAACAACTGATCACAGATATGGCCATGGGTCAAAACCCAAATCGTACCCCCAGTGAACATCCGATTCAATCCCCACTAAAATAGGTTCTAACATGGGTGATGAATTCACCTACCAACCAAAATGGTACCATTGGTCTTGACCCACAGCCATATATGACTCAAATGAAGCCTAAAATGGGTGGTGCACATACCCCAAAATGGGATCCCAAAACGGCTTTGACCCACCTGAACCACTTGGGTCATACGATCTCTCCAGCCAGGGCACAGGTGCTGGTCCAGGTGGAAAGCAGTAGCCAGGTGGGCTTCCTTAGGATGCCGAGTGGGGTCCACTCGAATGGCCATGGGTCAAAACCGCCGGCACCCCGCAGTTTACACCCAAGCCTTCGAAATACCCGAAAAACAAAACACCCAGAAAGCCGGATCTGAAACAACAAAAAGGACGGTGGAGTGGTGAAAAAGCCATCCCCATGTTGGGCAACTTATGGTTTTGACCCACAGCCAAATGGACGTGTTTGCTTTTTGAGGCCCGGTACCCTTTCTAGGTCTCAAGAGAAACCAACTGGGAAGCTAGCATTTAAGTTGGGGTGCCCCGACAAATGACACAAGCCCGAATGTGTGACGGGAAACACGTCCACCCTGTATTTGGTCGTTGCCTCGTTGGTGTCAGAGGGAAAACCGTTCTGACAAATACCTCTGCACTTCCAAATTAAACCAGGATTTCCGCTGTTTCTTCTTTCAGTTTATAAAGGCAACGATTGATGACATAGTGCATGCTGACACCTCTTGGCTTGCCCATGCACAAAGGCGCTGTCCAGATCTCTACCCCCCCCCAATCATGGAAGCTGACGGGCTTCAAAGAAACTTCTTGCCTTTCAGGGGAGCCCCTGGCCACCTGCATGACTCTTGGAAAGAGCAAAAAGCAAAGACAGTGTTCGCGGCCAATGAGTCAATTGCCAAAATCTCAATTTGCTGTTCACCAACCTGACCCCAAGAAAGAAGTCGTTCTTGCCTGAATTTCTACCAGATTCAAGGATTGAACCAAAGAGCCGAGTAATGCACGATTTCAGTCAAGGGACAGCGGAAGATCGATCGAGCCACCCGGCTGAGCATCGATCCACTAATTTTCCCTGCACAAATTTGACTTCTAGCTAGATATGTCATAAACCACTCTAAAGCCAACACTAACACTAACACTAACACTCGAAGGGTATGGCTGCGAACTGCCAAGCACTCTGGCTTTTAGTAGTTTTCCTTTTTTGGAGTGTGTAAATTCGGAGTTCCCACTCGACAGCTTTTGCCTCCAACCAAAATTGATCTGTTTGATGTTGGTCCATGTAAACCTGAACTTCTAATCTCATTTCAAACTGAGATCCCAGGAATGGAAAAACTGCCCCCCGCCCGCGGCCGTCAGTTGGACGCTTTGCCGGGAGCCCAGGCGTCTTGTGGAAAAGCACCGTGTGGATCTGAGACTTCTGTCGGATCTTCTTCCAGGAAGACCCCCTTCGCGTGCGCTTGTGAAATCCAAGGTCCAAGCTGAACAAAACATATCTGCCCAAGCCAAGAATAACAGGGCCATGGGTGTGTCTCAAAATGGGGCGGAGCCCGAAAATTGTTGTTTTCCTGTTGGTTTCCTTTTCAAAACCGACCAAGAGGGGTTCCCCATAAAAGAGACACCCATGGTTAATCAACTCGAATACCTCAAACAAGGGCAGCAAGAGAAGAAAGACCCACATCCTCCTGCACCCCTGAACGCACCAGGCCTGGTGCTGGAAATGAAGTTCGTCTTCTTGTTTCCAGAGACCTGTTTTCTCGCGAGCAAAGGCCCGATTCCTATCCGATGCCTTCCCTCCTTCTTATTTGGTGGCAGCTGGTTGCAAATCCACGTGAGCAGCGCCCAAATCCATTGAGTGTGGGTCCTACGAACAGGGTACTTGGTACCAATATTTTGATACAGGCTTTATAAAGTAGAACCACCTATATACGAAGATGTGTCCTTTTGCAGGGTTTTTGGGCGCTGTGGCAACCGCAAACCCTGCTCCCAAAATCCTAGAAAAGCGATGGCGGCTCCGCCACATCCGATAGGCACTGCGATTGGTCAGAACGAGGTGCTTGATTGGCAGTTCCAAGCCACGAATACAAGAACCTACAGTACAGACTCTGGGCGAATGCCCCAACCCAGCTTCACCATTGGTTTCTCTGGTTTTACTCCATTTGAGTCACAATCAAAACCCGGTGATAAAATGGTCAATCCCCAGAACCATGTAAAGACATAAGAAGGCGGGCATTTACGGTTGGCATTGTCCCTTAATTACTATCCTTCATCTACCCAAATTTTGATTGTGGCTCATTTCTCCCCGAAAGAAAAAAGGAAGAACGCCCAGAAGTTCCAAAGACCGAGCCAATGACCCACGCCCCCCCAAGGGCAGCAGTTCGTTCCGCGCGTCCGACTGTCTGGGCTGCAGGGCCAGGATGGTATTTGGATCCACCGGGCTCTTGGTCATGGACTCGGCGGTGAACGGCTGCCTGGAATTCGAATCGGATCGGAACTCGAAATCCATACGGCGGATGAGGAACGCAAAATCCCGAGTTTTCGCACCACGAAATGAAACTATAGTAAATCCGTTGCTTGTTGGTAGTTTGCAGGGGAATCGAATCATTCCAGGGTGCAGGAGTTCGTCCATCCGCAGTAGCCCCTAAACCGTCAGAGTGGCTCAACAAGGCTATATATAGGGGGAGGGGGCGACCATTCAGAGAACTTCAGAGAAGTTCAGAGAAGATCATGAACCAAGATTCAGCTGAAAACGGAGCCGGTTGATGGTCAAAGGTCAAAACTGCATGGTCTTGGAAGGGTTCCCTTTGTCAGCGAGTGTCTGAAGGCCCTGACAAGGTTCACAATCATCGCAAACCCAAGAGACATCCGCAAGAGTTCATAACCATCGCCTTCGGTCAAAGGGTTCCCTGCAGCCCGTCGTGAAACGAATGGCAAAGCCCACGTCTGGCATCAACCTGAGGCCCATTCAATCCCCAAAACACCAGGGGCAACAACGCACGAGATTTGTTGCTGGCTCTTGATAGACTCTATTGAATAGACCTGTACTAGAAGGTCCAACAAACCTGTCCTGATCGTGAAATGGGGGAGGGGGCCCAAAATTGTCCAGTTGCTTGTCCCTGTAAAACAACCTCAAACAGAAAAAAACTGGGCTGTTGGGCTGTGCTTGGACAGCGGTCACTGGATTTTCCCCATCCGGCTGCACCAAAATTGGTCGTCCATAGCGAACCGCCACTACAACATTGAACGCATGCCCCCGGTCCCAGCTGGGCTGAATGGACCAGGCGGTGTCCAAATTGCTACCAGCCAAAGAACATGCTGCAGATCCAGGAAAAAAACAATAAGTGGAACTTGCGGGACAGGACCCTTCCCCCCCGAAAGGGACACACCCTTCCCGCGCGCAAAACATCCGCTCTTGGGGCTCCCTGCGGCGCGGAGCCCGGCACGTCAACTGGCAGAGGGTCGCTGGCTGTGGGTCAAACGTACCACACCCACCACTCCCTGTTCAGTGAAATTCGCGCTGCAACTTGAGATGCACCGTTCTGTTGCCCTTGCTTGCCATGTGCCTTTACAATTGAATCAACCCCTCGCTACGGTCATAGAGTGGATACAATAACATGTCAAAAGGACGTTCTGGGCCACAGGACCGCTCCCGAAACCAAACCGAATGGGGAGATCTTAATCAATGCAGTATGCCTGTGCACGTGCGGGAGCGCTTGTGGACGTGCAAGGGACTGGGATGAGCCCTGAGACAACTGCAGACCACTTTTGCCAGGGACAAGTAGTGTAGCCGTTTCACCTCTGGTCTCAAAGCCTCAAAGCCTTGTTGGCACTTCGTTGGCTCCTGAATAGCGTCTTGATGATGCGCATGAATTTGCGTTCCTTAGACAAGCATGAAGTGGGGAAGCAACGCGTGTTACAAACACGCTTCACGCTGAGTCTTCCACTCTGAAACAATCCGTGGCACGGAGAATAGCTTAAACGCCAACAAGACAGTCCATGTTGCGTGCACTCAGCGCTACCCATCTACCCAGCTGCCCTTTCCAAAAACAAACACGGAATCTGAAAGGACCCCCTGGAAGCCCATGATTCAATCTTTCAGAGGGTAATGGTTTTGCCCCGCCTTTGAAGAAGTCCGTGATGTCATTCCAGGTCTCGCCGCCATTGGTACTGCGATATAGACGCCTCGCACGCAGCCGAGGCAAAAGAAAGCTTCGAGATCCGTTCTCCAGCTTCCGGAACCGATCCAACCGTCATTTGTAGAGCAATTCCCGTTTGGGAGACCTTTTTGTGGTTCCATGTTGATCTCCAGAAGAGTAACATTCTTTCAAGGACCCGTTTGTGGCCTCATTTGTGATGGACCAAAGAGGGTGCGCTTGGCGCATCAGACTTGCAGTTTCCGTAGTCAGCTGCGCGACAGAAGCGAGACATGAGATCAAATTCACCAGATGGACGGAAATCTAATTTTACCATGCCGACTGGGAACGAGTAGAATTGTCCTTGGCTCACACAGTAGTTTCAAGCTGAGTGTTAAGGGATGCTAAGGACTTGTTTGTAAGTGTAAGAGCAGCCAATCATATTGTTTGTCGCAAAGATCATTCTTAGAGCTTCTGTCATGCAATCAGATTCAGATCCTTCTAACCCAGCAAACCCGGCAGCATTCGATGGCTTCTCCATTTCTTCCCCCACCATTTGCTCAGGGGTCAGGTTGCGGTAGGGTGTCAGTAGAACAGCTGGGTCTCACTTACCAACACAGAAACACCGCGTCAAGTCCTAGCATCCCTCTAATCGTGTGGATGCAAGGGCAACTTGCCGTAATTCGGATACCGGGAAAACGGACATTCCCAAGAATTGGCCTGTATCATCGGTGAAATTACGACTGGCTCACCTCAAATGAATTCAAATGAGCTCGGTATGATTTGCCCATCGATCTTTCCTGCCTAGGTTCCGCTACAGGCACCACAACTGCCTCTCCCAGCTTGGCCGGGCACCCCTTGGTGGTCTGGGTGATCACCGTCTTCTGGTCTTCCCCCAGCCACTGGCCAGGGCGCTTGCATAAAAACGACACGACGCGCTCCAGCCGTGTTGCAATAAATGAGACCGCTCGATAAGCAGGGGTGGTTGTTCCGACCAAACCGCGGAGCAACAAGTTCCCCCCCCCCCCCCGGCGAACAACAACAACCCCGCGGCGAACAACAACCAACCCCCCCGTTGTTCTTCGACCGAACAACAAGTCCCCCCCCCCCACTTGTTGTTCGACCCCCCCCTTTCGAACAAGTTCCCCCCACTTGTTGTTCGACGCCCCCCAAACAACCCCAACCTCTCAACCTCTCCCAACATCTCCCACCCCCCCTTGTTGTTTGATCCCCCCCTCGAACAAGTTCCCCCCACTTGTTGCACCTCTTTTGTGAACAACAAGTCCCCCAAACCTCTCCCCAACCTCTCTCCACCCCAACCTCTCAACTTCCCAACCCACCCTCCTCTCAAACCCCGCCCCCCAACTAGCTGTTCGAACCCCACCCCTTATCGAAGGGGTATGCAACCCAGCTGCGCTGTGTGTCTTCGAGCTCGAAGAGCAAGGGCAACCCTACCCGTAGGGTATACCGCTGGCGTGTTTTGTTGCACCCCAAGCTCCTCCTCAGCATTGCCTGCGCACGCAGGCCGGCCCAAACACTTGGACCCCAAAACATCCCCGGCCTCCGTGGCCTTGCAACGGGCTTCTGATGCCACGTTGCCCAACCTTCAAAAAGCACTGTAAATACCGTGCAAATCGCCCCGGACTGTCGCCAGCATCCCCGCCAATATCTCCCGCATCCTCGCAAACTTCGCGAGCATCCCCGGCATTCCTGCATCACCAGCATCTGGGCGTTCCAGCATCCCTTGCATCCCCTGCATCCCTGCATCGCTCAAACCCTTCAACAATGGCCACCTGAGAGCAGGTTTTGGACGGTAGGCGGAGCATGCACTCACCCACCCTGGCTTGAGTGCATGTGTGCCTGCTTGCGTCCGGCACTTGCGTCCGGCGCGTGCGGGTCTCACACCGAAAGCCAATCAGACCAAAAAAGGCATCCCGGCAGCCCGTCCCAGCCCCACAGAAACCCGTGGACAAATGGAGAAAAACACGGTATGTGCGATGTTTTCCGCACCGCGGCGGCGGCCGCACTTGCGCAAGAAAAACCGCTCACTCGATCGCAGACTTGCCCGCCATGTCAGTGTCAGGGGGATTGGGCAAGCAACCTTGCAGCCTCTTGAGCGTGTGGGTTCGCAGCGAGCGCGTGCTTGGGTGGGCGCGTGGTGTGTGGGTTGGGTCCGACCGGCCAGCGCAGCTGGTGGTGGCGAAGCCCTAGGATAAATCGGACTGGACTTGTGCTGAAGAGACAAGCCACCTGAGAGACTTTCCTCTCCAGACCCCATGTCAGCTCTGTTAGGGGATGTTAGGGGATCGAGTGTGTCTCTGCGAGTCGGCCATGCAAAGGCGGCCCAAGAAATCCAGACATGTTATTGTCCTGGGTCCAACCAACTGGCTAAGCCAAAGCATAACATGGATGAAGCGAACCAGGACAAGCCACCCCACCCCCCCAAATGATCATGCCATGTTCTTCATTCTCCCGCATGGTTTGCCTCGGAAAAAAAAGAAGAATAAATGAAAAAACGGATCGAAGCGCCTGGATGTCCGACACCGCGCTATCAAAGACCACCTCCTTCACCGAGACTGGCCGCGACGGATGGTCTCCAGGACCCTCATCCGCAACTCAAACCGCGGGCGGCTGGCATGGGGGTCCCCGAACTTGATTTATCCTCCCTCAAACATGGCAACTGCCAGGGGCTCCCTTCAAAAGGAAATGAATCTTCCAGGTACCTCCCCACAGGTCCCACAGGTGCCATAGTTGGAGGAAGGGTATCTATAATCTTCCCCACCAAGAGGCAAATCAAAGTCCAGATTCTTCGGCTATCTTTTGGGCCATAACCACGGATGAAGAAACCCGTGCTTCAATACGGGGGGGTCCCATTCAAGAAGTCCTTCTTTTTGGAACCCATCAATCCGGACAGATCACCATTCAATCCCCAAGTGATTCAAGGACCTTCGTCCTGGGTGAGCTCGTTTGATCTGAGCTGATCATATTTTGTCCCGTTCCAGGGCCAACACAAACAGCAGGACTTGGCAGCAAGGCTCGGAAGACGAACCAAACCTGTGAGGCCCGAGGAACAATCAAGAACAGCAAATTCTAACCAAAGGCCGCATGAGCTGGGAAAAGTCCATCTTCAATGACATTCAATTACATCTTGTGCCCGAATCAGGACCCAGCGCCAGGATCCTTGAAGTTGTCATGTATAGATCTAGAACACACCATTACTATATTACCAGGTAGGTGATGTTGGGGGCATTTTCAAGCATGCTCAAGACCTTCATATGTGTGTTTGGGCTTTGACCATCGAGGTCCTCTGAGCCGGGTTTATTATGACGGTTTGTTCAACCTGACTCATGCGTGGATGCCCTCTCAGAGGATGTCCTCTTAGAGGACAATCCTTCTGAATTGGCCAGTGGTTTGCTGGCTCGGGCTTCTGATGGCAAGCCGCAAATCATTTTGTCTTCCGGGCCTTTCTTGCCCGCAAAGGCGATCGTCAGCAAAGACAAAAGGACGGCCTGCGAGGCTGAATGAAGCCCTCCGGCCAGCAAGGTTGATCTTTGACACCCTGCAAAAACAGGTTGTCTCCTAGATTCAGGCGATCGTGCGGATACATACCCTTCCTCCCACTAACATGGTACTTGGCAAAAGGTACCTGGAAGATCAGTTTCCTCTTGAAGGCGTCCCCCTGTCAGCTGCCATGTTGAAGCGAGGGTAAATATTCAAGGTGCAAAGGTTGCCGGTCTTTCCAACAGCCGCGGCAGCCAGGACTCCAGAGAAAAGTAGCCTTTCAAGACCTTCTCTCGAGGCAGCTGACGGTGGGAGAATATTTTCTGGAAGGTCGCCAGGCAACCACGAAGCGGCAATAGTACAGTGTCAGATTCGGAGGTATGGGCCATATGTTTTGTGTGTGCTCCTTGTTTCAGCCCTGGACATAGGCCCTAACTATCCCTAACTCCTGAAGTTAGCATGAAAAGGAACGTGAAGAAGTCCGCCCCTCCGCCAGATTCCTCGGTGTCCAACTTTCCGTGTCGGTTGGGTATGGGTCAAAATTAAACCACCCCAGGGCACCACAGGTTTTAGTCCCTGTTTCCATTTACCAGGGCAACCCATTTTGGGGGTTACCCGATTTTTCACAACCACCGCCATGTCTCAATCCTGCGCTCACGACCCGTCGGGGCAGCTTCCGGAGGGCAGGTTCTCAGGCAGCGGCCCCTTTTGCCGCCTCACGGCCCATGTTGGACCATGCGCCCTGGGCGATGGGACCCGAGAAAGTTGTTCGTCAGCGGCTTCGTCACACAGCCAGGGATTTTCGCCCTCCATTGACCCCAGCTAGGGTGAACCAAAAATAGATACATTCGAATGATGTTTCATATTTGGCCAACCTTAACATTCAAAATGATTCCGGAGACCCCGCTCTTCCAGCCCAAGGGCGTCAAAGGCAGATCCTCAGATCCTCAAATTGCCTTCTTGGGCATCGGTGATCTGTTGCACCTCGTGCCTGCTCGATATACAAGGCCTGAAGAGTTCGATTGGGCTGGAAAAAAGCTGGGCCAGATTGCCTCATGTTCATTGACTCAAAAATATAGAGCAAGGTGCAATCACTTGGCAGTTCCTAAGAGGCCCCTTAGACGGCGTCCTTGAAGCAAACACCAATCAATCCGACTGGTTTCACATTCGCAATACTCCCTGCAAGCGGCGGCGAACCCTTGAAGGCTGGCTGGCACTCCGAAACTCCAAGGCGCCGGCACCTGCCAAACAGTTGCGCCCCCATAAACTTAACCAACTAAATATTTCAGCTGGAGCCGCATGGCAAGCATTTCAGCGAAGCTTCGTGCAAAGTCTGGCCCCAAAAGAAAGCACTCCAACAGCTGTCGGTGCTTCTGAAGTCACAAAACACATCTCCAGCGAAGGCAAATACTGGCAGCGAAAAGAAGGACACCGCCAAAGTATGGAGACCTGAATGTAGGTTGCTTCGAAAACGAAACTTGGATCCCGAAAGCCCGGCAACCTGGGTGTGACTTTTCAAGAGCTCGAGCAGGAGCAAGAGCAAAAGGCAGGTGGCACATGGGCGGCTCCTCCTTTTTTTTTGGGATTTGGACCCCTCAACATGGTGTCCCTTCTGGTGTGAAGAGGGTCCCCAAAAAAACAAAACACCAAAAGGCGCTTGTTTTTTATGGGCTCTCCTTTTTTTCCCGGATCCCCACTTGGAGGCAGAGAGTCGAACCTGGCAATTGAAGAAAGCTGGAGCTCGCAACCCGTTGCACACAGACCCTGACCACATGTCATATAAGGGACCACGCAGAAGCCAATGCTGCAGTCTGACTCCTTAATGATACTCTGGAAGTACAAGTGTGAGTCAAGTAAGAACAACTTTCTCTTACAACACTTTCCGACCCGTGGTATGGTAGCAACAAATGTTGTTTCTTGCAGCCCCCCAACTAAAGAATGAACAGACACAACAACACCTAAGACATGCAGTGAAGATAACATCATGACCAAATCTGCATTTCCAATAAAATCTGATGTGTTAGGCCCTTACAATACTCCCTGGCCGAATATTGTTGCCATCTTTGCAGCAAAAGTACCATCAAAAACATGGTTTGGCCTGAAAACAACAGGACCAATGGACACATGATCTGGAGTACTACCAAAAGAAGTTGTTTGTCCGTGAGCATCAAGTGACTGGCTGTGCATCAAGCAACAGGGACTGTCGTGTTTCAGGTGATAGCGGATTTTTGAGTCTCTCTCTCTCTCTCTCTCTCCCCCGCGGGAAAAAGAGAACGGCCAGTTCAAAGGCCAGCAAGGTAGCAACATGAAGGATTGTGATCATCCCTGGTCATTGGGCATGGCCATTTTCTCCTCAATTGATTCAGCGGACAAAACAAGTTAGGTGATGTCGCTTTTTCAGGAAGCCTCTGTCCATCTTCATAAACTAAGCTTCTTCACAAATCAAAAACACACGGATCACCATATTCAAGAAACCTTCATCATGAGGTTGCAAAACCCGTGGCAAGGTCCCAACTAAAACCACATGTTGATTCAAGTGCATATTCGGTGAAACCTGAAACGCAAAGACAAAATATATTGGTTCACCAAATGGTATACCTTGTACATAATGCGTATTTGAAATGGGTTCATTTGAACTTAGATGGTTCACCATTGCCAAAATAGATTTGGTGAAATGCGTATTTGTACTGCGCTTCACGATGTCAAAAGGTTACACGCCGCCCATTTCTCGACGCATTGAGCTTTGCCGCAGCACTGCTCGCCGCATAAGTTGCGACCCCCGATCGCAAAAAGGGGAGTTCGGCTCCAAGATGGGTTCAGAACAGGGTTGGGCCAACCACTTGCATCTTTGAACCACCGCTTCAAACAAAGTCATGGCTCGTTGAATGAAGCCAGGGGATGGTTGTTTAAACAGGTTGCCCAACCGCTGCTTTCCATTTGAGAGAGGAGACAAAGGAGACCTGGAACTTTCGCTTGCTTCTCATTCAAGTGGATCAAACAAAGTCATTCAATGGAACAAACATGAAATTGTCTCATGAACCAATCGGTTCCATCTCAAGCCAGCCGTTATCGCACCCACAAGCCAAACAAGCTGAGCTTGAGCAGTCACGCCACCTCTCTCCTGTTTACGAAATCGGCTTCACCCAAAGGCATATGGGTGTTTCTTCAGGGCACCCTTTTGGGGTGTTCAAAAGAAAACTCTGTTTTAGGGATGTGTCAAAGGGAATGCTTGATTCCTTGCATGGTACACAACCAGTTTGTTGAATGCAAATATATGTTTCCTAAATGTGTCTATTTGTTGTTCTCATTGGGGCAGCCAATGTCGAGACACCCTGCCAGCTTCTGCCAGGGGCTTATCTTGCAGCCCTGGGCCCAGCGAATCCCAGCGAGCCGTTGGGCCGATGGGCCGCTGGGTCAGTCGAGCGGCGTCACCCGGGTGAATGAATTGGGTGCTCATGCGCGAGCCTGCGGCGCAAGGCGCGCTTGCTTGGAGGCAAATTGAAATGGGTGGCAAACCGGGGGTCTGAAAAAACGAGGGAAGATCAGAAGCTTTGTGCTCTTCAGCATCCAGGCAACACTACGGGCTTTTGCGTAACAGCACTACAAACACAGAGCAGCAGCTGCACACTGAACACCAGCATTTCCAAAAAAGCAGCGTGTATAGCAATCTAGTTGGTCAGAGATCAGCAGTGCCATCAACTGTTTAGTGTTCTAGGCTCATAGCAGAACAACTATGTGACACCACGTATGCTCGACCCAGCGAGGGCTAGGCAGCCAGGCGCGTCCAAGCACGATACGCAAAACTATTGACCAATGCTTCCTTCTGCTCATAGCTGCAAACAATTACTCGGTCTGTGCTACCACACTTGGCCATCCCCATGACGTTACAGGGCTTCAAGGTCACTAACACAGCAGTGCTCCTGAAGGGACCAAACGCCAGAATTACACTAGCCGCCACAAATCCAAATCTATGCTCTCTCTTGGAACCTGCAGTCAGAGTTCAGCCATGGACCCTCCCCGAAATTCTCCGGTCCCGGCCATGCCTGCCGCCTTGACCTGGTGAGTCCGCGAGTCGAACATGGGGCTCAGAATGGATCCCCTCTCATTGAATCCTGCTCGCGAATCTAGTGAACATCAGTCAGGCCAGTGAGGGCAGTGGCCATGCCGGTGCGTCTTTGTTCTGGAGGCAAAGATGGAATTCCAGGGAAACCACCCAAAATGTGTGTCCCGATGTTGAGACAAACCCCAAAAATAGTTTTTTTTTTTTTTTGTTCGGTGCTTTCCACTCCTGACCAGTCTGCAATGCTGATTGTAACTAGCCCATACCATATTTGTCCAAGCCCCGCTGCCGGTCCTACCTAACTGAAAAAGTGCTACGCTGTGAGTTGGTGCTGCAACAACTCATGAACAAGACAGGGACCCGCCCAACGTGTCTCGGACATCTTAATGAGGGAAGCTACCACCAAAGTTAAAGTGTGACTCAACAAGTGAGTTATTTGCAAGAGGTCTGTGACCAATCAAACAGAGTCACAATCCAATCCTACCCAAATCCGCGAAAACATTCAAAAGGGATGCCTTTCTGTGCGGCTGCACCTGGTTGGGACTTTCCCTTGTACAGATTCCACGTCCTTGGGGGAGATGAACTCCATTGTCTCGAGGAACGAAGCAGTGCGCGTGCGGAACATCCCTCTCGCTTAGGATCGATTAATTCATGTTGAAGCCATCACCTGGGTCCTCTTGGGCTTTGGCGCCGGCAGTGCAGGGAAGTCTCCCGCGTCCGGCGGCGGCCGCAACCTTGCTGGGTGGCACAGGTAAAGGACGCCGGGAAGCCCCATTGTTTGTTTTCTTTTGGGGGACTGTTTTTTTCTTTGAGGGGGGGAGGCATTTTAGTGGGATATTCACCAAAACAACCAAGCAAAGGTGCCACTGGGAAGCATGGTCTAAACGTTCGGCGTAAATGGAGTGGTACAATCCAGAATCCCTGTTGCAAAGCCGAATCCCCTTGAAGGGTCAACCGTTTTAGTGGGGAACCCACCAAGAAAATGAAGAAGAGTGCTAAAGACAAAAACGCGAATGGACATATTGAGTGGCTTCCCATCATGAAAATCCTGACCCAAACACGGCATGGACAACTTACCTATCAGTATCTCACGTCCCGCAAAAGCGCGCCAACTAATTATCAATGTCACCGCGAGTGCTTCCGTCCCGTGGCCATCCAATCAAAGAGCTGCCGAATGAGTCTTCTACTCATCGAGTGATTAAACTCCACACCCTTCAGACATGCTTGCGGTTACGGATGGTTCACTTGCAACATGGGAATCCGCTGAAACCAGGAGCCTCCGTGAAAAAGAGGAAAAACAACCACAAAAACGCCTCATGCCCTTCTTTTCTTTCTTGCTCTTTGCGGCGAATTGCTCTCCTTTTTTGGCTGCGGCTTTCAAGGGTCTTGCCAAGAGGACACACCGATCGGTTTTGGGTACCTCACACCGATCGCCGACCCGATCGCCTGTCCCAGGCCGGTGCCAGCGGGGGCCTGGGCCGCTGCGATCGATCGGAAAAAAAGAAGATCCCCGGCGAACAACTGAGTCACGGGTAACTTTTTGAGCCAGTTTGACTTCCATGGATGTTGATCCTGGGTTGATCATGGGTTGATCATGGGTAACTTCTGTTTGAAAGGCCCCCAGCTTGGACCATGGGAGACTTGTCCCATCTGGGAAATGTCATATGTTTGGTGGCTTTCCTTAATGGTCATCCCATGTAAAGGACCTTTTGATGAACTCCCAAGTAGATGGCGTTGGTAACCAAACTGAAACCAGCACCATCTATTTTCAACCGCGGGTATGGTCATAGTCATAACCCGTCCGATGTAAAGACCGCACTGCAAGGTGCCCTCAAATAAACCCAACCCGGGGTCCCAAACACAAGTCCGCTTGAGCACCGACAAAAAGGTCGGAAGCTTTAGGCATAAAGAGATCACCATGCCGCGCTGAAACCAAGCACAGGAGAGGTTGTTAGCACGAGAGCCAGGTGTTTCGGCCTCTCCTCTTTGCGCCCGGTGAAGAACGGGGGGCGGGGGGTTTCGGCCTCATCTCCCGATTTACCGAAAACTACCAGTACTATTGTACGATGGTCAGTTGCTTCATATGTAAGTGTTTCAACATGGACAAACAAGGGGCTTGCATTTGATGCGCGCCCCGGATTAGCTGGCTTGCTCAAAATGGGGGGGATCCCTGATCCCAAACTGCAATCGATTGCCAGGGTCCCCTCAAGGATACATTTGCACCAGTCAAGAGATCA